CTCTACTCCCCGGCAGCTCTTACACCGCCACGCCGCCGCCCGCCACGCCGCCGCCGCCCCCCAACAATACCTCCTCAGATTAAAACAAAAATAGACAGATTTTTTTTTTGACGGGGGCTCGTAGTCCTGAGAGCGCGGGTCCGATTCCCGGCCGAACCAGAAACAAATGGACAGTTTCTTTCACTTAATGCTCCTGTTCACCTACCAGTAAATAAGTACCTGAGAGTTGAACGGCTGCTATGAGCTGCAACCTGACGATGAATGCATGTCAGACCACTTATTTTGCTTACAACTATTGGTACTGAATGTGTCTCTGAACGGGTGTGTGTGTGTGTGTGTGTGTGTGTGTGTGTGTGTGTGTGTGTGTGTGTGTGTGTGTGTGTGTGTGTGTGTGTGTGCGCGCGCGTGTGCGCGTGTGCGCGCGCGTGTGCGCGCGTGTGCGTGTGCGGGCGCGCGCTTGTACCGTTGTGTGTGTTAATAAACCCTCCCACATTGCTAATATCTGACACAAGATACCGCTAAGAGCTTCTGCATCAGAGGTCTCAAGGTGTATATTTCTGGCGGCTGAGTGTCAAGGTTTGTGACGTGGATAAAATGGTGGGTGAGTAACATGGGTGGTGGGTGAGTAACATGGGGTGGTGGGTGAGTAACATGGGGTAGTGGGTGAGTAACATGGGGTGGTGGGTGAGTAACATGGGGTGGTGGGTGAGTAACATGGGGTGGTGGGTGAGTAACATGGGGTGGTGGACAAGTGCTAGGGATGCTGTGAGTGGTGGCCAGACTCTGCTTACCCACCACTAATATACAATTTACAGTTTACAATTAGACAACCTATAAGTAAATCCAGTCTAGAGTTTACTATGCACAATGCTTTGCGCAGTGAACCCTCTACAACAAAAATATGCAATTTTTCATCCTTCTCTGTCTCCTGTGATTTCTGTCATACTGCAATCGAATTCTTTTAAATTTGTGAGACAAGATTTACCATCCCTGAGCCCATGCTGATGCTATACTACAAAATCTCTTCACTCCGACTCTGCTACTCACAATCTTCTTCCTCACCTTGCTTGGTTATGCAGACTCGTAGTCATTGCCTCATGTCTCTCTTCTTGTATATTGCAACTGTGTTGACTATGTTTCTAACCTGTGAATCTGTGAGTATGCGTTTGAGAGTTTGTGCGTCAATATATTTGTACATTCATGCTTCTGTTATGTCTGTGGGTCTGTACGTGTGGGTTTTTTTTTTTAGTCCCCCTTGTTCCCCTCCCCCCCCCCCCTGTTTTAGGAGGCAGTCTTCAGTAAATGGAGGTGCTGACAATCTTCGGGTTGACGACTGACTGCTGTCACTAGGAGGCAGACCCAGGCAGTAGCAGAATCAGTTCTACACATGTCCCCTAATTCGTATACGATTAAATACCTCTTTTTTGCGGTAGACTTATGTAACTAAAAGGTCAGAGCCTCAATAACCGAAATAATAGACCCGTTATTACTGGGGATTCACGCGTTATACACGTTCTCGCATGATGTAAAAATACCTCAAATGATGTGTAAGAAGGGGACCTCAGGTGTGGGACCAACAGCGGGCATTAATTCTCGCCCCCACCCCCACCCAGCTCACACTGACTCAACCCTGTTCCCCCATGCTTTAGAGACAGCGCTCCCGGTTCGCGATTGGTAGGAAAAGAGAGTCGTCATGCCTCTGGGAACAGGTGAGGAAAACTAATGGCTGAGAAAACTTGCCCGCACACCTCGTTGAGGCATCTCCACACCTGCTACAGGAGGCAAGGCCTGACATGCTTTCTGCACTAACATAAAACATAAACTTTCCTTGACTTCTTTTGATGATGATTTGCTATATTGTCTTTCATTTTTGCTACCTGTAGTATTTTGTCGCGGGCCCAGTAAGCCCCATAAACCTCAGCCACCCCTGACTATGAGGGTCTCGCCTCACCTCAATAACACACGAAAGAGGAGCATCGCAGAAATGGGCCTTGTTGAGCAGCACATGTTTATGGTGCATGTTGCTCCTAGAAGGGGAGGAGAGGGGAGGGGATAGATATACTGGTGATAGCGAAGGCACGAGGAGAGAATTTATTTTAGAGTGGATCCCTGCCTGGCTTGGAGAGCCTCGCCATCCTAGCGGGCACCTCGTGATGCAGTGCTTCTCATAAGATTTTAAACATACTCTGTACCTCAGAAGATTTTCTACGGGAGTTTTTCCGGGAGGACTTTGTACTGGATTCTAATGAGACCTTTGAACAGGGGTAATGTTAGGAAGGCTCTGTTCTAAGGGGTTGGAATTGTGGCGCTCTTAACAGGATTTTTACAGCATTGTTACTCGCAAAGCACTGTACACAGTAAACCCTAGACTATAGGCTGTCTAATTCTAACGTGTACAACTTACCTATAAGTTGTCTAACCACTTTTCTAGCCGTTGGCTGTCTAATGCAATAATGACACTGGGCCCATTTCTCTATCATACATGCTTTTAAAGTTATGCATGTAGTTACCCTCAACAACCTGCTCCTTTCTTGAGGTTATCTTGAGATGATTTCGGGGCTTTAGTGTCCCCGTGGCCCGGTCCTCGACCAGGCCTCCACCCCCAGGAAGCAGCCCGTGACAGCTGACTAACACCCAGGTACCTATTTTACTGCAAGGTAACAGGGGTATAGGGTGAAAGACACTCTGCCCATTGTTTCTCGCCGGCGCCCGGGATCGAACCCGGGACCACAGGATTACAAGTCCAGTGTGCTGTCCGCTTGGCCGACCGGCTCCCTTTAGGTCATTCCAGTTACTCACTACCTTTACTCAAAAAGAAAACTTTCCAGCATCTCTATAACACATTTGAGTCTCAAGCTTCCATCCGTGCCCCCTTCTATTTTTATTCATTGTAAACGTTTCCTCATTTTCCACCTTGTCAATCCCTCTAAGTATTTGATTCGTCTGTATCATGTCCCCCTCACCCTCTCCCTCGTTTTTTCTAACGTCGTCAGGTTTAATTCTTTCAGTCTTTCTTCGTAGTTCATCCCTCGCAGCTCTGGGATGAATGAGTCTCGTTGCAAACTTCTGCATCTTTTCGAGCTTCCTTATGTATTTTCTAAGATAGGGAGCTCCACCACCACTCTAAGACTGGCTTCACACAGGCGGTATACAGTGATCTAAAAGCCTCCTTATTCACACACACTCCTTCCTTGTGTATGTGTGTATTTACTATTTGTGTCTACAGAATCAAGCTATTAGCTCTTGGACCCCGCCTTTCTAACCAATCTATTTTTCCTCTATTATGTCTACTATATATATTTCTCTCTAACACACACACATATGCACACACACATCACCAGGAAGCAGCCAGTAGCGGCTGTCAAACTCCCATGTACCTATTTACTGCTAGGTGAATAAGTGCACCAGGTTGAAATTCATTTCTCTGCCCATTCATTTCTGCCCCGGTCAGGAATCGAACCTGGGCCCTTTGGACTACGACACCCGAGCGCTGTCCACTCAGCCACCCCCCCCCCCTTCCACACACACACACGCTGTGCATGTACTCACCTATTTGTACCCGCAGGATCGAGCATTGACTCTTGGATCCCACTTTCTTGCCACAAGTTGATTATAGCAATGACTCCTGTCCTATTTCACTATCTTACCTAGTTTTAAAGTTATGAATAGTTTGTTTCCACAACCTGCTCCTTAAGTTCATTCCCCGTTTCCACTGCGCTCACACTAAAAGAAAACTTCCTAATATCTCTGTGACTCATCTGAGTTTCCAGCTTCCACCCATGTCCCCTCGTCCTGTTAATATTACGCGTGAACATTTCGTCTATTTCCACTCTGTCCTCTGTCAATCCCCCTGAGTATTTTATATGTTCCTATCATATCCCCCCCCCCTTTTTCCCTTCTTTTTTCTAGTGTCATAAGGTTCAGTTCCTTCAGACGCTCTTCATATCCCATCCCCCGAAACTTTGGGACAAGCCTCGTCGCAAACTTCTGAACCTTTTCCACTTTCCTTATGTGTTTTTTCAGGTGGGGACTCCATGATGGTGCGGCATACTCTAAGACTGGTCTCATGTAGGCAGTGTAAAGTGCCCTAATAGCCTCCTCACTTGGGTTTCTGAATGATGTTCTAACGTTTGCCAGTGTAGAGTACGCTGCTGTCGTTATCCTATTTATATGTGCATCAAGAGTTAGATTAGGCGTTCTATTTCTAATATATGTCATTTACATATATTAGAAATAGAATGGTCCCAGCAACGATCCCTGAGGTACTCCACTCGTTACTGTTCGCCAGTCCGACTTCTCGCCCTTTACCGTAACTCTCTGGCTCCTTCCTGTTAGGTAGTTCCTTACCCATGCTAGGGCCTTTCCTTTTACTCCTGCCTGCCTCTCAAGTTTGAATAGCGGTCTCATGTGCGGTACTGTATCAAAGGCTTTTTGGCAGTCTAAAAATATGCAGTCTGCCCAGCCTTCTCTGCCCTGCCTTATTCTTGTTAATTTATGATAGAATTTCAAAAGGTTTGTTAGGCATGATTTCCCTTTCCAGAACCCATGTTGATGTTTGTTTACAAACCCAATGCTCTCCAGGTGTGCAACCAGTCTTAGCCTAGTTATTCTTTCAAGTATTTTGCAGGGGATGTTTGTCAGTGATACGGGTCTGTAGTTAAGTGCCTACTCCCTATCTCCTTTCTTGAAATTTGGTACGACATTTGCCTTCTTCCAGCAACTAGGCAATTCTCCCGACATAAGTGACTCATTAAAGATCATTGCCAGAGGCATGCCGAGGGCCCTACACACACACACGTGCTCTGTGTGTGCGTGTGTGTGTGTGCGTGTGTGTGTGTGTGTGTGTGTGTGTGTGTGTGTGTGTGTGTGTGTGTGTGTGTGTGTGTGTGTGTGTGTGTGTGTGTGTGTGTGTGTGTGTGTGTGTGTGTGTAAGAGTGACAGACAATACCATTCATCTATTCCCCCCCCCCCCCTTCACCTTTCATTCCGGGAGTCGCCAGGTGGCTCAAGATGGGCAAATGCAGCTGGACGGGGTTCGAGCGAGCGGTGAAGCTAGTGATCACCTTCGTGTTCAGCCACGTGGGCCTCTGTGCCTTCGTTGCCGGATACTCGGTGGCGGGAGCCTTCCTCTTCAGGGAGCTGGAACAGAAGCACGTCGAGAAGCACTATGAGCCGGCCCCCCACCGCGCGGCTTGTCTTCGTGACCTCTACTACATCACCGGTCAGCACCACGTCTACTTGTACTCCTATCACAATATATTGCTCTACTAGTAATTTAGCAGTTGCCTCACATTATATGTCCGTCTGTGTAGCTTCCTACACATTCAATCAGCCACCTTGCTGCATATCTATTGTTTATGTACCCAGCCATTCATCAGTTTACCTATTTATACATCTGTCTACTGGTTCACCTACTTAAAAATATTTCTGATTATATAATTGCACCTCTGGCGCAATTATATGGACTCATTGCCTCGGAGAAGTAAATAAAGAGTATGCAGAGCAAATTTTGTCGCTTGACTAAATAAGTATGAGTATTTGCTTCTCCTACAACCCCCTTTTTTATTATTATGTGCTATATTATATAAGGTTTCACAGCTAAAATACTAATTAGGTACAAAATATAAATATAAAAAGAAGGAAGTTTGTTTCTTAGAGACCGTAGATTTCCGGCATTAAACCTTCCGACACAGCAGATATGAAAGACCAAAACTAATCTCCCTGCCAAACATAACTGTAGGAAATTAGGAGACTCTGATCAAAGGCGATCACGATTCGGGAGACATATCTGAGAACGCTCTCCAATGGGAAGTGTCTACCTCGACAAAGTAGACCTTGAATAGGGGCCGTTGTTCTGGCATCTAGAGGCAACATTTGCCAGAAAAGATGGTCTGGAAACGTCTTACAGTAGCAGTAGTCCTACACCAGCATGTTCTTTAATACTTAAACATATATTATAGTAGACATCAGTAAGCAACCATACTTGACATCAGTGTACCACAACGTCACTTCCACAGGGAGAGCGGGAGAGGAGCTCAACTCGCCCGACTGGCGTGAGATCTTCAACTCATCACGGTGGCAGGAGGAGGTTGAGAAGCGTCTGGAGGAATTCGAAGAACGACTAGTGAGAGCTGCGAGCAATCAACTGTATGACCAGGGACCTGACAAGCAGCGAGAGAAATGGAACGTCATTGGCTCCCTCTTCTACTGCGTAACTGTCATCACTACCATAGGTGAGTCGATGGTGTTCTAGGGTCATCATTGTACAAATAAGTCGAAGAACTGGGAGGAAAACTGTTGCTCCATGCAAAAACTTTGTTTATCCAGATGTAAATTAACCACTGTAAACTAAAATTTGTAAAAACATGTGATTCGGTAATGCACAAGTATCCACCAGGAAAATGAAAGGAAAATTTAAAACGTTTTCGTATTTCATCACATGATCAAGGAAATACGATAGTGATTGGCTTGGGAACCATTCAGGGTTGCCGTATAACTGATGCTCGCGCTTTACTCGCATACTGAATTGATTTGATGAAAATACCTGAACCCCACAACCCAACCACATATATATATATATATATATATATATATATATATGCGAACAAGCCTGAATGGTCCCCAGGACAATATGCAACTGAAAACTCACACCCCAGAAGTGACTCGAACCCATACTCCCAGAAGCAACGCAACTGGTATGTACAAGACGCCTTAATTCACTTGACCATCACGACCGGACAAAATGAGGTGATAGCCAAGGCTATTTGAACCACCCCACCGCCGGCACTCGGATAGTAATCTTGGGCATAGCATTTTACCAAATCACCTCATTCTTTGGGGCACACGTGAGGAACACAAATGCGAACAAGCCTGAATGGTCCCCAGGACAATATGCAACTGAAAACTCACACCCCAGAAGTGACTCGAACCCATACTCCCAGAAGCAACGCAACTGGTATGTACAAGACGCCTTAATCCACTTGACCATCACGACCGGACAAAATGAGGTGATAGCCGAGGCTATTTGAACCACCCCACCGCCGGCACTCGGATAGTTTTCTTGGGCATAGCATTTTACCAAATCACCTCATTCTTTGGGGCACACGTGAGGAACACAAATGCGAACAAGCCTGAATGGTCCCCAGGACAATATGCAACTGAAAACTCACACCCCAGAAGTGACTCGAACCCATACTCCCAGAAGCAACGCAACTGGTATGTACAAGACGCCTTAATCCACTTGACCATCACGACCGGACAAAATAAGGTGATAGCCGAGGCTATTTGAACCACCCCACCGCCGGCACTCGGATAGTAATCTTGGGCATAGCATTTTACCAAATCACCTCATTCTTTGGGGCACACGTGAGGAACACAAATGCGAACAAGCCTGAATGGTCCCCAGGACAATATGCAACTGAAAACTCACACCCCAGAAGTGACTCGAACCCATACTCCCAGAAGCAACGCAACTGGTATGTACAAGACGCCTTAATCCACTTGACCATCACGACCGGACAAAATGAGGTGATAGCCGAGGCTATTTGAACCACCCCACCGCCGGCACTCGGATAGTTTTCTTGGGCATAGCATTTTACCAAATCACCTCATTCTTTGGGGCACACGTGAGGAACACAAATGTGAACAAGCCTGAATGGTCCCCAGGACAATATGCAACTGAAAACTCAATGAGGCTATCACCTCATTTTGTCCGGTCGTGATGGTCAAGTGGATTAAGGCGTCTTGTACATACCAGTTGCGTTGCTTCTGGGAGTATGGGTTCGAGTCACTTCTGGGGTGTGAGTTTTCAGTTGCATATTGTCCTGGGGACCATTCAGGCTTGTTCGCATTTGTGTTCCTCACGTGTGCCCCAAAGAATGAGGTGATTTGGTAAAATGCTATGCCCAAGATTACTATCCGAGTGCCGGCGGTGGGGTGGTTCAAATAGCCTCGGCTATCACCTCATTTTGTCCGGTCGTGATGGTCAAGTGGATTAAGGCGTCTTGTACATACCAGTTGCGTTGCTTCTGGGAGTATGGGTTCGAGTCACTTCTGGGGTGTGAGTTTTCAGTTGCATATTGTCCTGGGGACCATTCAGGCTTGTTCGCATTTGTGTTCCTCACGTGTGCCCCAAAGAATGAGGTGATTTGGTAAAATGCTATGCCCAAGATTACTATCCGAGTGCCGGCGGTGGGGTGGTTCAAATAACCTCGGCTATCACCTCATTTTGTCCGGTCGTGATGGTCAAGTGGATTAAGGCGTCTTGTACATACCAGTTGCGTTGCTTCTGGGAGTATGGGTTCGAGTCACTTCTGGGGTGTGAGTTTTCAGTTATATATATATATATATATATATATATATATATATATATATATATATTATATATATATTATATATATTATATATATATATATGTCGTACCTAGTAGCCAGAACGCACTTCTCGGCCTACTATGCAAGGCCCGATTTACCTAATAAGCCAAGTTTTCATGAATTAATATATTTTCTCTAATTTTTTTCTTATGAAATGATTAAGCTACCCATTTCATTATGTATGAGGTCAATTTTTTTTATTGGAGTTAAAATTACCGTAGATATATGGCCGAACCTAACCAACCCTACCTAACCTAACCTAACCTATCTTTATAGGTTAGGTTAGGTAGCCGAAAAAGTTAGGTTAGGTTAGGTAGGTTAGGTAGTCGAAAAACAATTATTTCATGAAAACTTGGCTTATTAGGCAAATCGGGCCTTGCATAGTAGGCTGAGAAGCGCGTTCTGGCTACTAGGTACGACATATTATATATATATATATATATATATATATATATATATATATATATATATATATATATATATATTATATATATATGTCGTACCTAGTAGCCAGAACGCACTTATCAGCCTACTATGCAAGGCCCGATTTGCCTAATAAGCCAAGTTTTCATGAATTAATGTTTTTTCATCTACCTAACCTACCTAACCTAACCTAACCTAGCTTTTTTTGGCTACCTAACCTAACCTTACCTATAAATATAGGTTAGGTTAGGTTAGGTAGGGTTGGTTAGGTTCGGTCATATATCTACGTTAATTTTAACTCCAATAAAAAAAAAATTGACCTCATACATAGAGAAAAGGGTTGCTTTATCAATTCATAAGAAAAAAATTATAGTAAATATATTAATTCAGGAAAACTTGGCTTATTAGGCAAATCGGGCCTTGAATAGTAGGCTGAGAAGTGAGTTCTGGCTACTAGGTACGACATATATATATATATATATATATATATATATATATATATATATATATATATATATATATATATATATATATATATATATATATATATATATATATATATATATATATATATATATATATATATATATATATATATGTGGTTGGGTTGTGGGGTTCAGATATATAATATATATATTATATATATTATATAATATATATAATATATATATAATATATATATATAATATATATATTATATATATGACCTCAAAAAGATGTGCAGTGAATTATACGTTTAAAGATACTTTGTTAAGTTAGAGGCTACTGATGTGTTTGTATATACAATGACTTGACCTCGCTTGAAACATGAAGTAAACAACGGTCAAGAAGATCCGGCCTTCACAGTCCCTCACAGAGGTAAACAACGTTGAAGATCTTGTCTCTACAATCGATCACTGAGGTAAACATCAATGAAGATGATCCAACCCCCATCATCTGGACAATGTAGATGATCCAATGGAGGTTGGTTCTAACCAGCAACAGTGAAGATCTGCCTTCCACAACCCTTCACTGAGGTAAACAGTGGACAGGTCCAGCTTCCACAACCCCCCTCACTGAGGTAAACAGTGGACAGGTCTAGCTTCCACCACCCCCTCACTGAGGTAAGCAGTGGACAGGTCCAGCTTCCACAACCCCCTCACTGAGGTAAACAGTGGACAGGTCCAGCTTCCACAACCCCCTCACTGAGGTAAAAAAAAATAGCGAAGAAGATCCGGCCTCCTCATTTTCTCACTGTGGTAAACAGTTACGTCCACAATTAGGTAAACAATATACAGAACAGGTAATCATTCTTTCACAACATCCTTACCGAGGTAAACATCATGACGGAAGGGAATAATCCAAGCTCTACAACCATTTTCTTAAGACAAGCGGCGTAGACAGGGTTTAACCCGAGCCAAGACAAGCGGCGTAGACAGGGTTTAACCCGAGCCAAGACAAGCGGCGTAGACAGGGTGTAACCCGAGCAAAGACAAGCGGCGTAGACAGGGTTTAACCCGAGCCAAGACAAGCGGCGTAGACAGGGTGTAACCCGAGCTAAGACAAGCGGCGTAGACAGGGTTTAACCCGAGCTAAGACAAGCGGCGTAGACAGGGTTTAACCCGAGCTAAGACAAGCGGCTACATTGACCATGATTTATAAGTTACTATTAACATCTTTATTGACTTATTATTATTAAAATTAATTACAATTTTGCCTAATCTGAGGATTTTGATAGGTCTTATTAAAGTGAGGATAATGCTAGTATTCACTGTCACGCAGGACAGAGGGTCATACATAAGACAATAGGTCTAAACTGTAGGCTGAAGCACATATATATCATTGTTACAATCAATGTTTTAATGTATGGATACGTGAAAACAACTTTCTATTGTGCACTGCCACACAAGGGCAGGGATGGGTTCATAAGTGATACAGCTTAGAAGTAATATAAATAAAAATTGTTCTTCATTCTTTAAAATGGACAAGCAAATTTTGGGTAAATTGTTAGGATGTCGTCCAGAACACCTGAGTCAATAAAATAGTTACACAGTTGGTGGTACAAGAGGCCAGGAGGTCTAAAGTCCTTTACGGTTTCACATTCATCAATATAGTGTTCTAGTGAATGCATTAAAGGTTTATCACAGAGTTTACAATCTGAATATTCTGGTAGTGGCTCAGCCTCACTAACCTGCCAGATGTGTCTATAGCCAAGGCGAATTCGCGCAATGACTACATCACATTGCCTGGTCCGGTTACTGTGCTGACCATACAAATACCTATTATTACAAAACTTGTCATAACTTTTAATACTGCAGCTTTCAGGTCTCTGGGCATTTCTTAGTTCTTCTAAATCTGAATTAATTTCTTTACTTTGTATGTTTCTAATAACTGCATTAGATAGTCCAAAGTCATAATCAATGTTTTCTTTCCTGCAAGCCTCATTGGCCAATTGATCTACAAAGTCATGTTTTCCAACTCCAACATGGGATGGGATCCACACAAATTTTATACAAGAGTTATTATCATTGGCAAAAATTACATTCCGTTTAATATTACAAGCTACTTCCGACGTACATTGTGATGGGTTATTTAAGGACTGCAGAGCACTTTTAGAGTCACAGAATATCACTCCACCACCATTGAGCTTAAGGGATTCAGTGGCTAGATAAATACCCAATAGCTCGGTCTGTGTCGTACTTGCCCAGTTGTTCAATCTCTGTGTACTAGTCATGATCATTTCATTCCCTTTATACACTGCACATGCACAACCTGTTCTACCAGTGCCTAACTGCACAGAGCCATCAGTAAAGGCATAGGATTCAGTCGGTTTGAGAATTTGAAGATGACTGTCAATAGCTTCTAATGTTATACATCTCAAAATGTCAGTGTTATACATTTGTTTTACACTGATGGGAGTATAATGCAGAGACCTCTCCACATATTTCCAAGGGGGAATATAGTGAACAGTTTTATCAGGGTTAAGAGATACATTCAGTTTCTAAAGATTATAGGCACAACAACTGAGCCACACACTGTAGGGAGCTTTTTGCGGCGGATTGAGGGAACAGTCAGAATTGTTTAGAACCTTGGTTACCTTGGTGGTTACCTTGCCATGATTTTGGGGCTTAGCGTCCCCGCGGCCCGGTCCTCGACCAGGCCTCCTTGGACATTCTTCTTCCAGCATTTCACCCCCCCCCCCCCCCACATCACTCTCTCCCCCCTCCTTCCTCTCCCCACCGCTTTACTCACTCTTCACCCCTCTTCCCTGTATTTTACCCCTTCTTCCCCTCCCCCTTAAGATAACCCCCTCCTCTTTCCCCCATTTAATCCCCCTCTCTTGTCCCCCTTCCCTCTCTCCTCTTTATATCTGTCCCCCTTTAACTTCATCTTATCCCTGTCTCCCTCTTATAAGAGGGAGTGTGAGGGGGCACCAGTACCCGTGTTGCTCTAAGTGTGAGGGGCACCAGTACCCGTAGCAACACACCCATGACTCTGGTCTCCAACAGGTTACGGTCATGTGTCTCCGAGAACGTGGGAGGGCAAGATGGTGACCATCGTGTATGCCATCATTGGCATCCCACTCATGCTGCTCTGTCTCTCTAACATCGGTGACTCCATGGCCACCTCCTTTAGGTAAGTACCCACACACACACCAGACCATCGCCAAACTTGACCTTTCTATTAACCACTGGAATAATCATTATTGGAACAACACGCCACTTCCCAACATTTCGTCTAACTAGCATTAACATCCCAGCATCAGAAACCATGAAGACTAACTTTAGATTGCACAATGAAGCCTCCATAAGCATCTTTCTTGGCGCTGTTAGTAACATAAATTGGGAGCCTGAACGGTAGAATAGCCGACATTAACGTAGGTGTGCAAAATATTTCTTCGCAAAACTCTAAGCTTCTATAAAACTCACTGTCCCATGCTGACTATACAGGTCACTTACAAAAGGTTAAACAGCATATGGCTTACTAAAGGCATACTTAAATCAATTAATAAAATGCAGTGATATGAAAAAAACAAGATAGGGACCATTTCTAAAGAATTGGCAAAGCAGTACTCTTCAATTTTAAGATAATAAAAAGAGCCAAAACAAGTTACTCTGAAAATAGATTCAAGACGAATTTTATTTGCAATTATCGATTCGAGTAACTTTCCCACAATAGACGTTAGGCTAATTGGCCGATAGTTTGATGTAAGTGATCCATCTTCTTTCTTAAAAACTGGCATCATATTAGCAACTTTCCATAACTCTGGCACTCTGCCTGACTCTATTGATTTATTAAATATGGTAAACAGTGGCTCACAAAGCTCCTCTTTGCATTCTTTAAGCACCCTGGCAAACACTTCATCCAGCCCTGGGGATTTGTTTGGTTTGAGTTTTACTATTTGTTTAATTACATCCTCCCTGGTAACTGCTAAACTAGTCAACCTGTCCTCGTCCCCACCCACATAGACTTGTTCGGCTGAAGGCATATTGTTAAGTTCCTCTTTAGTAAATACAGATATAAAATATTTATTAAAAATACTACTCATCTCTTCATCACTATCTGTTATTTGACCTGTCTGTTTTTAATGGACCTATTCTTTCCCTAATCTTTGCCCGGTATAACTGGAAAAATCCTTTAGGATTTGTCTTTGCTTGCTCTGCTATGCGAACTTCATTAGTTTTTTTTTTTGCTTTCCTTATCTCTTTTTTTTAGTATTTCTAACCAGTTGTACGAATTCCTGTTCTAAACTAACTTCCCCATTCTTAATCCTTTTGTACCACCCTCTCTTTTTACCTATAAGGTTCTTCAGATCCTTCGTTATCCACTTTGGATCATTAGTATTCGATCTATTCAATTTATATGGTATACTACATTCCTGGGCTTTGCTTAGAATATTTTTAATTAGGTTATATTTTGAATCCACATCGAAAACCCCTTTTACCTCACCTATCGCTGGATTCATGTCTAGCTCCAAGACCGGCTCACACCCCATACCCAAGACTTTCCAATCTATTTGACCCAAAAAAATTCTTAGGCTATTGAAATCATTGAAATCAACTTTTCGAAAATCAGGCACTTTAACAGAATTTTCACCTACAGATATATTCCATTCAATGCTAAATCTAATTTCTTTATGATCACTGTTCCCTAACTCACTCCCTATTTCGATGTCCTTAATTTGTGTTTCCGTGTTAGTTAACACTAAATCTAAAATATTATTTTCCCGCGTTGGTTCCTTAATGTGTTGCGTAAGAAAGCAATCGTCAATTAATTCTAGAAAATCTTCTGCTTCATTATTCCTTGTTTTATTCAACCAGTTTATTCCACTAAAATTAAAGTCACCCATGACATAAATACTGTTAGATCTAGATGCTCTCGATATTTCATGCCATAGATGCTTTGCTTCCATTCTGTCTAACTTTGGTGGCCTATATAAAACTCCTATTATAATATTTGCTTTTTCGTTTAATTCTATCCAAATAGTTTCTGTATGTGGCTCAGTTTTGATTCCCTCTTTGAGACTACATTTCAAATTGTCCCTAACATATATGGCTACTCCCCCTCCTCGTCTAATATATATGTGTGAAATAGTTTAAATCAATTTTATTTGATATTCAGCTAATAGCTCTATTTTCTACATTCATCCACGTTTCGGCAAGTGCAATAATATCTATTTTTTCTGTGCAGACAAGAGCATTTAAATCGTTTATTATATTTCTTAGACTTCTAGTGTTAGTGTTATATACCCTAAGTGAATTGTTATTTTGAGGCCCTTCTCTTTTCCTGATCATTTTGCCGATTCTTTTCCCCCACAAACACTTACTTTTATTACCTCCTTCCTCCAAATCAATTCCCATACCACTATCTACTAACAGTTTAAACCCAAACAAACGCCTCTAACCACTGGTTCCAACGAATTCGCAACAACAACCACCCCAGCCCTCGATAAATGCACCCCATCACGAGCATACATTTCATTTCTTCCATAGAAGTGTTCCCAGTTGTCTATGAAAAATATTGCATTTGATTTGCAATACCTTTCCAGCCGGCAATTGACACCAAGTGCCCTCGACAACCATTCATTTCCCACTCCCTTTCTTGGAAGAATGCCACACATGATCGGGATTCCTCCCTTGCTTCTAACTAATTCTATTGCTGTTTTATACCTCTGAATCAGTTCCTCACTCCTAACTCGACCAACATCATTACCTCCCGCGCTAAGGCAAATAACGGGATTGTCCCCATTTCCAGCCATAATATCATTCATGTTGTTTATAATATCACCAATACCAGCTCCGGGATAGCAAACCCTTAACCTGTTCCCCCTATCTCTAGCACAAAACGTTCTATCCAAATACTTACCTGGGAATCTCCCACAACTAGAATTTGCTTAGGTACTTCCTTTACTCTCTGAGAGGCCTGCGCTTCGTTACTTTCCCGTTCGCGTGATCCGCAGTCCCACCACACCACTCGTCCTCCAATACGGCAAATGAATTAGAAATCCTTAGGGCGTCTGTAGGCGGCTTTATCAAAGTCTTCTTAAGGCCCCTGTCCTTTACAACTTTCCAAGACGAGGTCTTTTTAATACTGGTCTCCTTCTTCGTTTCTTCTCGATGTTGTTTTAACTGTCGTACTTCCTCTCGTAGAGAGTCCAACTCTGTCCTCAGAGCTCCAACTAAATTTATCAGTTCTTTCACTACAACTTCCATATTGCTCCACATAATGTAACTACACTCAGGAGCTCCGGCTAACACACCCTCTCACTGCGACTGTCTGCGCCTGATTGTCACTGCGACTGTCTGCGCCTTGAAATTACACAGGGGTTTATTTCTATAGATTTAAGCTTAGGGGTACAAAATATATCTGGAGCGAGTTATTATTACCTTAATCTGGTACACTTGAAGTGTTCTTACATGGTTCTAGTTCACAATTAACACTACTGTACATTAGTAATTATGCAGCGTGGATTAACAACATTTAACGAGCCACGTGACCAATGACACCAAACAATTATATCAGTCTACACAAAGGACAGAGACTCAAACAAAGTTGCCAGCCGTTACTAATCTTGGGTGGCTTAATCTTTATCAATCCTCACTTAATGTAGGCGCTCTGTTATTCTAAGTCATAGGGTTACGTATTTCCTCATGTTAGTGCGAATTGCGTTAATTCATTATGCTTACCGCTTTGTAAACAAATCAGTTTGTTTACAATTTATTTGGCTTATTACCAGCGAATGTTAATTACTGTTAATTTATTTATCATATTCACGTAGATCAATATAATTATTACATTTAGTTATATTGCCATTTAGTTTAGTTATTTTACTTTAACAAAGTTAAGACAAAATTATTCCTGTGCGCGAGTCTCAATCACCCTACCAACAAAATATAAGATGTAAGACGTACTCAAGGCCTGCACAGCTACCCTTGTCTCCGGCAGGTTCATGTACCGACGTGTCTGCTGCGTCTGCTGCAGGAGCCGGGAGGACGGGGGCGGCCCAGGCACCACACCCACCTTACAGGAAGCCAGGTGAGGAAACAGAAGGGGGAGGGGGGAGGGAGGTCACGGACAAATGTGTTGATATATGTTTCTGAACAAGAGATAAGCTCCCGCACGCACACTTACCCCATAAACACACACCCGCACGTACACCTACCACATAAACACACGCCCGTTAACCACAAACACACGCACATTAACCACATAAACACACGCACAATATCCACATAAACACACGCACAATATCCACATAAACACACACCCGCACGTACACCTACCACGTAAACACACGTCCATTAACCACATAAACACACGCGCAATATCCACATAAATACACGCCCGCGCGCACACTAACCACATAAACACAAGCCAGCACGCACACTAACCACAAACGACCGCACGCACTTACGACATAAACACACGCACATACACACACCAATGGATACACTCTATATGAGAAGAAACGGTTCACTACTCAGTTATGTTAAAGGTAAAAACTAAGCGAACCAGATACGCTGATCCGAATCGTGGATGGTTAATATAATGATAAGGTTCAGTTGAGTGGCAGGTGTTGACACAGTTCAAGTACCACTTGGCTGCACGTGTCTGGCACTTCACCAAGGATGGGGGTGCATGACATGAAGTGTCAAGTGTTTGGAAAAAGACAGACACACACACACATTAGAAAATTACATTATATTCTGATTTAGCCATTTAAAGATAAGTCTAAATGCATGCTGCGTGCAATGGCAATTCATTTATAATAAATTATAAAATATCTTAAATACTTGCGTTGAGTAAGCATTGTGAACACCTCCACAGTTGCAACAACGGGAGAACATTTCCTCACCCACTTGAAGTTTACTTCTACATGCATTAGAGAGGCGAGGTTTTCCGCAGAATCGACATCCTGGATCATTCTGACAGCTCCAATATAAATATAAATTATATATAAGTAATATCACCTTTCCATCCCCAGGTCAGTTATAACAATAAATTTTATTAATTTTGTTTATCGTCATATTTTCGTTTTTAACTGCTTATTGGATTTCACAGAACGATCTTCTCGTGTAGCCCAATACAGTTTAAACGGAAATATGAATGAGAAACATGAGGAATATAATATTTTGCTTTAACTGACCGGGGGATAGAAAGATGAGCTATTACTCGATCATGTAAATACAACTAGGTGATTAACAGTTTTGTTGTAAATTACCAATACTTAACACACGATTTAAATTTGTTGTTAGCTAATTAGACATGTCAATTTAACGTTGTATATAATGTGTCAAACATCTACTCATTGTCTCCTCTTCCAGGGGGTCGCCAGAGTCTGCAAGTCCACGGCCCTACACGCCACCACCAAGATACAAACCTAGCCGGCGCAACATGCTCATCTCTCCGCCAATCTCTGCCACCATACATCGAGGCTCAGATAACTCCTTTGAGACTCCATCTCTGATAGAGCCCTCCAACTCATCAAAACCTTCTACTCCACGGTATCCCCGCCCCTCTCAAACACAAATGACTCTTCCCGATGCAGAGGCCAACCGCATTGTGGCAGAGTGTGCAGCTTATACCAACACCAGTGTACCCGGCCTGGTCGTCACTTCCCTCGAGACGTCCCACAAGGATCGCCACGACTATGACACGTTGCCACTTCAAACTCAGTTATCGTTACCCATGTCGGCCAGCCACACACCAGAACCATCAGCGCCATCTTCCCCCATGAGTCGAGACGCACCTACAGAATGGATAGTACGAAATGGATCACATGGCGGTCCTCACATAGTGATTGAGGTCGAGAGTGAGCAGCCGCCTTCCAATTATTCAAGACCAGTCTCTCCTACACTTACCGCATCAACACATCACGCCTCCAGTCTCTCTCTGACTGCCAGCAGTATAAGCCGTCCATGGCCCAGACAAGATTATAGCCCATCTATTGGAGGTCTGATGCCTTATGGAAGCGAGGCAGATGACTCGCAGTGTGTCCGTATTAGAGAGAAACCACCTTATTCCCCAGGAAAAACCTTAGTAGTGTATAACACATTATCAGGAGATGCCTTACTTGAACAGAGTAAAGTTGCACGCAAGACGGCACTTATGAATAAAGGAGGATTTGGTCAATTGCGCGGTGATGCAACAACGGTTTTTACTGACCCAATCTCCGGGCAATCAGTAAACGGAGACATGCTCGGACTCAGCTATAGACCAATCCCTCCAGACACGTCAGACGTTGATAATCGTGTACCCATTCCTATTGTGTTGACTTTTGTTGCCTCTTACATAGGAATTGGGGCTCTGTTGTTTGGGTGGCTAGAAGACTGGTCCCTGCTTGATGCTGGATACTTCTGTTTCATCACTCTTTCCACCATAGGTTTCGGTGACTTTGTACCTGGCAAGTCATTAGGTTATGAAACACAAGAAGCTCAAATAAAACTAGTAACTGGATCTCTTTATCTCATGTTTGGTCTAGCTGTTCTTGCAATGTCCTTTAATCTAGTTCAAGAGGAGGTTATCATAAAGTGTAAAGCATTTGCACTCTGGATAGGACTTATGAAAGAGTAATTATGTAACTAGGCATGTAATGTAAATACATTATGTAATGTAAGTATAATGTAATCGTATCATCCTCTGCAAATGACACTAGGATTTTATGAGTAGACAAAATAAAGAAAATAGAAACCTCAAATATGATGTAAATCAGGTCTTTCAATGAGGAACATAAAATAATATGGTGTTTAATGAAGATAAGTTCCAGTTCCTGCACAATGGAAAAAACGAAAATATAAAAATAGAAACTACATATAAAATGCAGTCAAATCATATTGTAGAACGAAAAAGCAATGTTAAGGATCTGGGAGTAATGTCATTAGACCTCACCTTCAAAGAACACAATAAAGTAGCAGTCACAACTGCATGAAAAAATACAGGGTCGATAACAAGAACCTTTCAAACAAAGGATGTCATACCAATGATGCACACCATTTTCTCTGTCATACCAATAATTATTCTTTTTAAGATACTAGTGCTCTATAGAGTGGAGTATTGTTGCATATTAACAGCCCTTTTCAAGGCTGAAGAAATTGCTGACCTGGAGAGCATGCAAAAATCCTTTACTGCTACAATCCACTCAATAAAACATTAAAATATTGAGAACCATTAAAATGTTTAAACCTGTATTCCCTAGGGTGTAGGCGGGAGAGATACATAATAATTTACACTTCAAAAATATTAGAGGGACTGGTTTCAACTCTGCACATAGAAGTAACATCACACGAGACCAGGAAGCATGGTCGGATGTGCACAATACCCCAATTGAAAAGCGGGAGTACAATAGGTACTGAGAGAGAACTATCAACATAAGGGGCCCAAGACAATTTAGCATGCTTCTGCTACATACACGGTATAACTAGCCGACCTCTCACGGTGTTCAAGAGAACTCGATAAATCCTTCCAAAGGATACCTGATAAACCAGGCTGTGATTCATACATCAGGCTACAAGCAGCTGCATCCAACAGACTGGCTGACCAGACAACAAACCAGGAGGCCTGGTCAGGAACCTTGACCCCTGGAATCACTGCAAGGTGGTAGCAATTAAGGGGCCAGGAGCACAATTTATCAATCTTCCTCAAGTAATTATCAAAAGAAGGCACCAAACCGGGAACCTTCCTCACACACACGCAAATTTGTTGTGCATAATCTATATGGTAAATGCTCCAACTTTTCCTAATGGATCAATATAGTAATATGTACAGGAAAAAGAAATATAAAAAAAAAAAAAGTTGAAAAATTCACCAATTTTAAAATGTCACCAATTTTTATTTTATTCAATATGGGCTCAGAATGGCATATTACATTATTTTCATTTCTTTAAAATAATGTTTTAGAGATAACTGACGTTGAAGTTAGCAACAAATAATACAGTAGTTTAATTTATCAATTTACTTGTGCGTTTTAATAAACATTGCTTGGAATTCGTACTCGAATATGTGAAATTTGTAGGTCAGTGTGTTGAAATGAAACTTCATTCAAACTTTACATACATAGTGATGGGTATGCATTCTCCAAGATGTAGACGCTGCAACAAAACTAAATTATGAACAAAGGAGAAAAAAAATCCAAAAACAACAAATTTGCAACAAAAATAGAAATTGGTGAAACTAACACATATTGGCATGGGCAATGTATTTATATGATACATAACAAAATACAGCATAGTAACATACTTACTCATTATTATTCGTGTTATGTATTACACAGTAATGCAAGAAAAGCACCAGCTGCATATCCACTTTGTGGACCCTCCTTACTACTATTCTTCTTTGTGCGTCGGACAGGTGCTTGCATCTCTATCACTGCATTATCCCTCAGTTCCAGTTAATAAGAACTGTTCTCCTTATAAGCATGCTTTTTTTCTTAATATTCATATAAAATCCATTTCTTAACATATAGGGGAAAACTTTCATGATGCTGATGCCAAATAACATGAGATTTAACAGTTTTCATATTTTCCATATTTGGACAAATATTTTTGTGCACCCGGCCCCTTAAAGGTAAGGTAATCAGGCCTTCACCAAAGATTCTTGTTTTTAAAAATTTACAAGCATTTTCAAAATTTAACTATAAAGTGATTTTTTTGGATTATTGTACATAAATTTCATTATAGATTTCTGTAATATTTGTTTCCGTACGAAATAAAATGTACAAGAAATCAAATACAGTATAGTTTATGCAGCTACGAAGTGCTCAAATAAACACGGAACACATTAACTCTCAGTTACTGCTCAAAAGCTAAAATTCAATCCTTGAATATTAGAAAATCATATAAAAATAATATATAAAATATCGTGCAACACATTCTCAATTAAAGACAAAGTCTATGGCTGTGATAATTTAATTCTCGGCATAATTAGTGTGTTTTCAGCTGCAGTATTTTACAATTTATGAACTGATCAAACATAGTTCAATCAATGCATACTAACTCACAGGTAAAGCATTTTAATTATAGAGATTTAAAAAATCTTGTAATATAACTTTAGCAGATGTACCTGTGTATATATCCAGCACACTGTGTTGTCCAAATGGAAGTATTTTCCAAGGGGTTATAAAATTAAGCAACTCTAATAAAACTTAACTTTCAAATAATTAGTCACAAAACCACAATCACTTGTAAACATTTACATAAGATATTCACACATGTAAGACATACACAAAACAACAACACGCACGTACGTATGTATATATACTCGATACATCATCATCAATACTGTACATTATCAATGTGTTGATTAACACAATTAAAGCACTTAAGTCAACTCTGGTTTAATTTTTCCCCTTTTCTTCCTCTTAAATTAATTAAGAGGCAGACTACCACAATCAAAGATACCCATACTGGTCTCCCTTTTAGGTAATGTGCATCCTATGCTATAAAAAAACATAGCAAGGATAAGGGCCTCCCTTTTACATACAGTGATTTTGCTGTTCTGTCTTGTAGTTTGTCTCATCTTGAACTCAACATTTTAATGTCTCGATTTTTAAAATGAAGCCCAAGTTGAACAGGTCCAAGTCATCGACTCGGTTGCTTATAAACTAATTGTTATCTTCTCTTAAGTCAGCCCGTCCTCATAAACAAAGGCCAAAGTCCATTCCATGCACCCGCCAAACCCCATTTATGGATGAAAAACTTTCACACGACTCGACTGATGACGTCCAAACACTTCCAGAACAAGTGCTTTGCTGAAGACTTTTGTTTGAACCACAACGCTGTAGATGCTTCACCTATGTACTACAAATACAAATAATCACCAACAGAACCTAAACACCTAACCTAACCAATGACTAATTGGTAAATCTAACCTAACCAATAACCAATTAGCACAATATGCTAATATTAATCTACATTTGAGAAAATTCTTATTTTGAATGAACAGCAATTAAAATTGATGAATGCGTTTTTGGGGTCGACCACTGGATGGAATGGACTTGGTTTGAGGATGGGTTGCTTAAACATGTTATTTTATTATTCTTGTTTTGTGTACATGTCTTATTTATGTACTTGTATAATGTAATTTTTTTTTTCACTTTCTGAATATTAATTTAATCCGGCAGCCACCTATCAAGCCCCCTCATGCCAACAACGGGCTAGGCATAGACAGTGTGGAGGCAGAAATATACAGCAACATTGGAATGAAAATTCTAGGGTTAGGATTTTCAATAGTACCCGTGGCATAACACACTCGCCCCACACTTCACGAGTGATTTGGTTTGGGCAAGTATCCTGGCTGGGAAGAATTGACTAGTCACCAATCTTTAGCTGTACGACTCTGTTCATAAAACAGTGAATGGGTACCTGGTTGTTAAATAATTTAGCAGGTCATATTCCAGGGAGAAATTAAGATTAAGAACCTGCCTGAAATGCTGAACGTGCTGGTGGCTTTACAAGAATGTAAGAACTCTTGTACTGTATATATAAATAAAAAATAAAAAATAGTTTATTTATGGGAGTGAAAGATAGGAGCCAAGAGGAGACCCATATTTATATTAAAGAAATGAACACCCAGGGCATTTGAAACACAGGATCTCTAAGAGATTATTTAACAAGTAAAACAGGGGCTTAGTCCAGTGTGCATTTGTCAGCTATTTTATTGATCATTTTCCACACACATGGGAATGAGTGGTAACCACACTTAGTATCAAAATAAGGGTATTAGAAAAAATCTTATGAAGCTTTCAAGGTATTCTTTAATACCATGAGCAGTGCAGCTAAACTAACACAGGTACACTGGTAAATTGAGGCACAAATCAGTAACATCTTCAAGTGAAGGTGTTGGAAAAATTATATCAGGTCATCCATTGGTGATTTTTTGTAACTGAAGGAATGTATCCTTCATTTTAAACAAACACAAGAACATGTCTATTGGCTGCATAAAGATTTGAATATTAAATTAAATATTTTGATGATTGTGTGCCCTTGTCACTTACATAATTTGCCTCCATAGAGTACCTGAGCACTGGGAATTAATTACCAATTTGTCCTCTTCTTAATTTGTTTTGCCCCAGGGAGGCACATAATACAGGAGACCTCAGAAGGAAAACAGTAGTTTAAACTTTACTGTATACTACAATGGAAATTGGTCTAGTGCACATGTTGGTACTGTTATCCTCAAGATTGGTCTCAAGTGGAATATCCTTAACACAGTAACTCATATTCTAGAGAACAAAAAAAAAATTATGAAATATACAATTTGAGATGAAGTAATATGCTATATACAATCAAAATAATAATACTTGGTACATAATTACACTAACAATGTGTACAAAAAGAAAGCAACTCATATTGGGTGGCATGGTGAGTAGGTCACTACCAAGTAACATGTGCCGATGATGCAACTGAGATCACGCACCCAGTAAGAGGGTTATGAAGGGAGGTAATGATAGGTGACTGAAATAATTAATGATTTGAGAAAAAAATAAATAAATAAAAAAATAACACCTACAGAGGATTAAAAGTGACATTAAAGGTCCGAAGTACACCATTAAATATTTGTGAAAACGTCAAATCCAAATTCCATTCAACTTCACTATTACCTGAGGCAATTTTATTTAGAGCACACAGATTACAAAAGTTATCGAAAATTGTCAAACAAATAACGATCAGGCTTTTTACCATCAAACTAGCATATTTCTTATATGTCAGTGAAGACATATAAACCCATGCAACTCACATGATGTTATAGATTGTAAAACAATCCACAAAATTTCAGTTAAAATAAACTGTACCCTTATTTATGGATGCAGAAAGAAAAAAAAAAGAGAATAGAGAGAACAGAGAGAGAGAGAGAGAGAGAGAAACAGAAAACAGAGAAAACAGAGAGAAGAGAAAGGACAGAGAGAACAGAGAACAGAGAGAGAGAGAACAGAGAGAACAGAGAGAGAGAGAGAGAGAACAGAGAGAACAGAGAGAGAACAGAGAGAGAGAACAGAGAGAGAGAACAGAGAGAGAGAACAGAGAGAGAGAACAGAGAGAGAGAACAGAGAGAGAGAGAGAGAGAGAGAGAGAGAGAGAGAGAGAGAGAGAGAGAGAGAGAGAGAGAGAGAGAGAGAGAGAGAGAGAGAGAGAGAGAGAGAGAGAGAGAGAGAGAGAGAGAGAGAGAGAGAGAGAGAGAGAACAGAGAGAGAGAGAACAGAGAGAGAGAACAGAGAGAGAACAGAGAGAGAGAACAGAGAGAGAGAACAGAGAGAGAACAGAGAGAGAGAACAGAGAGAGAACAGAGAGAGAACAGAGAGAGAGAACAGAGAGAAACAAACTATTAATGGTAAACTTCATCCAGTTTTTGGACATGTTCTGAAACATTGTAAACAAATATTTATTTATTTATAGTCTAAGCCTACCACAAGAACAAACTATTTATCAAAAATGCTAGTTTCTTCATATCATGTTTTATGCAAATACAATTATAGCATAACGTAGTAAACAGAGCATTATTATGCTAGGCACACTAACACTTTTAATACTACGTTAGGCTCAATAGATTTTTTTTTTTAGTAAACGGATTGTAAGATATTCAAAATATTTTTATTCCAGTGCATAACTAGTGAATTCAATAATGAATGAAGAAACCTGCAAGATATTAAAGTATCTCTGAATAATGTAAAGATTTTTTAAGTTTATTATTTTAAATAAAATATTGATGACTTACAATGAAACTGATGAACTTGACAAGATGGACAAGAATTTGTACGTTTGAGGCAAAAAGATTTTGTGAGGTACGATTAATGTGAAAAAGGAAATGTTACAATTGCACATTTAAAGGGATAGGATATAGCAGATAATCTACAACACAACTAATTTAAATAAAGTGTTAGGGCAAAGTATTTGCATTCACACACACCCTAAGACAGAAACCAAAGCAGAAGTTACCCTTTAAGTTTTCTAATGCTCTAAGATGAAACCCACCCAATGGAGTGCTTACAATATATAGAAGAAAGAACTGGCTGTACAAGAGAATAATAATTTTGAAAAGTATCTACTTTAAATAAAAAAGCACTTTATCTACTGCCATCTCTTACAAAAATTCATAATGACTCAGATCTACCTATATATAATATTTGGCATTTCCTATTTTTAACAATATCAAAGGTGAATCTTCAGCTTCAAATAAAGGTAAGAAGAATCTTCAGCTTCAAAGAAGGTAAAATACCTGGTAGTGTTTGCTCATTTTACAAAATTGACGTTTCTTGTTTGTCAAGCTAGCTGCTGAAAACTAAATATTCATTGGTTTCAGAAATAAATACCCAAACAGGCACAGTCATAATACTAAAGCAAGTTTATCCACCGTTACAAAATATTCACCTGCTTTCTAATGCAGCAGACAGTTAATGTTTAACAAATGTACATCTGTCATTATAAATTCCAACTAGTTCACCTACCTTAATAGCAAATTTTGCCATTATCATCATTCAAATATTATTAGGACATTTAGCTTCATTAGAAGCCGAGTAGATCCCATTATAAATTTTTCCCCTAGCTATCCATTGAATAAGATCAGCAAATAAAATTTTCAAGGACACATAAGCTCATATGCCAGCACTTTATACAAATCTGCATATACTTTCTTAGTGTGAAAATAGCACAGGTTACTTCTGTGCCTCTGACTCCTTGGGCGGCAGGCTTGTAGCTAGGCTGAGGAGGATGTCCACACTTTCCTCTTCCGTCAACTCACCTAGCTGTAAGTTAACGTTTACATCAGTTTCCCAATACTGTACTGTCTAGAACTCATCTTGAAATCTCAAAAAGCTCTTCCAAAATATTTTCTTTTCATTCTAGTCCGTGATTAAAATTTCTAATGCTCGTGCCACAATGAATATAAGCAAATGCAGGTACATTGATTTATTCAAACACAAACTACTTTGTGTATTTCAGGATACATTACAACACCACAGTTACCTAAGCCAAGGCATTTTTATTACTGTAGGAAATAGACCATAATAACTAAATCAAAATTTTGTTGAATAATCCTAATGATTTAAAGACAATTTCTAAAAAGTGTAATATCAAAAATAGATTTTTTTTACCTTTACAATATGGTATCATTGCCTCCTACCTTGGAAGAAGGCTGTTTGGTGGTGCACCTCAAGCACATGTAATCCTCATCTTCATGAACGTCGCCTGCCTTAAGTCCAACACAAACGTAGTGGAACCAGCCCTCGCACCCATCACATTGTACCCAATCAACATTTTGTCCAGCTGGATGATGGCACTTGCCTGCAGCACATGCCTCATCAACATCATCATCATCATCATCATCACTATGCATGCTACTTGAAGAAGCTGAGTGCATCTTTTTCTTTTTCCCAACACCCATGGTCTTCTTTCTTGGCCCTTCTTTACTGTTTGGGCCTCCTTCTTTCCTTTTCTTTTCCCCATTTTTTGTAAGATTAAGTTTCTTCTTGACCACTCCTTTAGGTGTCTTCCCCTCAATAGGAGAAGAACAAATTTTTGTAATTTTTGTTTTCTTCAATGGAGATTTTTGTGGAGACTTTGGTTGAATATCCTCCTGTCCCTCTAAAGATTTTCGCTTTTTAGCAGCTGTTTTTTTGGCTTTATTTTCCTCACTGTTATTGTTGGAGGAATTAAGAGATAAAAGTGTATCTTCCAACATAGCAGGAGGATGATTGGCAGCCTGCAAAATTCGCCACAAGTGAGTGGTTTCATCTAGATTAACTTCCAAGAGCTCCCCTTCAACTAAAAGATCTTGAACTTGTGACCTCATACTTTCAGTAAGGGAAATCAGAGGACCATCATGGTTCTCCATCAAAGTGGCTACCAGACGACTCCATCGGGCTTTGTCAACTTCAGTCTTCTTTTCCTTATTTTGCTTGTTGCTAGAATAAGCATGTTCCCAACTTCCTTCTTCAGATTTTTTGTTTGCCTCCTTTTCTGTATCCATCTTTGATTCACTGTCTATCTTATTTTCTTTTTCCTTTTCTCCATCTTCACTCAGTAGTGAATCATCATTTGTAGATTCATCAACTTCCATTTTCTCCTGAAATGATAAGTGCATTGAGAAGTTGATCAATTTTAAACGAATTATTAATAAGCTTCCAATTTTACGTATTATTTTATGTAATGTGCTTTTGTGCAAGGAAGAGTTTCCAAGACCCCAGCATCCAATTAAATTACATCTATTTAAAACTTATGGGGAAAACTGGATGCACTTCAAGTCAAAATTTGTACCATAAATCATGATCATTACCTCCTATTTCCCCACTTTCATAGAATGGACACATACCAGCCAGAATGAAAAGAGAAAAAACAGGGATCAATATAGTTAAAGAAGGTAACAAGTATTACAAAATACTGTAGTACTCATTCAATTCCTTCATCAATACTACATAGCATTGTAGATAAACAATTACCACTATGTTCCTGAAATTAACCATAGCAGCAATCCACTACTTCATAAAACAAAGAATATAGTGTTCCTATTAAGTTGACATATGTAGTACAAATAAAAGGGTGCAAGGTCCTTGCAACCTCATGCCACCAAACTTTGTTCCTTGTCCTCCATGTTGTTCACTTAATTCCCACTTAATCTCACTCTCTCACTCACTCACAATGTCCACTTACCTTCATCCTGGTATATCTCTCCAAACCTTAATTCACTCTCCATCAGTTTTCTATTATTCACTCATTCACCATGTCCAAATCATCTCAGGATGTTCTTCTAAGTCAACTTTACAGTCCACATTTCTTCATGATATTTTCATACCCCCACCTTATAAATCTAATCCCCTAACAGCACATATGCTTACATCAATTTCTATGGCACATCCCTGATACATAAAGTTTACATCATACCACCATCTTGTATCTATAAATAAGGGTCAACACTAGTATTCATTCATGTATTCCTGGGGATGCAACTATTCCTATTTTTCTTTATTCTAACCAGTGCTGTCCATGCAGCAGCATGGACAGGACTTGAGTAGAAGAAGAACTCCCAGAACTCCATTCCAGTACAGCAATAAAGGTTGGCTTCTCCATAACTCTGGTATACGTTTGTGGCTCTATACCCCCATACCAGGTATGAGGTATAGAGCCAGACCTTACTCTCCCGTAGCCACTGTTAGGTCAATGAGAAAAACGAGGGAGGGAGGAGAGAGGGAGGCGGGAAGAGAGAGGGAAAGAGGGAGGGAGGCGGGAAGAGAGAGGGAAAGAGAGGGGGGGAGGAGAGAGGGAGGCGGGAAGAGAGGGGGAAAAGAGAGAGGGGGTAGAAGGAATGAGGGACAGGAAGGAGGTGGTAGCAGGAGGAAAGTGGTAAGAGAGGAGAAAATATGGAGGGTGAGGAAGAAAAAGAGGGGAAGGGAGGGAGGAGGGAAACAAAGGGGGATGGACTGCAGGGGAGTGAGGGAGGCGGCAACGGTGAAGGATGCATACCCATGGCGGCCAAGAAGGGGGCTACATGGGTCAATTTCAACAGAAAATTTTGCACCATCATACAGAAGTCATAACGTTTCAAGTGGAAACACACAAGTTCTTCAAATATTGCACCAGTACTGCAATTTTGTGAAGATCGAAGCCACAATATCCCTACTGTGGATGCCTAATAAACACGTAGAACTTTATGGAGCTGATAATGGTTAAAGATGAACCAAACATTATTTTTGTCTCTAATTTGAGGATTAGCATTACTTTGTTAGTCACATTGTTAGTGTTTTTCAACAGCTAAGTTGATTCTTTATACACTTCATACATAGAACAATCTTTATCTAATACTTTTAGCATTTTTATAGCCATAACAACCAATAATCTTTTATGATACTAACATCTTGTACTTGGGGTGAAATGGGCTTATGCTGATTGGCCTGTGCTTCAATAAGCTTCTGGGAAAATATTGATAATGTTCCCAAGGCAGCCATCAATTCATCCGTCTTCATAAGTTGCCGAGCTCTGTCCTGCCATGACATGGCCCGCTCTGTCAGGCACTGTAATGCTTCGGCTTCTGGTAATCTGATGACAAAGGCATAAAATTAAAAATCAAAATTTTCAAATAACTATGTAAAGCTTCCAATCTTTCCTACTAAAAATATTAATTGTGACAAATCTAGAAACAAATAGTAAAAGACTTACATATCATATGAAGCTGTGAGCAAGTATTTAGAACACATGCAATAAAATAGATAATTCTCATTATCTAATTCAATATTTAATAATCATGTAACACTATAAAACCTACAGAAATGTACAGCAAGAACAGCCCCCTTAATATTCTTTCATCCCGAGAGCCAGGACAAGAATCTGGCTCTCTACAAGGTATAGCGAGCTGAGAGGATCTATGCAAAACGAAGAAAAAGCCTCACCGGAAGGAATAAGAACAACAAAGAAAGAAAACATGTGAGGATGACCATAGAGGAAAAACACGAGATCATTTGTAAACATGAAAATGGTATGAGAGTTGTTGATGTAGAGTAGAGGATGTCCCTTCCTCATTTATTAAGAAAATGTGTGCAGTATCGGAAGAATTGCAAAGATTCGCCGAAAAGTGTCACCCAAATCAAGCTGTAGCAGACCGCTGTGTTAACCTTTTTAATGACAATGTGATGTCTCACTTCAGACAAGTGTTACAACATAGGGAAAAACAAAAGTCGCTAGACTGGTTTTTAGCGAGAAAAACAAGCAGCGAGCCACAAGCAGGTCCTAGTGGTATGCAGACAAAAATGTAGGATAGAGGACCCCATCACTGCCTGATATGATGGAAGGGGACTCCCCTTCCAAACACTAATACCTCTTCACCTCCCCACCTCTTCCTCAATATAATCAGGATTGACGACTGTTGCTCTCATTACAACAAAAACAATTAATTTTGACTTACCTGACTGGCAATTTCTGGAGAGCGACTAGAAGGGCAAGGATGGTCTCAAGCCGTGGACGCCGAGAACGCTCACAAGATGGACATAAAAATCGACCTTCATTGCTTAATTTAACTTTATTACGATGAGAAGATGGAACACATGCACCTGAAACAGCAGAATTAATGATTAAAAGAACTAACAAAATATAAAATCCAGAGAAATGACACTGCAGAAGGAAGCGTTTTATAAAATTATGAAAAATAAATATAATGTATTGTGTAACCTCCATTTGGTGAACTATACAGGATCAACCCCAAATTGTTGGAGTGAGGGATTAGCTGCATCCCATGATGCTTTCAGCATTTGTGTGATTCAAGTGTTTAACACCGTCCAGTAGGGACGGATATTGCGTCCATAAATAACTCGACGGATGTCAGTCGGTGACGCATTTTCCGTCTAAAATTAAAAGTTGTTGAAATTAATTTTTTTGATCATTATAGGATCAATACAGTATTAAAATGCGTGCCTTTTAATTGCGAACAAGTTGATACAAGAATGAACAACGTAGCAAGAAAATTCAGAAATTGAGGTGAGCAAACTAAACAGAGTATTCACATTTCAGTGTTAGTACGCGGATGGGTGCTCGCTCACGGGTAACACTTGTCCGATTTTCGGGTTTGCTGAGGGTGGCAGCCGAGCTTTCTGACCTTATATGCATATATCCCTTTAGAGAATTCTATTGCAAACAAATTGATACCAAAACGAACGATGTAACACAAAAATTGACTTGAGAAAATAGAAAAGAACACACATTTTAGTGTGGGTGCACACTCACGGGAAACGCCAGGTCCACCTTGGGGTGGTCTGGGGCACGCACACCGGGGATGCAAAAGTGTTAAAAGATAAGGTGGTTCTGGATATAAATGCTGTCATCTGAGAACCAAACAAAGGCCATTGTGCAAGGAGCATATGCTATGCTATGCTTTCCAACTTCAGAATTACTTTGAAATACTGTATTTTAAATACATGGATGGCAAAATATTTAAAAAAAAAAAAAAATCTCAAGTAGCACATCAATAAACTCAAAAAGGTGCAAGGATATGCAATTAAATGGCTTTCAGAAATAAAAAAAAACTTGGAATGTAATGAAACGCCATTTTCTGGGCCATGGTCTAATATATACACACATCAGCCCAATAAAGCTCCAGGGAGCCAAAGGGGCTCTCCACAGAAAAAAAAAAAAAACTTACTACGAGAGGTTAGAGGCGTTAGATATACCAAAGCAAGAAAAGAAAAAGAGGTAATATGCTCACTACGTACAAAATAGTAACAGGAAAGAACGAAATTGACAAAGCAGAACTTTTGAAAACTTCACCTTTAAGAACAAGCGAACAAAGGTTATAAAAAAAAAATTCACATTTGCAAACAGAGTGGAAGACAGCTAGTGAGAAGGTAGTACAGTAGAGGCAAAAACTGTCAGTAATGTACTGTAGTTTTAAAGCATCATACGACAGTATTTATCTCACGTATTTATAATTTTGGTGCAATTCGCTTATTACTTTTTGAGCAAATTCTGCACTCAAGGGGGAAGGTTACATTGCTAAATGACAGTAAAGACTTACCTTGCACAATAACATGCTAAAGTTCTCATGTTTCATGCCAATAACAAAAAAATGTTTCTCCAGATATTACACACATTTTCATTTTGGAAAAATATAATCCTGTCAAAACCATGAAGCACCTCTACTATTGATTTGAGTTTAAGTGAAATTAGCAACGAACATACTGTGAAACAGGTCGAGACATAAGGAACAGGTGAGCATATTCGGCTGTGGGGGCTTGTGACACAAGCAGAAGGTGGCTCCATCTTGCGGGGAATCCCCATCACGTTTATTGCGATTATGAGCTCTCAGTGCTCTCATAGCTCCCAACTCTCGTTCTTCACATTCCTGTTGAAGTCATTAGAATTATAATATTAGATACATATCTTCTTCTACCATAAAGGAATACAATAATAGTTAAAAACAAAATATTAATGTAAAGAACAATTATATAGGACTTAAGTATTGTTAACATCTGTAATGCAAATTACAGTACAGGTATATGGGGCTCACCCCATTTGAGTAAGTAGAATTCCTCATCAGGAATGTCCCAAAAATGGACACATTTGCCATTTTTTGTTACATAACCCAGTTACTACCATGGTTTACTGGTGCACTCACTGCTTACCTGCTTGCTTCTGCCGTTTGCTTGAAAACAACGAACACAAAATTCATTCAAATTATCCAAAGATTCACGTTACCGGAATTTGGATTACCGAGCTCACACAGTACTGTACTTGCAATATTTACCAGAAAATACAAACAAAAACAAGTTAATGAAAATAGGTGTAATGATATATCAAAGATAAACCATCAAAATTCTCTTTACCTTTACACAATGTTGAGGGACTTGCTCAGAAAGGATATAAGTACAGTACAGGCAGTTTCTCCAATTACAAACGAGTTACGGTTTAAGATTTTTTGTGAAGCATTTGTTTGGAACGTGGATCGAGATTTTCCATAGCAGTAATGCTAATAAGTGGGAGATGGAGTCCCAGGCCACTAAAAATCCTGACAAAACCAATATTTTGGGACATATAATATAAAAAACCACAACATTATTTACCTTGAATGATGGTGTTAACCCACCCACACAAACCTTCACCCCCTGTTTGTGTCCAAACAGCACAGTGGCCACCATACATTGCATGACAAGTCACATTGCATGACAAGTCACATAGCAGACATCGCGACAAGTACGACGCCATCTACGTCACCAAAATGGCCCCCCTCCCAACATACTCCTGTTGCTGTAATTACACTATATACACACACACACATTGTCTATACCCATGTACATGTGTGTTCACCATAGTGAACGCCTCAGGTTATGCCTCACCATGCCTCAAGTTAGTATGGTGAGCGAAACAAGAGTGGCTGCCCCACACAGTGATGCTACCTCGATTCCTTTCCTCCCTCACCAAAATTCCTCCACCCACAATACTACGCACAGTGCTAATTATCACCACAATCCTGGTCACTAAATCCTGTAAATGAATAATTGACCACAAGTTCATTTTGTAAATGATCACAAGTCATTTGAAGATTCTTAGATGGCCGAAATAATGCTGTGGCTAGTGCTGTGAAGTGAATAGTGAATATCATGAACAACATTGATTCATCGATATTTGAACATTGTACACAGTCATTATCCTACTCGGGCTCTTCTGTAATACTATCACCACTAAATAATACCAGTTACATATATTTTTTACATTTTTAGGAGATGCTGTGGTGACAAGCTGAACAGCAGTGCTGTGAGCTCATGCTGCATGCTCACTCAGTACACCAGGGAATGTTGCCCACAATTTTTTTAAAATGGCATCTGTTTACAAGAGCCCTGAGAAAGGTGATGTATCCCCAGACCGTTTAAATCTTGCATAGTACTCCAAAACTGTATATGCAGCGATGCGTACTTTTGCGTCGGTTACTCAAAACTTCATTTGCAGTTTTGCGCAGTATAAGGGTTATAGTCTTATGTACGTACTGCATGTTGCAGTGAGAATGTAGTTACTAGTATTACCTTCATTCAAAGCTCAATGAAGTGAATAATTTTCTAAAGAAAACAAGTTATTACAAGTGCAATAAAGAAAATCCTATGACCATAGGATTATGTAAACAAGTTCATCTATAATGTAGTCAATGTAATTGTAGACAAAATTTCATATTTTAAAATATTGTACTTATTAACTTACCTTGAAAGCCTTGACAACTGTGGGAGGGTTTGCTGCATCTTCAAGGCTTATATCCAAGAGCTGGGTCTGTTGTTGCTGTGCAGACATTTCCTCTCGCTTAACTCTCTTCCGTTTACCCGACACAACTCCAATATCGGTTCTTGGTACCAATACCTAAGTAAATAAGAAGCAGATAATATCACAATGCTACAAAGAACATTAATCTGTCTACCAAGTTATTACTACTGTGAAATTGTTTACAAAAATGAGGAACAGAGTCAGGGAGAATAAAAAGTAAAGTTTTGAGACACTAAATAAACAGTTTCAAAATGTGTTTGGGCAAAATGAAATTTTAGAAATTAACACTAAAACCATCAGAAGCCTTAAAATGGCATATGCCATAGATAACAGGGAAGATGAGATACTATGTGAGTAGCTCTCATTCTTTAACTTTTTATTATTATTATTATTATTATTATTATTATTACTACTACTACTACAGAGGACCACATGGTTTGCGAAGCTCTCGGGGATGATCTGTCGGTCTCATCCCCGATGAGAGGTTCTCATATTAGGTGTTAGAGCAGTGCACCCTCTTTCCTCATACTCTCACTTTGGGCATAGTAAAGTGGTTAAATTTATCAGTTAAGGCAAAGTGTAGATCCTAATTCTGAGGTTAGTTTTGCTCTTTGTGATGAAGAATTAGGAAAGATGCACCAGTGAGTGACAAAGAGGACCTTTTGGAAGAAAAAATGAAATCATTAAATCAGGAACAACATATTTCCCAAAACACACATTTTACACTTCCCAGAACACTCAGTACACTGTCTACAATACCTTGAGAAAGGATGTAGATTACATCCAAAAATTAGGTTTTTAATACAACATAATTTGGGTTTTTAATTCACCTTTACACTTATTTTACCATCATATGCAGGTGTCAAACACACGTGTTCAACATATTACACAGAAACCTCATAATATGGTAAACAAAAATAAAAATTTCTCCTTGAGGCAACGCTGTCCAATTTCAATGGCCAAGAAAACGTCTACAAGCCCCAACTTACCTCGAGTAAAGTGAGATGCGAATTTTTCTTTAGGAAAGTGCGTGATGTCTTTTCTAACCATGCATGTGCTGCAACTACATTTTCCTCTAGTTCAGCCAATGGCTCCAGGTGCAAGGACACAGGACGGCCTCGAGTCACTAGTCCTTCTATCGTCTCGAGTAGAGGAGCTGTATCGCCTTTCTGTAGGGTGGTCACTTTATTTGTCCATTCCCGTGCTCGTTTAACAGCATCCTTAAGAGCAGCAACACTTGGGAGGTGTGCAGGCACCTCCTCTGCCTGCTTTACCAACTCTTCACCTCTACTAACACTGATGCCTGGTCTTAATGAGAAATTTAGTTTAAATTAATATTGTGATGCATTTTGAATAATAAGGTTTTATTTATTATTTTTATCTATAATTGGTTGTTAATAATATAAGCCACACTAATTTGCTGGCTCCATCTGAAATATCTTCCTTATTCCAGAACTAAATAATTCAAATGTAATAAACATATAATGCTTAGAGTACAAATGAAAGCAACTCCTTTACACAATGTATTTTTCTTACAACTGTTCAGCCAAGTACCAGCCAGGTCATTTCAGCCTACACTTTCTGACACGCTACTTGCTGCCTTGTGACAGAGCTGTGGTGTGCCGAAAATAAAGTATTCCCCCCAATTTGTTTTTTTGTCTTATATTGTTAAAATGCGTTCTCTGATCATGGGAAACTATAAAAATATTGTATGTGACAGTTTAGCCTTGATGGAGCTGAGAAGTCAAGCTATTTATAGGCGCTGAGTGTTGAGGCATGAGAACACACTAGGCCGAGCTAGCTCATGGGGCACCAGTTGCCGCAAATATATTTGTCCATAATTATTTCAAAGGCTCTCATTGGCGAAAAGCTGCAACCAGACAAAACATGATGCTTGGTTGGTTCAGCCAGGGGTGCATCAACAACCTAAGAATCCCTCCAGAATGCAGCGGTCTCATTCTTCGTCAGAAAAGAAGGAGGCAGCTACAAACAAACTGACCACAGGACCAAAAGAGCAGAAACACCCTGCACCGGAGGAGAGCATAAAGATCCTGGACCCGACCTTCAGTAGCCAATGCCAACAATAAAAGAGCTTTAGAAAAGCAGTCCAGAACCGAAGGGGCCACCACAAACCGAGGAGAGAGAGCACCCTGTCTAAAGACCAGGATGGCTCAGGTGGCACATGAGCAGGCCGGAGGTGAAACAACGCCCAAGAAAGCTTGCAGAACGGAGCAGAAGCTACATCCTTCCCTAATGCAAGCTGAAGCAGCTCCGCCAGCACTGCACGATATGAGGTGACAGTATTTGGTACAAGATGAAGGTCCTGAAACAACCAAGAGAGAAAAGAAAATAACCCAATCAGAAATTGAAGACAACCTACAATGAGCCAAAAAATGTCAAAAGGACCACCAGGAATCTTCATACTGTCGTTAATGAAGCCCCCTAATCATCAAACAAGTGGTGATGTGCCTGTACCTCCAGCAGAGCCAACTGAACGAGTCGGGCGTCAATCGTCCATTCCGTGGAAAAGGGAATGAACCGGGACAGGCTGTCTGCCAGGACGTTAGACAACCCCTGAACGTGAACCGCCAAGAGAGCAAAACTCCGAGAACTCAGCAGACGAGTCACCCGAAGGGACCAGTCCCAAAGAGCCAAGGACGGCATCGAACCCCCATCACTTCAGGCAATGAACCACCAGGGAACAATCCGAATGGAGCAGAATCGACTATCTGCAAGCAACCCGAACCCTCCAAGGTGAATAATCACACCGCTGTGAAATCCCACCATGGTGTGAGGATGGTCTCTCCTGGCCTGGATGTGTGTGTCACACACACACAGTGGGGGGCCTGGTAGCCTGGTGGATAGCGCGCAGGACTCTTAATTCTGTGGCGCGGGTTCGATTCCCGGACCAGGTAGAAACAAATGGGTAAAGTTTCTTTCACCCTGAATGCCCCTGTTACCTAGCAGTAAATAGGCACCTTGGAGTTAGTCAGCTGTCACAGGCTGCTTCCTGGGGTGTGTGTGTGTGTGTGTGTGGTGGAAAAAAGAAAATAGGTAGTAAACAGTTGATTGACAGTTGACAGGCGGGCCAATACAGAACTGTGTGTGGGGAGGGGGAGCAAAAAAATTAGTAACAGTTGATTGATTGACAGTTGAGAGGCAGGCCGAAAGAGCAGAGCTCAACCCCCACAAGCACAACTAGGTGAATACACACACACATTAAATAAACTTACTTAGCATTTAGAGCTTGACTAGCCTTTTCTTCCCATGTTTCCATGTTTGTGAGCAGCTGTTGCAATTGAGCCATAGACTTCTCAATTCGTGGATGAGGTGGTAAAGAAATCCCCGAATCTAGAAGTTTCCGCACGCACTCCACTGTCACCGACGTGCTGTCCTCTAGTGTCTCTTCCACCTCCTCTAACCATTCAACCTGCGATATTATCAACAAGTAATCCAAAGTGACAATGCTATTAATAATAAAAAACTCATTAACATATACCTAAGAGTTGCTTTGCTGAACAAAGGGTCAGTACCGAGCTAAATTCAGCTATGCATTCCCTTTGTGTTTGTATGTAATTATCTAAGTATAGTTACAAGATGAGAGCTATGCTCATGGTGTCCTGTCTTCCCTGTCATATGAGACTTTTGAAACTAATGATGATTTTGGAATCCACCACCAACACAATTACTTTGGTCCAACCACATATCACGATATTCAAATCAGAACTCTTGTAATATTTTTTGTCCTTTGTTTCCTTAGCTAGAATCAATGACCTCTTGAAGTTGTTGATTTCAAAATTCCTCTTGTCAATTTTGTTAATTCCTGTAATTATTTTGTATGTGGTGATCATATTGCCTCTTTTCCTCCAATCTTTTAGCCTTGGTATGTTTAATAATACCTTCAACCTTTCTTCATAGTTCATAATCTTAAATTCTTGGAACCAGTTAACAGACTGTTTCTGAACCCTTTCTAATTTGTTGTGTTACTCAATATATGACACCACCACACTGCTGCATATTCTAATTTTGTTCTCGCAAGTAGTGTGAACTGTTTCTTTAATATTTCTCTATCCATATATTTAAATGCAGTTCTGAAACTTGCTAGTGTAGTGTAGGCTTCTCTCAATGCCATTTATGTGAACCTCTAATGAAAACTTACTACCCAAAACCACTCCCAGAGCTCCTTCCTTGTGGGAGATTTTTAATATCTTGTCATAATTTATAGCTTAAGTGTAGCCTGTCCTCCCTTATTCCTCATTACATACCTTAGCCTTACTTTTTGATGATTCTGAGAATCAACTTCTTCCCAACCTGGTCTCTCACTAGGCCTCCCAATTGGTGGTCTGTTTAACCAGGCTAGTTACACCCTTTAAGTATAGGGAGAGAGTGAGAAGGTTATCTTGAGATAATTTCGAGGATTAGCATCCCCGCGGTACAGTCCTCAAACAGGCCTCATTTTTGTTACATCCCCGATGAAGCAGCCCATAGGAGCAGTCTAACTCCCAGGTATGTATTTACTGCTAGGTGAACAGGAGCATCAGGGTGAGAGAAACTGCCCATTTGTTTCTGCCCCCCCCGCTGGGGATCAAACATTGAACCTTAGGACTACAAATCTGGAACGCTGTCCACTGAGCTGCCAGAAGCCTTCAAAGTTAATACTACATTCCCTCTATACTAGATCCTTTATAGATAATAAACAATACCGGTGATAGAACCGAACCATAAGGTACTTTAGTAGTCACATTTCCTCCCGTCAGATACATTTCCAAATTGACACACATTTGCATGTCAAAAACTTTATCATTCAATTTAGAAGTCTGCCTGTCACCCTGCCAATGTACTTTAACTTTCAGAAGAGTTGTATGAGAGTCAGTTGTCATATATAAGAAGTATAATGTACATGAAGTCCAGTCATATACAATCGGCCCTTTCGTGCAATATTTCTATGGCTCTGTTGTAGAAACTAAGCAAATTTGTTTTGCATGACCTACTCACTTAAAATTGCATCATCATATCTCTACTTTCCAGGTACTCTGTCTATTTTGCTTTTAATAACTATCTAGTGCTTTTACTACCACACTTGTCAATGATATAGGTCTCTAGTTTAATGTGTCTTCCCCGTTTCTATTCTTACAGACTATAACTTTTTTTAGCATGTCTGTCAGGTTCCATTTGTAAGGATCCCATAATGTATGACTAAATCAAGCAACATGTAGTTTTAATACAATAAGATATTCATCCAGAAATTTTTTTTTTAAGAAGTTGAATAAAACATTTGACTATAAGACATGACAAGTTGTAGACAAAAGGATTAGAAAAGTCAAATTTAACATACCTCATCTGTGACTATGTTTGAACTTTACCAATTTAAAGGGAAGAAGATATCAGAGAATACATGCTAACCTGCTGTAGTTTATGTTTGAGTCTTGGCAATTCTGGCAGATCAATATCTAGAGAGCAGCCAGTATCAACCATTTTGGCAATGACATCCGAGTCAGGTATTTCTTGATTCAACAGCTCAATAGCCTCCTCTTGGAAAGTTGTCACTCTGGTTAACAGTTCCTTTACAGCCTCACCTTCACGGACAACACAAGCTAAGGATTCTATCTGCTCGTGGAACAATCTCAGCTCTTCTAGAGTTAAACGACTTTTAGCTTCTCCACTTCCACGGGTCCTAAAAAGAATAAATTAAAATAACAAACATCAGAAATAGTTTGAACACATGAGGGTGTTTTAGTGTTGTTCTGGTATGTTTACCATGTTGAGTTCATATGCTGAATTTGCTGCCATTGCCTGAATCAAAGAACGCATAAACATATTCTTTAACCCCTTCACTGTGCACCTCCTTTATGTGCTGCAACATCCAAGCACAAAAAAAAAAGACAGGCATATTGAAATAATTAGATAATATCTTTGTAGCAACCCCCGCCTGATGACTCGGCTGGAGGAGATCAGCCCCAGACGTGAAGTCTTTCAGCGCCTGTATTTTGCCAAAATTTCCTCGTCCTATTATGGACAAAATATCTCGCCTCTGATTTTTTTTTTCCGTGATCAGGGACCACATTTTAACAATTTAAAATTTTTAACAATTTAAATTTAAACAATTTAAATTTGCAAAAACAAGGGTTGTTGAATCTTGATTCCACAGTTTTGGCGTACATTCCAACAGTTTATATGTTACTACATTTCATCCATTTGCTTTATCTTCCTATTTTAGAAACTGACTGCAAGTCACCATGTGATAATCATCATAATGTGTCCCCCCCACAATCCAAGGGTTAATATGAAATGCATATTTATAATTTTAATGTTTTAGAGAGTAATTTCAAGGCACTTTCTATCACAGTACTAACCTAGTGCGGACCTTCTTTGTAGCAAGATGGGCAGCAACAGTGGCACATTTTTCTGCTTCTGTTACTGCCTGAATTAGAGTCTGCAGTAGCTCACTCTCTGGAAATCTCTGTGCTTCTGCTTCCTCAACTAGCTCTCGTAGATCACCCAGTTCTAGAAGGAAGTTACTTTACATTTTTGGTATACAGTAATTGAATGTCAAAATAAAAATGCAAAACTAGATTACAACTTAATTTTTAGATGAAAGTCAAATAAATGTGAACCATTTTCTTACTTTTTAAATTATGTTAATTGTTGAACTGATACAGCACATTAAAAATTGCAAGTTCAAGTAACTGAGATAATGTCATAAACAAAGTACAAGTTTACCTAATTTATCTTCTGGTTTGGCCTCTAATGCATCTTTGACCTTGACTGCCCAATGATCAAATGATTCTGCCCTTACTTTTAGACGCTGCAGCAATGGGGGAAGTTCATCTAATGTGTATCGATATCTGTAAGAAATTTAAATATGAACACAAAGCTATGTATGAAATATAAGGTCACTATTTTTGTAATAAAGCAAGCTAAAGTGACAGGAAACAACAGAAAGATTCATACATATCAACTGCTGTTGATTATAATGTGTCTGGGATAACAAAACTGTATTAGCAGGGAAAACTAACCTGAGTGTGTGGTTCTCTGGTGGACATTCGCATAACATTTTATAATGCCTCAAACATACTAAACGGTCTTGTGCACAAGAGCAGGTCACAGCTGATAGGAAACAGGTTGTCTTGCAGCAATCGCACTGTCTCTCATCATCTGGTAAGAGCTCGAATGCCTCTCTTTCTGCACTAGTTACTCCCTATTGAAAGAAAAAATGTTGAAATACTGCATTGATAATAGTTCTGCAACTCTATATTCACAAATTGAAACTAATGGATGATCTCTGGTCCCCCATGAAATGCATATAAACAACAAAGAACGATTCTTTAAAAAGCAAATATAAAATATCTCACCAAGTTGATTTGTGGGTGTGGTGGGCTTTAGGCAATGGTGAGGGGTTTCATTTTGGAGTGAGATGACAACCTTACTTTATGTTAACCCCTTTAATTAAATGATCATGACTGCTGTTTTACCTTGACACCAATTTGTTTACTCTGGTGTGATTCCACTCTAGAATAGCCATCATACAATACACCTGTATATTTGAGCATGATCACCTTGGCTAATTCCCTAGCCAGGGTCAAGAGCTCTACAAAATAACTGACTGCATTCCAGGCTCTGGTTTACCATGAACCCCACAAGAAAAGCAAATTCTTAAAGGTCTTGTTGAGCAGACATGGGGCAGGGAGAACTACTAAGAGAAATTACTCGCTATAACACCAAAGATCAGATTAAATCACTGACACCCCTTCCAATATTAACCCTAAAAGGGCACTTGCCTTAATAGCCTTCAACACTGTCATGTGCAAGAAATACAAAAATTCAAAGAATATTTTTTGTCTTGTAAAAGTGTTTGTTCCCTGACCAAGGGGGGGGGGGGGAGGAATCATATTATGCGACATATTTTGGCCGCAGTAGGGCGAGGAAGTCTAGCAAAATTGAGGCACTGACATCAAGAGGCGGTCTGCTCCACCCACACTGTCAGGCAGGAGTTGCCACAAAGATATTAATACCTAATTATTTCAATGTCACCGATTTATTATTTTTTTTTTTTGCAGTAATATTATTCAATAGTGTGTAGTGTGATATATTTATATAATAAAAAGTGTGAGCCATCACTATACTCAAAAGTATGGAGCCACACTGAAGAATTACAATAGAAACCTTTCTTTAAACATACAGTATATCAGTGTTGAGTACCTAAAATCAATATGAAAAGGCATACTTGAGAGATTTATGGAAGAACCACAGAATGCAAAAGATAAATAATCTAGTGAAACTAAAAAGGTATATCCTTTACCAGGGACAATTAATACTCTAATACTAACCCAATGTAGAAGTGATCTGCGGAGTTTCTTTTCCAAATCCACCATTCGCAGCATATCTTGGTATGTTGCTGCAGCTACTGTCAGGTCTAATTCATCTGGAGTGGAAGCCATTTTACAAACAAGCTCGTTATGGGAGAAGACACAGTAACGCTTCAGATTACTATAGTGTAGCACACACTCACGCCCAATGGCCAACTGAAAGAGAGAAATAATGATGAACCAAAAGATGGAAGTAGTGAAAGTTCACAACCCTCTGTTGTCCTTGGATGCACTAGAAATAGAGTATTAATAAAAATGAACACTTAGGTCTATTCATAAAATGAAGAATCAAAATTCCCAGTGATGTCACACCCGACTGCCAATAGAAACCCCTGGAAGTTTAACAGAAAACATAAATTTCTGTTTATTTAAAGCCACCTTTTACTTATGTGTTAATTCAATGATTGCCATACATCAATAAGACTCGGTCTTATTATAAAACATACTTAATGTGAAATTAATGCATGCATGCTTTCACTACACTAGTAAAATAATAATACATACTCTATCAATATAGTGGCAGCTCCAGAAATTCAATATAATATAGTATAGGAGAGGTTCAAGGGGTGGCAATCAGCTTGGAAGAGGGTTGCCAGAGTACTAAGCATGAAGCTGCATTTGCAGAGCAAGCACTGTTTTTAATTAGATTATATTAAACAAACAAATACAAAATGTTTTCTGAATGTGCGCTTATTTGCAGACTTTTTTGCCTTTGCCATATTTTGATGATCTAATAGAATTCAATAAAGTTTGTCTGAATACAAGTTATCCCTCTTGTATACTAAAATTTGTATAAACAACACATAAGTTAGATCAAAAGCCTTACCCAGTCAGGTGGAGCAAAGTTGACAGCTTCAGCAAAATTATAGCCTTGGTTAAACCCAGCATGATATGATCTTGGGAAAGTTATCACAAATTCGCCAGCATGTTGATCTGTTCTCACAATTGGCACCCCTGAAAATAAATTTTATTGAATGACTTGTTCTTCAGTTTAAAAGTACTAAAAATTTAATTTGTAATGAACTTTATATACTCTTAAATATTTACATTCATGCACAACCATTAGTATTGGAAAAGGAAGCACGTAAGGGGACGAATTTGATAAGTTCAAACGTAGATTTGAAAAACTTGCTATCAAGAAAATAGAACATCAAGAATAACAAAATGCCCCTTTCTGGTAAACACCTAAATATATTCCCTGTTCATATGGCAGTAGCACACTAGGAACAGCTCATAAAAAACTTTTTTGAGAAACTAGGAGAATGTCTTCTAAAATCAAGAGGAAACAGGACAAAAAGTACGCAAATGTCAAAGCTCAATAGGGCAGACGTGTCCCAGCCACAGAGATAATCGATCATCGGTGTGTGAAATTATTGTCTTATCTTTCACTGTCTTGGCGATTCAGGATGGTGTTCTGTTGTTGAGAATGATGATGCTTAATACCTCCCTCTTGCAAATGAAGTGTAAGACGTTTACTCAGTGAATTCCTGGTATATACAATGTAGGACATTTTGGAGCACAGTCTCCAGAGCTGCATTTGTATTGACATACCGCATTAGTACACCTCAGTTTGTCAGTGGAGGCAGATATGTTATTTCTCATAATGAGGGAAACTGTATGAGGAGTTGTAACAAATGATAAGACAAATCCTTGCATTTTCACTGCAAGGTTTACAATTTCAGTCAATTATAGCTCTTATCTTTTCATTCTTCTTACATGCATTTATATAATACACTATAATGTCTTCCCTTGGGGGCCGATTATCCTCAGTCTAATGCCAGACTAGCTTCTTTCTTACAATTTCATTAAATTCTGTATTGCTGTAATCATTGTTCACAATTTTATGGATTCGCTCAGTTCGTGGTGCAAAAGCAACCAAGAAGAGCATGAACGTATTGCATGACCTACATCCGCAATGATGACGCTTCTCTTATACCTTCTTGAGTTCAAGAATTAACACTGATGTTAAAAGTTGCCCTATGTCTGTGGGGACAAGTATCTTTAGTGATAAAAATGGAAATAGGCCTATATTAGACATTAGAGAAGATATAATTATAAAAAATATACATAAGGGAGGAGGCTCAATGGACACAGTGCAGCAGAAGTTGCAATTAACATATATATATATATTCCACTTGAAGAAAAATAAACATTCTTTATAAATCTGTTTCTTACAAACCTGATTTCATTAAAATGTTTGGATTCATAATAGTGACTAGCTGATGAAGTAGATCTGGCTGTGCTTGAAACAACTCTGGTGCGGCATTTTTCATGGCAATTTCAAAGGGCTCTGCTTCAGCTCCTGGTACCCCATACCAAGTTTTTGGTTCTCCCCTGAAAATATATAGCGTTCAATTTTATTAATAGTTTGTATGCCAACTTTAAATAACTGAGAAGGAGACCTTTAAACACATCAGCCCAGTATAGCTCTAGGGAGCCAAAGGGGCTCTCCACAGAAAATTTGATCAACTTTTTATACATTTATACAGCTGAAAGTACTGATTGACTTACCAATGCAAATAATTGATGGAATAACTCCAGTGATCTTCATTATGCCAACAGAATGTAGAGAAGCACATACCAACATACATCCAAGGGACCTTCATACCAGAGATGTCACAGTTTATGTGCCCAAGGACAGAACCTTCCAATACTGGCAAGTTGTTCAGGTTCCAACCGCTAACGGCATACTCCTGGGAAAAATATATATACATTATCTACATATACAAGAAAATACAAAAGTACACAAACTTGGCATACATTACAATAGCTTACAAACAGCAGTAATGTTATTTTAACATGAATGATTGGATGGTTATCAAAAAACATGAAAATATAGAAATAAATACTGTATTTAACAGAATGAACAGAAAATTTAAATGTATTACAAGATTATGTTGGGCATTAAAACAGCAATACAATGTTTGTTGTTTTGGCTCTGCACTCCAACACTGAATTTGAAAGAAAATACCTGTGAAGGTTAAGTGAATAAAATAATATAGTTGTTTAAGGTCCTTATATCAACAAAACAAAATTGCTAAGTAACTCAACATCAGGTCAAACATGTTCCAAATGTGCAGAATGTCATCATAAATACAACAAATAAGTAAACTTACCAATACCAATTACCAATTATTTATACAGTATATATATTTTAGTAGCAAATTATTATCATGCCTCCGGCATGGCCGGAGCAAGGGTGGAGATCACCAACAACTTCAATTCTGAGCCCTTAAACACTACACAGAGCAATCCTGGGACTTCCATTTGAGCACAAAGCCCTGTATGCAGAAACTGGTCAAACCTAGCTAGTAATGCAGCAATTTCCTCAAATGCCTTTACTTCAGAGGCAGGATCAGAGGACCAGAACCCATGGGGAACAAACCCCACATCATTTAGGGTTATATGTCATTAACCCAACAGGCAGCATGGTGGAGAAAGAATGATCGTCACCACTTAGCAAAGGAGACGAACAACCTTCAAACTTGCAAGTTGGGCAAGAGCGGGCTAGACAGGCTGTCCTTTAAGCATAATTAACCTCGACACAGACTTGCTGGGGTATACTAGGGCCTGCCGGTAATAAGCCAGACAGGTGCTCCCAGGTATTGGAAATGCTGCTAAAGAAAACAGTAACCACAAGGAGCCCCACTCAGTGCTGTTTAAAAATAACGGCACCGAGGTCAGAAGTCCTGAAATACCCGAGATAAGGTACTCCACCCCAGTGGCCTGGCCTCAAAATGGTGAACCCCCATACCTGGAGAGAGTTTCGGGAGTAGTTCTACTCCCGGAGCCCGGCCTGGGGTCAAGGATAAAACACACCTCTAAATGAACTCTGTCACTGCAAGGGCAGTGCTCACGAACATCCAGGAAAGTAAATGCTAGACATGCAGTTCGGAGCACAAAAAGCCAAGTCCACACAACAAAACCGGGTGAAAAACATGCACACGAACCAAATACTACAAAGTAACGATACAATAGCAAAAGAGGCCTCCACAGAACGAGTCATAGAAAGACCAGAACTTGGCTTAGAATCTCTGGGACTTGAAACAAGATGGTGTGATAAAGGAGCTCTGGGTTACGCATCAGTGGACGAACTTATCAGATAGCTAACACTGGAACAAGTGCCGGCGTTCACTACTGTTGGGTTCTAGCTAATTTTGTGCATTTTTTTTTTATAATGTTTGGAGAGTTATTGACATTTTTGTGGTGTTTGAGTTTGTGAACCCAGCAGTTGTCTGTAAAGCCTCACTTAACTTTCTGGATGCTTACCTGCTGAAATAGCAGAATGCCATTTGCTTCCTGCACCTCATGTGAAGGAGGGCACTGGTCCCTCATAGGCCACATGAATTCATGCTACTGATGTGACTGGTAGATTAGAACAATCTCGATAGCTACAGGGATCCACAAAGGGAATATCTCAGATCAATATTGATCACTTGATCAATATTTTAATGTTTAACTATTGAACGATCATTAAACATTAAAACAATCTTTAAATTATAAAATATACCCTAACCATAATTACCTGATCAGCTGGCATTAAGTTCTTGGAATGTTTAGTAGGAAAACCTGAGCCATGATCCATTGTGTGGAGATCTGCACCATATTCTACAGTCACATCCTCATCAATGGAAGAAACAATTCGCCAAAATTCACGTTCTGCCATTTCTGTAGGTATTAACTGAAAAAAATATATTTTATTAACAGAGTGAAGGCTTAATTAATTCTGGAGACCCGAAAGACTTCAAATATTTGAGTACAAGTTCATTTCAGTAAAAAAAAATTGAGTGTTCATTTTAGGACATTCCTGGTAAAATTTTTGGCCAAGTCAAATGTTCATCAAACATGAACGAGGTGGGCTCCAAATGATTTGGATTGCTGAGCTTGGACAATATTCTTTAGGGCATCAAATCTTTTGAACAAACTTTAAGGACATTATTTTATCAAAATATAAAATATTTAACAAAATATACACTTAGCAGCAAAAAGTGAATGACTATTAACCATGTTCAAACGACTGTGCTAAATCTAATATTTTTAAAAATAAAATCGTAAAAAATAATTAAACAAATATTATTTTAGATAACGAGACCTGTATATATAATAATCAAAACAGATGTGGAAATATGCCCAAGCCACTGTCATACTATGCTTTGAATACCAGAGCTGCATAGTATCTTGAATATTGTACAGTACTTATGTCACTTATCTTGGTAAGCACGAAGCCTGCAGCACAAAATGTTTCAACTTATGAACAAACCCAGCATTGAATGTAATGAAAGTCAATTTCTGGGCAAGCCCCAGGGGCTTGCTGAAGTTACAATGCTGATATAGTGCCAAACTACTAGGTGGCATCATTAGTGAAGTTCTTTTCGGTCTATCGGGGTCCACGAGCTAGAACCTCACCTCGCCTCCCCCAGACGAGCGTAGGGAGCATATGATAAAATTATCTGTGAATTTTAATCATGTCCACCACCACCAGGGAATCACCCAGAATGACAGCTTAACAAAACAGACCACTGCTGGTTAGAAGCGAGACCGATACCTCAATACAGTACCACCAAAAGTAGTCCCCCAGCAATGTTAAACGATAAAAAATTCATGAAACTAACACAAGCCGATTCGTTCCACCTTCCCTGTCATTCTGGGAAGGAGAGAGGCAGATTGGATCAGTTGGCTGCTCCACCTTCAGCACTATGATGGAAAACACCCTCGACTCCCTGATGGAGGGAGTCGAGAAGTAACCAGGGCTCGCCCATAAATTATGGTTTTGTTACAATTGACATCTGGTTTTCTGCAGGGAGAAGGTGAAAAATATGGACGGACCAGGGAGGAGGAAGTACTGCAGATACCACAAAGAAGATGAGACTGCAACACATGACCCAATACCACACAAGGCTGACAGACCAGGAACAAGAATGAGAAACCTGGCTACCAGGACCCTGTGTGACCACCGCCAGAATCCCAGTGCCCAAATTATCAGTCCACAACAAAATGGTAAATACAGCCGACAGAATGGCATACATGCCAAAATCATGGACACTAGGGCAGACACTAGGGCTGGCAAGACGTAGACATGAATTCGGACTATAAAAGTCTGAATTGAAGCACAGCCATGTTCATCACTACGCACGATACACTTGTAAACAAGCTGAAAGTGCTTCGCCCGCGCCTCCAACATCACACGCTCGTTCGACCCCATACGCGTATGAACAGACGTCGTCTTCCAAGTAAACCGTCATGTACCAATTAAAATTTCACGACGAATTTGACGTGTTCCAAAAAATTTGTCCTTTAGGGCAGTCATCAACCGAGGTTCCACTGTACCTCCTTATCACCATTATGACCCAACAACTGTATTCTTTTCTGTATTTGAAAGAATTCCTTTTATCACCCTTTTATCACCCAGCTATTATGTTTTTGTTGAACAGCCACAGAACTTGTCTTACTTCAGGAAACATCTGAACATCTAGCTCAGAACGGAACTTTTTATATTCTATCGAAACCAAATGTTTTCATAACTGAATTTTAAAAATTACTTCCAAGTGGCTGCAATTTCTATTTCACTAGAAGGCTTAAGCTTATGATCATGTATAAGTGCTGTATGCTTGAAGGCAATTCAAGGCTCTGTATGGAAATCGTACCCAAAAATAGAATAAAAAATAATGGACATAGACCCAATAAAAAGTGTCAAATAAAGAAAAACAAAGGACGCTAAAATAAAAATAACCGACATGAGTGTTAAATGATAACAAAAGTATGCACATACTGGAAAAAGTAATCCATTAAGAAACCATTACAAAATATTGACCAACATTCTGTATATGCATGTATGCAACCAGTTATGTAACAAGTAATAAAATGAATACTGTATTTATAACTTACATGGACTGGCATATTGAAATAATCTTGTTTGAATTTGTCTGCCATTTCCCCAAAGGACTGTAATGTGTATTCTTTTTGGGCTTGCTCAAACCCAAATGCCTCTACTGGTTTGCTCACTTCAACAGCCACACACTTAGGACATCGCCAATCACCTGTAAATATATATAAATATAATTTTCCTTATTTTCTATAGCTGTTTTATGTTGAAAAACTGTAGATAACTACATTGTTGTCAGACACCATGGAAGCGATACCATCTGAGAAGCCTACTGTTCCAATAAACTAGTTACACTTTCCTAAATATAATAGGTATAACAATTGAAATGTTATGCATATCCTGGTTTGGCATTAGTGTAATGCAGAAATTGTGAAATAATAATAATAGGAGGCAGTGCTTGTAATGATGAGTGATGCGAGGTAGTGGTGGCCAGCAAAAATGCAACTTTTTCTGCCTATCTGAGCATTTTGCATATTTATTACACACACACACACACGATATTTGTTTGTGTGTGTGTGTAGCAAATTTACTCAGTTTCTATGATCAAGCCACAGATTTTACAGGAAAGGAATGGTTGGGTTGACTGCATCTATCTGGATCTGAAAAAAAAGGCTTTCGACAAAGTTCCACATAAGAGGTTGTTCTGGAAATGAACACATTGGAGGGGTGACAAGTAAGCTGCTAACATGAATAAAAAGAATTCTGACCGATAGAAAAATGAGGGTAGCAATAAGAGGAAGTGTATCGGACTGGAGAAATGTCACAAGCAAAGTACCACAGGGTTCAGTTCTTGCACCGTTAATGTTCATTGTCTACATAAACGATCTACCAGATGGAATACAGAATTATATGAACATATTTGCTGATGATGCTAAGATAATAGGGAAGATAAGTAACTTAGATGATTGTCATCATACCCTTCAAGAAGACCTGGACAGAATAAGTATATGGAGCACCACTTGGCAAATGGAATTTAATGTAAATAAATGCCATGTTATGGAATGTGGAATAGGAGAACATATACCCCACACAACCTATAAATTATGTGAGAAATCTTTAAAGAAGTCTGGTAAAGAAAGAGATCTAGGTGTGGTTCTGGATAGAAAACTATCACCCGAGCATCTAATGTGTGTCTCTGGCATCAAATTATATCTTCTCAAAGGATTTTTCATCTTTTTTCTGCTTAATTATAATACAAGTTTTCCTTTTCTGAACATAAGCGTAAATTTCAAGTCAATCTAAAGGAAAATTAAAGTTCTTTTCAGAAAACAAAACTAAAATGGAGCAATTGGAATAATAATAATAATAATTTTAATAACAATAGGCATATTTAACACACGCTAATATTTCTACACTAACCTTTAGGGATATCTAGAAGAGGAGGAACAAGACAGAAGATGTGGTAAGAGTCATCGCAGCCATCACAGAGTAACATCTGGTCTTCGGCATCCCCACGTCCACAATTTAGGCAGATGTACTTTGCCAGCTAAGGAAGTAACAGTATATATTAGGATAATTTATTAATACAAACTTCATAGTTGTAAAAGTTTTTCAAATTAACTATTTGGCTTCAGTTCCCCCAAGGAAGAACTTCAAAGGACGAGTTGAAGAAGCTACCCTTCCTCAGCCTACATTCATACTCACATATCTTGTGTATCCTCAAGCCACACCATTCCCAAATGCACCAGAATTATTTTATTGAAGGTAGACTTCATGTCTCGCATAGTACATGAGCAAAAAAAAAAAATAATTCTCTCGTCCCCTTCCAAAAAATACTTGGACCCATTTAAGAACTCCTCTTACTCTTTCCTCTTTTACTGACTTACTCTTTCACCCAAGTGCACAGGGAAAAATAACTTTGCCAAAGGTGTACCACCCTATCCAGGACTTAAACCTAGATGTGACAAGTATTACCTGTTAAAGACATTAATTTTCAAAACAGTAAGGGAGAGCCGATATGTCTGACACTGTTAAAAGTTGCATAAAAGCAAGTACTGTATAGTACTGAAGGCTGACCTGTTTGAATCGTGCCATAGTAAAGCTAAATTTCTTGCTAAGTTTGCCTGTAATCTTAACGTCTTGGTAATCCTTGGAACTATTAATATCTAAATGAAGGTGCGTAAAATATTACTAACAAAAGTTGGAAGGTAGTTTCAGACATTTGGGAGGTATGTTTCAGACATAGGAAGGAATGTTTTAATGCAAATCTGGGAAAGTTGTTACACTATTTATACACTACATTTATAAGCAAACATTTTTACTCCATAAAAAAACCATCTCATATTAAAAATAAGAGATTTAGAGAGCTTGTGAAAATAATGTAATATAACTTTAGGCTATATGATTGTATATTGTAGCCCAGCCAGAGAAAAAGTAAAGTAACATTTTTTTTTTTATTTATCCAGCATTTCTTTAGGGACAAGATTTTATCATCATTCTAATCAATATTGATAATTTATTATACAAAAAATAAGCCCCTTTACCCTTCGCAGGGTCGAGTTTCACCAGCCAAAGGTTCTTGACATACTCAAGAGACAGACGGGATATTTATTAAAATTTAAGGTGCAGTTATTGTTGTACGTTGATCCCAAGGGCAATGTGGTTCTCATATGATGGTCTTAATTATCACAACCCAGTTTTAATACACATGTAAATATGGTTATAATACATCTATATGGATGTAATAGTTAAAACAGACTTGAAAAATATCTTTTTAATTGCCTATTATAGATGAAGTTATCTTGTACCGCCAGCAAGGCATCTTCTTCAACTCACAAAATGATTGTTTCCTTCCAGTGTGTGAACTTATTTCTGGATGACATTACCATACAGAATAGCAGCAAAGGAGTGGGTTGAAAGGCACTTCCTTTGAGCTGTGCCAAGAACAAACTTACATGCAATATATGTGTACAGTATTTTATTTATATATATCATATATATATATATCTTATATACATATATTATATATATATATATAATATATATTTATATATTACATTGAAGACCTATATACAGTACTCAATCACTTTTTTGTCAGTTATGTGTAAATAAATAAGAGCTGTTCCACACACTGTCTAAACTAAAGTGAAACAGCAAACATAAAACTCATCAAATGATCATTGCAGCTTGCCGCTCGCTTAATTTGTAAATACATGTATGTTGCCACAGACAAAGGACCAAAACACCGCCCCCCTGACTTGGTAATCTTACAGTGTACACAAAACCAAAAAAAAAAAAACTTTTTGGAGGAGCATTTTCTTAATAACATTTATTTATTTAGTTTTTTGCATGCAGGCAGAAGTGCCCTTGATTATAGCCACACTTCTGGGATCAAAAATACAAACTTGTACTAAATGTAAACCATGTGAAATTTATTCCATGAGAATCTCTTACCAAGGCTTGTGGCTTATAAAACTAAAAATTTTATGAGAGGTACACAAACAAAAAATCAATATAAAAAAGGATCAGTGGAAGTTGATCCAATCAAGTAGCCCCCTAAGATGTCATCACAACAATACAGTGTGCTTCCATCACTTGGTTATAAGACAAATACTTTTTGGCAAGAGGACCCAGTCCAGAATATCCAGCTATCCAAAACATGCCGGTACTCCATTACTTAAATTTCTACATTCGCGTGATTATAATCCTAATCATTTTACATACGTAGCACTAGGCACTTTCTTTTACAAATAATAAAACAGAATCTCAAAAGTACTGTACGTACACTGCTAATCCAAGAATAGAAAGCAATGCACAAATTTTTCCAATCTACATTTACCTTAAGGAAAAAAAAAAATATGCTGCGATTTCCCAAGCATCCTTCAAGAATTTTAGGCACTGCATTAATTGGAACTAAGATAAAGTTTCTCCTTTTCTAATGTTGAGTGGGCAACTCCACCTTTGCAGTAACCAATCAACAAATAATGAAAGCAATTTGAAATAAAACTATTTAAACAAAAAAAAAAATGCTTCATTTTAGTCTTCAGTCTTCCAATTAGTCAAATATCCATCCAGTTAATGGGGTGATGGAGGACACCCTTTAACTGGAAAATCTTAGTGCTGCATCATAAAAAGTAACAAATACTGTATCCTTAAATGAACTAACCAAAAAAGCCAATCCACACTTTTCACCTTCAATGAAGTGAAAGATCTGAGCAACAGAATGCTTATTAATGCAAGAATCAATAAAGGTAATCTGGGAAGAGTCGCAAGTTAAGCAGTGTTGGTGTGAAGAGATGCCTGAAGCTTCCTTTATCAGTCTGACCTAGAACCCAATGATGTCAATCTCATCAATATTCATCAATTATTCGGATATTGGGATATCCCCATTTTCTTGTTATTTTGGTATCTAGATACCATGTGTGTTTTTATCTGCACTAATACAGTAAACAGCAAAAAATTGCAGAAAATGCACAAATTTGATGCAATAAAATTTATAAAATCCAGAACCTTTTTCTTTTTTAATATACAAGAATTCACTGCATCTGCTGTACAGTACTATAGTTAAAAATATAGTATTTATTTTACTTAGCATAGTACAATAATGCTGATAATATTTTGTGACTATCCCCTTCACTTTCATTGTTTCCATTAATCATTAAATGACAAAAAAAATCCATTTGATTTTTATTGCTACCAATGAAGACTTTTATGATTTACATGATTTTGATAATCAGGTACAGTACTAAGAATATATTTTATGACAACAATGAAACAATCTTACAAATTTGAACATGCTTTGAATGTTGGGAAAGGTAACAAAAAGGGTATAAAGAACAGCTACACTTTTTTAATTAAGACAAGAGCTTCCCAAATCCAACAAGCCACTACAGATGGGCAACTAAATAGGTATCACAGAAGATTTTAATCTTATCTTTTAGTTTAAAATTCAGCCTCTAAACATTTGAGGAATGAAACCTTTAAGCCATTGTAGTGGGATCTGCCCAAATTATATGACCTTGTAAGCATTCAAACCTAACAGGAATCTTAGCTTAATTAAGTTAAGCTGGGTAAAACTAAGGCTTCCTGAAAGTATCACGACCATAATTAAAGATATAACTGAATAAACCAACTAATGAATTCTGACAGCTAGGGGAAGATAAACCTTAAGAGGTAGCTTACCGGATCCTGATCAGAATAATCAACTTTCTTGCCACGAGTCTTTCCCGAATCCTCTGGGGAGGCCTTGTCAAAGCCAGCCATCTTAGGCCCAGCACCATAAAACTGCAGCCTCTTCAGCTCCTTGCTGCCTTTTCCGTCATCCTACAACACAAGAATTCAATCTTCACCGATTGGTTTCTTATGTTTCAGTTCTACCATAGCCTACATTTTCTTGCATGTGGTAGCCCCTATTTCATCCTTTCATATCTTTAATATAACCTAGCAATTAGAAGTTAACAGGTTCTTCCATACTATTCAGAGCTTTAACTTTCACTACACACGAAATTTATTGGTCAATTATAAATTGTATTAAATTTTCATGTCCAATAAAACCTAAAGGTTCTTAATTTCACAACCATTCTCCCATCAATACCATCTTGAAAATTTTGCTATACATTTTAACATTGATTTCATTTGCCCATCTTTTTAATGGTTTGCTGTCCACCTTATCTCTTATACAGCTATTTCTTTCCCCATTCTTTCCTGGGTAATGCTTTGGCTGGTTTTGAGAATTGTTCTACCATTATAGCCTAGCCTAAGCAAGCTTCCCTGCTCACCGATCAGCTAATCTACAGTGCTTGCAGCCTCCTAGCCTGCATAACCACTACAGCCTGGAGTACTTATTAAGTTCAATCTATAGAACCTTATTAATTTTTCTCCAGCCACATTTTCTATCAAAATGTTGAATGTCATGACACTTTTCATAGACTCTCGTACCTACCAAATTAAGAACGTGACGAATTTTTTCACTTGTAGATTTTATTTACTACCCTCTCCAACATAATACATTGGCACATTAGTAATTTAAAATATTTCTAATAATGAGAAAATCAGTTGAAACCATGAGGATGATTCAAATCTGCACCCTGGGTACTCCCAAACACATGCCCTAAATCACCGGACCACAATGCACTGTAAGTAATGTAACCCAAGATTCAACTGAATCCTCCAGATGTCCCGAGACATTGACTGAAGGCCAAATCAGGGTTTCACACATTGTGCACTCGCTCATTTGTGCTTGCGGGGGTTGAGCTCTTGGCTCTTTGGTCCCGCCTCTCAACTGTCAATCAACTGGTGTACAGATTCCTGAGCCTATTGGGCTCTATCATATCTGCACTTGAAACTGTATGGAGTCAGCCTCCACCACATTGCTTCCTAATGCATTCCATTTGTCAACCACTCTGACACTAAAAAAGTTCTTTCTAATATCTCTGTGGCTCATTTGGGCACTCAGTTTCCACCTGTGTCCCCTAGTGCGTGTGCCCCTTGTGTTAAATAGCCTATCTTTATCAACCCTGTCGATTCCCTTGAGAATCTTGAATGTGGTGATCATGTCCCCCCTAACTTTTCTGTCTTCCAACGAAGTGAGGTTCAATTCCCGTAGTCTCTCCTCGTAGCTCATACCTCTCAGCTCGGGTACTAGTCTGGTGGCAAACCTTTGAACCTTTTCCAGTTTAATGTGTGTGTGTACATTCTGATGTGGTATAGGAGTATCCATTCCCCAATGCTTACTTCAAATTCACAAAGAAATCACAATAACATGATGTATTAATTACAAAATCAGTTAGAGACATAATGAGGCTTTGAACCATGTCATGGGTATGCATCAGGACCCCTAGAGGATTCAGTTGAATACCAGGTTGCATTATAATAGCAAACATACATTATAATAGAACCACAATAGCATATTGTGGTTCAGTGGTTTAAGATGTGTGCTTGGAGTGCAGGTTCGAATCCTCCTCACAGCTCCTAATGATTTTCTCATCGATACATCACATTAATGGGATTTCTTTGTGCAAATCACTAATGCTATCAATCAAAAGATAGTTTCACTAAAAATTTTCAGAGCATACAACTGTCAAACTGGCTATAGCAAGAAGACATGATGAACTGGAGGAATTTATGGAACAAGAGATGCAATACCTACAGATCATTCACTCCAATTACTACTACATCCCCAATTACATGGGGTGTCTGGGGTGTCAGCGGGGGATAGTACCTCTGACAGCGAACAGTCGCACCTTCAGGTGGTTCATCTGCTTTGGTCACCACCTGCACTCAACTCTCACCTGTGGCTCCTAGTAGCTGTTTGCATGCAACAGTGGCCACACCACAGTAACCCGCTTCAACTGGTGGGCTGTAACTTACAACGTAGTCATGTTGTAAGTTACCTTCAGTCATGTACCAATCTGTGCCTGGAATACCTTACCAGGAACCCCACACACCGTCAAGGGGCAGAATCTGCAGGCAGTCAACAACTTCACCTATTTTGGCACCATACTCTCAAGAGCGTTGAATATAGACACAAATTAACAACAGGATTGCCAAAGTCAGAGCTACATTTGGAAGATTGTGAAAATGTCTGGGAATGGAGGGGCCTTAATAGAGGCAGTTCCCCAATTACAAACGAGTTACGTTCCGAGACTATTTGTAAAGCATATGTTCAGAACAAAGTTCGAGATTTTCCATAGGCGAAATGCTGAGTGGGAGATGCGTTCCCAGGCCAGGAAAATTTTTCACAAGACCAATATTTTTGGGACATATAATATAAACAAAAAACATTATTTACCTTGAATGATGGGGCTAACCTTCTTGTCAAAGTTAGCTGTTTTTAGAAGAGTGAAGTGGTATAATTATACGAATAAATAAATGAAAATACACGTGCACTGTATTGGTAGTCCGCCATTTTGTAATTGGCCTCACGAGTAAATGCCTCCCCACCCTCCTATCTCCAGCCCAGGGCCCCACCCCACCAACAAAGTAAACAGATCAAATCATGTTTGTGTAGGAGTCACCAAGGACTTGAGGCCACTAGTGTGAGTATCACACAACCAGCCACTCACCCCACACAAACCTTCCCCCCCCATGAACCCAGCCACACCACCCCCCTACAATTCTGTACTCCATTTGGCTGCCGCACAGACATTGGCGCTGCCACAAAATTCAAAGGGATGCTCCGTTGAGTTAGTACAATGATTTTATGCATGAAGGGGATACATGGGGACCTGGGAGAATGTTTGTATGGGCGAATGATCCTAAGGCAAATGTTCGTAAAGCAAGAATTCCCTGTATAAAGTATGTATATAATATAATAACTACAATATAATAACATGCCCCTCCTTACCAGGTGGGCATGTTCGCACTTTTTCCTACACTTTCTCCCCTACTGCCGGCTCCCAAGTGTCTGGGTTTTGGTGTCGGGTGGGGTTTAGATAGGGGGGGCGAGGCTTTGGGGGCTGCCCCTTCCGATATGTGTACAGAGGTGGTCGAGCTTCTGCCCGCCGAGGCTCCGAGTCTTTCCAGACGAGTCTTCAAAACTTTTCCCCTGGATTCCACCTTTCCTTCTGCAATGGTGAGTATTGATAAAGGCTCTGCCTGGCGCCTTTGACAATGGTTTCCGGGCTCAGGGGAGTGAGTGGATCTCTTGGGTTCCATTTGACCCCGCTTGTACCCTTGTGCCCTCTACGCAGGGTCTTTCTGCAGGTTAGGGGTTTTTTGTACCCTCATTCCCTTTTTTTTTTTTTTTTTTTTTCTTTTTTTTTAAGAATTATGAGAGAAATCTCATTGTTTTCATCCCACAAAACTGGTGATATTTTGGTAACTCAGTGTAATTATCTACAGTAATCATAAAGGTTTTTATGAAGCCTGGCACTTTGAAATAATCATTGTAACAAATGGAACAAAATTACAGTAAGTTTTATTTTACCTACAATTTTCCAAAAATAAAAATTCAAAACAAATAGTATAGCTGAAAAATGCTATCCAATACAAAAACAAAGCACAATCAATAACAGTGAAAAGTGATTATGTACTACATAAGTCAGTAATTACTGCTCGAACTAAATATTAAAGCAAAATTAAAAAAACAATTGTTAGCTAGCAAATAGGGCAAACCTAAAATGAAATTTCAGCATTTGAAGCATATATGCAAGTGCACTGGAGGCCAAGAATAAAGCATAAATGCCAGTTTGCAGGCAGGGTGAGCTTATGGTAGCAGCAACAGGATCAACACTACATTCGACAATAGCTTACAAGAGAAGGAATAAATTCTTCCATGATAGAACCTATTACCAAGAACACAGTGTTGAAACATTATTTATGGCAGAAATTAATATAGCCAATTTTTTTTTTTTTAATTATTAGCATTTAAAATCATCCCTTTTCTGCATAACTAATAAATGTTAATTATGTCCATTTAATTCTTAAGCTATACAGAACATGATACCAAATTTAAGGCAAGGTGATCAGTGCTTGGCCACTTGCACTTCAAGACCCTTAGCCTTTAAATCATAGAATAAAACTATACCACAAAAATGGCAAGTACTCTTAACCCTTAGACAGCAGCTATGGAATAATGCCCAAAAAAATAAATAACATTTTCATTATAGTATTATTAATATGCAAGCAGAATACAAGAAAAACATGAAAATAGGTGAATATTTATAGTTTCACTGGGTGGAGGTGCTCTGCAAGTCTATGCCTTGCACTTGTCAACGCCTGGTGCTCGACTATGCCGACACTTCCCAATTTATTATCTGATGTTTCACCGATTGTTTTATCACTTGTCTGTCTTTATTTACATCCACAGAGCTTTTATATCCATATTTCCATTATAAATGTAAACCCCAGATATTAGTTGTATAAATCGCCATCTGATGATGACCGCATTCCCCCCCACCCTCTCCCAGTAACATTCTTGACAATAACTGCATTTGTACTACGAAATGGTAGCAGAATTTTTTCATAGGTCAAGGTAAACTCCATTACATTCACATAAAACCTGTTATATCCATATTATTGATGATAACCGCTGCCTAAGGGTTAAATAAGGCTACAATAACATGATGAAATAAGAAAGGCATCTCACAAAGTTGGAAACCAAAAGCTGAAACTTTTATTCCATGCCTGTAGGCATGTTTTTTTTAATTTGTTTAAAATGTTTTGTTGCACTCAGAGTATAGCACTTGCCAAACAAAATTAAATCACTACCAATGAAAATTCGACACCATGCAACCAAATACATTAATATCAGATCTAATGCCAACTTTATCCTGATAGAAAGAAGGCTTAAGTGTCAAATTACTGTAATAAATTAAGAGATAAACCAACATTTTGGATAGTTTGTGTTTTACTCATTGAACAAATTATAAAGACCAAATTAAAAAGGTCACATGGAAGTATCAGTTGGAGCTTTACTAACAAAATTTTGATTGAGATATTGCTCATATATGATTTACTTCAGTTTTGTATTGAAAGTATTAATAAGTATCTAATGGATATTTTCTGAGGGTTGTATAATTACAGTACAGTACGATACTAAAATTTATTAATTCCTTAAATTTATTTATAGCTACCATTCCATTAGAATTATCGATGGAATGGACAGAAAATAGAGTATGATGACAAGGCTCATGAAGAGTTTTGAGGACCTTTCCTATGAAGATGGATGGAGTGCAACTGCACTCACTAGTGATATGCAAGAAAACAGGGTAGATGATCAAGATTTTTCAAGTACATTAGAAGAGCAAACAGGGTTGATTTCAAAGTTTTTTTAACTACTGTACTGTGTACACTGTGATATCATGGGGAAAGGGGGGCATACACATCAGCATATAACGTATAATCAACATAGACGGACGGATAGATGTTGGAGGGGGACTGGACAAATTAATGAACGGACGGACAGATGGATGGCGGAGGGGAACTGGATGGATGGATGAATGGACGGAGAGCAGAGGGGTGACTGGATGGACGGACGGATGGCAGAGGGGGACTGGATGGATGGATGGATAGTTGGAGGGACGGACGGATGGATGGTGGAAGGGGACTGGATGGATGACGGAGGGGGACTGGATGGATGGATGGATGGATGGCAGAGGGGGGGACTGGATGGATGGATGGATGGATGGATGGATGGATGGATGGATGGATGGATGGATGGATGGACGGACGGATGGATGGCGGAGGGAGACTGGATGGATGGATGGTCGGACGGATGGTGGAGAGGGAGGACCGGATGGATGGACGGACGGATGGTGGAGGGGGAGGACCGAATGGATGGATAGATGGACGGACGGATGGATGGATGGCAGAGGGGGATTAGATGCATGGATGGATGGACGGATGGTGGAGGGGGAGGACCGGATGGATGGATGGATGGATGGCAGAGGGGGACTAGATGCATGGATGGACGGACGGATGGTGGAGGGGGAGGACCGGATGGATGGACGGACGGACGGACGGACGGATGGATGGCAGAGGGGGACTAGATGCATGGATGGACGGACGGATGGATGGATGGTGGAGGAGGAGGACTGGATGGATGGGCGGATGGATGACGGAGGGGAACTGGATGGATGGATGGCCGGCAGAGGGGGGACAGGATGGATGGACGGATGGTGGAGGAGGAGGACTGGATGGATGGGCGGATGGATGACGGAGGGGAACTGGATGGATGGATGGCCAGCAGAGGGGGGACAGGATGGATGGACGGATGGTGGAGAGGAGACTGGATGGATGGATGGAGAGGGGGGGACTGGATGGATGGTGGAGAGGGGGGGACTGGATGGATGGTGGAGAGGGGGGGACTGGATGGATGGTGGAGAGGAAGGGACTGGATGGATGGTGGAGAGGGGGGGACTGGATGGATGGTGGAGAGGGGGGACTGGATGGATGGTGGAGGAGGGGGGACTGGATGGATGGTTGGATGGATGGTAGAGAGGGGACTTGATGGATGGATGGTGGAGGAGCGGGCGGCAAAGTGGGTGGATAGGCGGGGAGCAGTGAGATGGGTGGCAGAGTTGGGCACCTTCCCTACTACCTCCATCCCCCCTCTTCCCCCCAGATGTACCCCTCCCAGCCACATGGACGGTATTAATACAGTGGGCTTCCTTGCTACCAGCTGTTGAATCGGAAGGCAGACTCCCCGAGTGATTCCCTGTGAATGCCCGATCGAGTGAATGCATTACTGATCATAAATGCCTAACTGGTTGCTACCACAACTGTGAATGCTTGACTGCCTTTGGTTATGGCTGCCTGTGACTGGTTTTGACTGAATTCTTGACCGATATGTTATGACTGGTTCTGACTAGCTGCCACATAACAGTGGTAGTGAAATATGTGAAAGGAAAATCTGGAACCAGTGATGCAGATATGAAAGTGTTTAAGGCAAGCAGAGGGACGGTCTCACGACCTCCCCCATTCTCACCCTGCCCATACAGTTTCTCAATTAGTTTCAGTTTTTGAATTTTCAGTGTACAAACCGTCTCTTGGAATGGATTAAATTCATAAACAAAGGTGCCACTGTATAGAAAAGTGAGACTTATATGTTCTTGTATCCAAATATCCCTTTACAGCATTCTATTGCAAACACTTGATACTAAATTGAACGACAGAGCACGAAAATTGTGGTGAGAAAGCTGAAAAGTGTATAAACATTGGAGTGTGGAGGTGAGCTCGTGGACAACATTCGGCCTACCTTGCGATGCGCAGCAGGTCACCCGTAGAGCCAGAGAAAGTGATAACCAGCACCTGCACAAGTATGTGCACATGTACCTTGGTAGGTTCCAAGTTTAACCAGCACCTGCACAAGTATGTGCACATGTACCTTGGTACGTTCCAAGTTTAACCAGCACCTGCACAAGTATGTGCACATGTGCCTTGGTAGGTTCCAAACTAACCAGCACCTGCACATGTTAAATTGAGAAATGGTGTCATTTTCATCCAAGTCAGTTCAGCCATTTAGGCACTAATGTGATCACACATTAAATAGTTAAGTCCAAAAACATATATAAATTTATGATTTGTAACAAAACATATAACACCAAGAAAATGTTACAAAACTTTTAACCTTCTTCAGTCTAAAATAATTTGAGTTTCAGTTTTCAAAACATGTACCGTGTACTTTTCTTCCATTAAAATTCTTATATTCTAGCAATACTACTTTATCTTGTATAGCAGAAAAATACAAATCAGCTTAACATGTTTATCTTGCCCATCACTTATTTAAAAGTATCCTTTAAATATGTTTCTAGCTTAAAATTAAATCCATTAAATCCATGTACAAAGCAAATAGCATCCTTGAACATTTCACCATTTCTACCAATTTTCCTGTGAAGAACTGACAGTTGTATGGGTAAAAGGGAAGTGTAAGTGAGTGATAAAATAGTTACCAAAGCAGATAAGAAAGTAGATATAAGAACAAATCATCCAAAGGACAGGAAGCTGGAATGAGAATAAATTTAAAAGGAACACATGTCTCGGTAAACATAGTACTATAGTATGTGCATTGACCAGGTCATTGTGAGATTGTATAGACCTCCCACTTTATGGTACAAAAGGAAATATATTGCCAAACCATGCCTGACTATCATCTCCTTGTGTAAATTAATAGCTGTAGTCATGTTCTGTATTTGATAACTTTTGGCATCTTAAAATCTCCTGTGTTTCTCAAAGTTTTACGAGTGAGTTGTAATTAAGTTGCAAAGAGATTAAAAGATGATAATTTCATGATTCAAGCACATGCAATTAAGGGCCAAGCAATTAATGCATGTCATGAAAAATCTAAAACGAAAATCAAAGCCAAATGGAAGCAGAAAGCAAAAAGAGTATTGTTACCAAAGAGTAAATCCCCTATGGAAAATACAAATGTAATATTGCAAGCATACTATTTAAATTGAAAATTAACCTAAGGAACCTAAGAAAGGTTCTGTAAAGCAGAGCTCATGCAAAAAGTCTTTAACGCCAACTAACCTCATCATCAGACCCAAAACCAACCTGGGTGTCGGCTTTCGAGTCTCCAGTATCTGGATGACGGCGAGAACGGCGACCATTTTTTTCACTATCGGGGATCTTGCCTGCCATACGACTAGGAATTTTGTGAGGCTTGTAATCAGTTTCACAAGCTTCCACAATATCCTCCTTAACTTCTGTTTTCTGTAGTTAAAAGAACCAAACTCAATGAAGCACAGCTTTTTCACTGGAAAATTATCTTTATTGGAGATTTAGGAAATGAAAAATGTGGTAGCGATATTCAAAATAAAAAGTTGACATATAGGAAACCTTAAAATTACTGACCAATCTCTGATATAAAGCTCCTGCAAAGTACTGGAAAAAAAAATTTCAAAACCATTATGGATCATCTTGAAAAAACAATATTCATTAATAACCAAGACAGAATGAGTTTATAGGAACAAATTATGCCTGACAATCTTTAATGTCCAAAAGTCACTATGATTAGGCAGAGGGGACTGGGTGAATTACATATTTACTACTCCCTTACACATGGCCCAGCAGCAGGAAGAATAATAATTTGTATTAAATTAATTTTATTATTATTATAATTACATTCACCTGGGCTGTATGGGTCTCGAACCATGGACCCTACGGGTGTGAGGCCGTAGCTGTATTGATTTTTTTATTTTAATATTTTTATTATAATAACTATAATAATAATAATTGTTGTAATTGATTAATAATTATTATTCTTCCTTCTGCTGGGCCGTGAAGGAAGCCGGCCTCGAGTGAAAGGAGGCTGTGATGATCTCTGTCTGGGTCCCGTAGACGTGTTGCTCGGACGTCCACCTGCTGGGGCTCATGCGGCCCAAGCTCTACTTCAGGAGGCTGGCAGTGACCTTGCCCTTGCTGGGTTGGGTCTTCTCCAGCCCCAACCATGACGGTCTTAGTGTCTGGAGTACCTGGATAAGGGTGCCAATCCTAGGGACTCTTCCTCGGCTAGTGATGCTCATCAGTTAACTATCTCAAACCTCCACTGTCTTGCAGCCATACATACTTTTGGGAAAAAGTTATCAACCTTCCTCAAACACTCAAATTTGATGTGCATAATCTACATGGTAAATGCTCCAACTTTTCCTAATGGATCAACATCATAACATGAACAGAAAAAATAAAAAAATATTTAAAAATTTCACAATTTCACAATTTCAAATTAGAGTATCTTATTTAAAATGTCAACAATTTTTGTTATTCATTATGAGCTCAGAATGATATAACGTTCATTTTCTATTATGGAAAATTTAGTTTGAGTGTACAGTATATGTTACTGGAAAAAGAGTCAATGTGGCCTTCAAAATATGTGGAAAAATTTATACACAAAAATATATAACTCCCAAATTTATTGGTTTATGAATAAATGCTCTAATAGAAACCTTAGAACTAAGAACTTTGCACATATGTAGAAATGGTGATAATTGCTCAGAAACAATTTTTTACTCAGTCTCAAAGTTGAAAATCCTATTCACAGAAAAATTAAAGTAAACTTCAACAAAAAATATAGTAGTTCAAATTGATGTCATATCTTGTAAGTTTTAATAAATACTGCTTGGCATTCGAACTCGAATATGTGAATGTTGTAGTTTAATGTGTTGAAATGAAGTCAAGAAAAAACCCTCCAAAAAAAAAAAAAATAAAATATAGGGATATTTATAATGGGTTAGGGGATATATAAGTACTTTATACGAGTGATAAAGCCCTCATCTGATCCCCGTTTAGGAAAAACAACCTAAAGAGAAAGAAAATAGAGTTTGAAATCTATGAAAATATAGGCTAACAAAAATTTCAAAGTTAACTTCTGCCACCTGTGGCTGATTTACATGTTGACCAATTTTGTTCCAACTTCACATACCTGGTGATGGGTATGTATTTTACAAGTAGTAGAAGCCACAATAAAATCTAATAAGAACAAAGAAAAGAATTCCCCTAAACAAAACAAAATTAGGGGTCAGGAAATATTGGCATTGGGCGATGTATTCATATGATATTTAATAAAATACAGTAAAATAACAATCACTTATTATTATATTTCCCTCGAGGTGGGAATCAACAGTCCTAGAAGGCACCAGCTGCATATCCACTTTGTGGACCTTCCTTACTACTACTATACTTTGTGTGTAATTACCTAAGTGTAATTACACACAAAGTATAGTAGTAGTAAGGAAGGTCTTATAGAAGAAGTAAGGAAGGTGTGTATCAAGACAGGTGCTTACATCTCTATCACTACATTATTCAGGAGTTCCACCAACTAGGTGGTGTTATTGTTATCAGTACCAATTGCAAACTTTTGTTAATCATATCAAATCCATTTGTTAACGTATTGGGATGAAATTTTCCTGACGCTGATGCCAAATAACGTTAGATTTGTTTAACATTATATACTATATTTCATATTTGGACGAATATATTTTGCACCGGGCCCCTTAATATATTTTATCTTCTTCGTTTTTTAATGTCTTTACCAATCTTTTTCAAATGCACTGATGCACTGGGCTATCAATAATGTTATTTATATCACAGGAAGTGTAGAATATCCTTGTGCATAGATATATTCTTTTAACTAATAACATGCACACTACAATATAATATTAGAACAATAAACATACGGTTTTTGCTGTTATCACCCCTATATTCATATGCAATATATATATAACTACATGTTTATGCACTATTGCGAACTGTTGAGAAGTTGTGGCGAGTGAATCTTGTGACCACTGACCCATGAACAGCATGGCCACAAATGCTCGTCAATTGCTGGCGGCACCTAACAGCAAAGTGCTGCCCAATAAACTTCCCAAATGATAACTCTAGCCAAAATACTACTATCATCAGAATCCTGGTCACATGTTCATTTTCTAAAGATCATCAAGGTCTCGTTGAATGATGCATAGATGCACCAAACCGCAACTTTGTGCTGTGGCTAACTGTCTCATGCTGTAAGAGTCGCCAACTTATATATTCTGCGACAGTTTTGAAGATTCTTGCCCCAACTTAAATATGGTTCAGGATAATAATTATATTGACACTAGTGTCCATCTGAAAATTTTGGCCAACTGGTATCTGAAACTTGTACATAGTCTATCACTGCCAATGACACTATCATCAATAAATAATTGCAGATACTTATTTATTTCATCATCATTAAGTTGTGTTGCGGGCACGAGCTTCATGGTAATACTGTGAGTAGCTGCTGAGTGCGCTACTTATAGTTGCTCTGTTAGTACTAAGGCCCTCATATAAATGGCAAGAACATTCCTGGTGTAGTGTAGCTGAAGGATTAAGAAAGAAAATTAGGAATCTACATGCAAACAATGTTTAAAATACATTCTTCACCAAGACTCACCACGTATGGTAGCGGCTTTCCCTTGTTGAAAATGTCGTATGGTTGAAGAATTCGCTCATAATGTGATTTCAACAAGGTTCCTAAATTCTTATTTGATGGAAACCCCATGCGTGAAGCAATTTTACTCCACTTTCGTTCCTTTGTTACCATTTCATTTCCACCTGTAAGGAAACATTTAACAGTAAGAATATTTTATTGCAATATTTCACTAAAGACTAGTTGACTCATTTTTGAGGTGAAAATTATGTAATATTTTACTGGTTTCCCATCTTAGTAATCATGACACTTTAATGTTAAACATTATCGAGCGACAGAAGTCATTATACCTAGAAAGCAATTTGAACAGAATAAACAAGAATAGAAAACAATAGTCCCATTATAAAAAATTGCTAATTGTCATTGACCATAATACAGTAATGGTAAATTATGCTCTTTCCTATTCTAAAACTATTTTCCCTCACCTCATTAACCCCTGCACTGCGTACCCATTTCATATGACAACTTCGCAGTTGTTAATGAATTACTAACATTAGATAAACAAATTTAAAAATTATACACATGTAAAAAAATTGCCAAACTCAACAATTTTCACTTCAAATCAGTGAAAAAGCATTAAAATATTGCTAAATTATAAACAATTTTGCACCACCCATCAAGTACTCTAAGGCACTACGTGCAGTGGTTAAAAAATAAACAAAACTCCAAGAAACTAAAAGCACGGTAAAATGTTAATGGGTGTGCAAACATACATGACAGAGTACCGAGAAACTATTTGAACAAAACATTTAATATAATAATAATTTATTGTCATTGTGTTGGAGAACAAGAAGCCAGAGTGTATTCATACATGATAGACTTTTAGCCCCCCCCCCCCCAAGGTTGATTTACTGACCCCACCCAGGATGAAATTCCACAACCATTTCTGTACCCCACACCTCCACCTTGTGATTAAAACCCATAATTCTCGATTGTGTGTCGAGAACGAACCCGACTACCAGAAATTTATAATCTGTATAAATAATGAAAATGTTCATTTGTTAAAAATCACTAATCTCAGAAAGTTCTTCACCGATTGCTTTGAAATTCACACAACGTTCCATTCACATCCAAGCGGGTTTTTATACACATACTACATAGATGTCACGTCTGTGATGGGAAAAAACATGCTTTTTTTTTTTAAAACTGTTTTTCCATGTGAGAAATCTTCGAAACCTCTTTCCCGATTACTTTGAAATTAACACAATGTTGCATTCGAATAGGCAAGTGTTTTTATATACCTACTATATACATGCCTCATCTGTGACAGGAAAAAAACTTTTTTTTTTAAAACGCCATTTATTGAATGTAAGAGCAACAAACACTGTAATCTCTGACAGATCTTCACCTATTGCTTTGAAATTTTGACAACGTTCCATTCAAATACACACATGTTTTTATATAACTAATATAAAGATGCCACACCTGTGACGGGTAAAAACACGCTTTTTTTTTAAAAACAACGCCATCTGTTGCACGTAAGAGAGACATACGCAATGCTATGTTAAATTCTATTTCAATGTTTCCGATTGCATTGATAAATTGAATTTTCATAGATTTTAATTTATTTTAATTTTGATTTAATTATTCTGTGACATTGCATTGGAATTGAGCTGTTGTTTACCATAGGGTTCATTTCCTGAGTATAGTTTATTTTTGTATTTTTTCGTTTTTCAATTCGTTTTTTTAACTTCTTATTTTTCAGTGATGGGAACATCAGATCACTATGTTCCCAATTTTCTGATGTGAACATCAGATCATTTGGGAATGCATCGGAAGAGAGAGTGGGGAGGACAAGGGGATAGGGGAGCGAGGGATGGTGGGGAGGACGTGGGGACAGTGGAGTGGGGAATGGTGGGAAGGACAAGGGGACGGGGGAGTGGGAGGACGAGAGGATGAGGGAATTAGGAATGGATGAGAGGATGAGGGGGTGGGGGAGTGGAGAATGGTTGAAAAGACGAGGGGATGGGAGAGGGGAGGGATGATGGGGAGGACTGGGGAACAGGGGAAGGTTGCTGTGGCTCAGTTGCTGAGCCACAGCAATGCATGGCTGGGTACAGCTAGTATATAATAAATATCAACTAACCTTCAGACCAAACATGTCTATGTAGTGAATACAAATCTAAAGCCTTCCTTTCAACAACTGGAATCTTCAGTGATGAGCCCTGCAGTTCCCAAAACTTGGCAATTTGGTCCAAAAAATTCAGCTTTATGCGTGTGTGAGCCTCGAGTTCATTCAGTCTTTGAATACGTGGTGTAAACTTGAAGTTGTCTACATCAACTGCAAACGGTGGCTGCCAGTCCTGCAAATAAAATTCATTTAAATACAAATTTAAATATTTCTTTATCGTAATTGACTGGGGAAGGTTTTAATGTCACATACAATAATCTCTCAAACAATATATAAAATATTCTTAACACATCACAAATCACAATGGTGTGATATATTAATGAGAAAATTGCCTGGAGCAATGCAGAAATTTGAGCCAACATTAAAGTGAATTCCAGATGCTTGCCTGAACCCACTTGGCCAAAAATAAGAGAATACCTCCAACTCTGAACTCTACCGAGTACACTAAGGAAGTCTGGAGGCTCCAGTTGGTGCCATAACCATGTTTTACAAATAGACCACCTACTGCACACACTGACCTATGGGCAATGGTGTTCTCCACCAAATGATCCTACTTCAGAACACAAAGAAATCACAATGGTGTGATATCAATGAGAAAAGTATTTGAAACACCTTGCAGGTAATTCATACATCTGCAATTCATCCACTCTGCATTTCATTTCCTCACCATTTTCACTTGTACTACATCTCTTTCTTCCTTTACCCATCATACAAACGCCAGCCTCTTAAATATATAATTTTCACAAAGTACTCTTAAGGACCTAAGACCATGTCTTGTCAATGACACGATTTTTAATGCCATAAGAATGCCGAGAGTTCTAGCAACATTTTGAGCTATACTTCAAGAAGTTCGTGTATACATTCTTACTCAGTAATTGGTTATCATTTCTAAAAGTTTGAATAAGTTAGCGTGTCAAGATTTAATTTTTACAAAACCATATTGTGTTGCTTTAACAAGATTGTGCACCGAGATGGTGAGATTTCCTTATATAAAAGATTCCTTCCTCAAGTTTGCAAATACAGTATGTAACATTGGGTTACACTGATCTGTAGATTTTTGCTTTAACCTTTTTCTGCCTTCCTTGCAGAGATGAGATGGCATTTGCATATTTACAATTTAGGGGAACTTTTCATTGGTGTTAAGGATCTTCAGGAAAAAAGAGCATCAGTGGTAGACAGTATATCAGTCACTTTTACAATTCTGGATTTGATGAAGCCACATCTCAAGCTTTTCATTCCATTAATTTGGCAATGCATTTCATAAATTATTTTTGCACATAATAGGGATATCCTATCAAAGTTGTCAGGCTTATTGTCTTTTAATGTTTGGTATTTTAAAGGTTTAAAGACATAAGCTAATAAGACCAAGTGATTTTTATCACCTGGGTGATATGAAACAAACTTTTGTTCAGTAATATCAAACAGAAATAAGATTTGCTAACATTAAATGAAAACATTAATTAATTGTCATCTTCAACTAGAACAAGATGGCTGCCACATTTTCACCTTTCCTTCCAAATCCTTTAATTTGTGTAACAGCATCTCAAAGCTTAATAAATGATCACTGAGGATTCCATTAAGTTTATCCTATTGCAGATTGTTAGTAAATGTTAGCCTATGTACAAGAAATGACTAAAGTCCCAACTGATCATATGATAAATTACACAAACTCCAAAGCTTTTACCAGGAAGCAATTCTAAAGACTAAATGGTCACTGATAATATATGCACTATTTAGGCAAGTCAATGCCAACACATTTTACTAAACTGCGAAGCTTTTTAGCTTTTTAGCTGCGAAAGCTTTTAGCTTTCCTCAGTCATGGTTGAACCACACCTCTTGAAGCAAAACATATTTACTTACATGCAGCATCCAGAACTCTTGCTTTTATACTTAACATGTAGTTAAACAAAATATGGAGGACGACATAAATTTCTAATTTAACTGCATTTGTAATAGTTTAAGACTAATATCCATTGACATATGTCTTTCAATTATCAGTCATGAGTTATCTGGTAATTTCTTTAACCATCTTTCTTTATAAACAATATGTGCTAACTGCTCTCTACCAGTTTTGTCAAACTGTGGACACGAGACACAAACCAGAGCCACTTTCAATTAAAACTTATTCAGTTTCATAAACCCTCCCACCCTAGCCCGGACTAAAGCTCTAACTATTAAGTGTTTTACAAGAGCGTGGTTCGGTTCCCAGCCCACTTGTTCCCTCTTATGGCTTGCTACAACCTTCGGCCACACCATGGACCGGGTTATATTGCAATGAAACATCGGTTTACGGTGTATAGAAAGCGATAATACTTGGACATGGGCTGGGGTCGCCATGTCGCTCACATACGCTTGCACGTAATCGCGGCTACGCATAAGCGACAAGCAACCATTATTTCTGTCGATATGCTTTATCGAGTACAAAAAGTAATACAAAATCAGTAAACGGGACTTCACACTGTGCAAATAGATCCTCAAACGGTTAATCAGCCTCATAATGGGTCTGGAATTTTCTCTCCAAATAGACACGCTTAGGTGTGACAAACGCGATACCTCCGTCCACGACTTCGGCAGAGCGTCAAATGTGAAGGCACTTGTAAAGCTCTCAGATACCACAGCTTTATAACAAATGTAACACTAAAAAGGTAGTCTAATTATGCATGCAGAAAATTCTACAGCTATATCACATATCAAATGAAGAGTGCGATGTAAGTTTACCGGTGGAGGAATAATTTTACAAATCCCGGACTGCTCAGCGATGGGTCGTATTTTGTTAATATATCCAAGGGCGTCCTGAAACTCTTCCCATGTTGGCTTAAATACAGGGGCTTCAGGTGGCGGGATGAACTGAAACTCAGCTGAAGCCATCTTGACAGGAGTGGGTCAACAGGAGCAGGCCACGCTATAGACGCTGTGTGGGCAACATGTCCACGCAGGACCTCAAGTGTGAGAGAGATAACTCGCTGCTCGGACCCCTTCCGCCTCCCTCTGTTTACTACTGACGTCCTGACTCCCCGCGGACCAATACACACCAGCCGCCAAACACATACCACCCAACTACACACCACAAAAACTAGATCTTTTAGAAAGCATTTTCGCTTAGATGCTGTATAATTACGCCAGCATTAGCATTTATTTTACAAAATGATAAAACCCCCCCACCCCAATTTTGGCACACGTCAAGATGATAACTTGGTTATAATTATGATGTGGAAAGGAATGTGAAGATATGATTGATTAAGTATTTTTATTTAATTTTTGTACATACGTTCAGTCGAATTCATCACTTTGTGTATATAAAGGCAAGAACAGGGCAATATATACATCAGCACAGGTGAAATGGTTATTGCAACAAAAATATGTGAAGCAAAGTATATTAGATGAACTTATACCTAGTTTTTTAGTCAGAGTTTAGTAACATTAATTAAATTAATTAATTAAGGTTCTTTACTTGTAACTATAATTAAATAGTTATTTCATGTTACTGTATGTAATTTACTTTAGTTATTATATATTAATTATATTTGTTATGTAGCTATATACTTAAGAAATTTTACTGTAACTTTAATGTAAGTTACTTTCTGTAAGTTACTTAGTCATATATAATAGCTACCATATTTGTGTATGTAACTATATATATTTATGAATTCAAGAAACTTCAAGTTACTAAAAAGTCCCCATACTAGGGCGTGTTTCCTTTAAGCACAGACACTGAATTGTTTTTGTATTGAGGCTGGTATACTCCCCTGGCTTCATGTATGACTATACCATCCTGTAAGATGGGAATATTAGATGAACTTATAGCTAGTTTTTTTATGTACACTGTGTAATCTTTCATATGGAATAGGGTAGCAGCACATTGCTGTGTATACCTAAGCTTGGTAATAAAAAAAAAAATAAGCTTCCTGAGTTAATGTTTTTGTGCGAGAGGGTGACTGAACATAGACGATATAATTTTTATTAATTTAAATAAATTATTTGCAACTGAAAGTTGCGCAACTGCAGTTGCTAGTAAATTGCAACTGAAGCTGCTGGAATTTGTTGCAGCTTCGCGGTTGCTAGAAAGTTGCAACTGCAATATACTAGATTTTGCATCTGCGAGTTGCAGGCTAATGTGTGCAAGTGCAGGGATACATGTTAAGTGCCCTTAATACCTATACTTACAAACCTATTCTACGTAAGTAGGGGCACATGCACCCGAACATAGTAGTACGTAAGTAAAGTATATAAGTTTAGAGAATTTATCCCAAAATTATGAATGGTGCACTTAATAATAACGAAGGGTGCATATCGCCTATGCACAAGTAATCCTAAATATTTAACATTACTAATTACCTATAATTACCCACTTACATAAGTGTCTAACATTACATTAAATGTGTAAATGAAAAGACAAGCTACATGCAAACAGAACATTGAAAGAGTATGCTTGATGAATGTTCATATATGCGCACAAAGATAATATCGCATACATCAACCCATCCTCTGTTTTGGTAGTACATATAGTAACGATGAGGACCATATACTATATACCGACGTACAACGAAATTTGAAAGTAGAAATCTAAACTATCGAGTTGAAGAAACCGGAAAACATTTTTTACTTGTGTTGCTTTGACAAACTAACCTAACCTAACCTTCCTAGGCATAATACACGATATCTGAGGCTTAATATAGTACAGGTCTAGGAATATTTTAGTTTGTTTTTTTCTGTTGGGTAAACAGGGGCTACAGTTAAGGATTGGCGCTCGGTCAATCCTCCCCGGCCAGGATACGAACCCAGGCCAAAGCGCTCGCGAAGCGTTAGGTGGGTGTCTTACCACTACCCCACGGGGACTGCCATCATCATCATCATCATCATCATTATTATTATTATTATTATTATTATTATTGTTGTTGTGCAGTTCCCGTGGCGAAGTGGTAAGACGCTCGCCTTGCGTTTCGCGAGCGCTTTGTCCTGCGTTCGTATCCTGGCCGGAGAGGATTGACTAGGCGTCAATCCTTAACTGTAGCCTCTGTTTACCCAACAGTAAAATGGGTACTTGGTTGTTAAACGATTTGGCGGGTCGTATTCCGGGGAACATAGGATTAAGGACTTGCCCGAAACGCTATGCGTGCAAGTGGCTATACAAGAATAAAAGAACTCCTGTATATAAATAAATAAATAAATAAATGTTGATGAAGCATGGAGCAGGTGATGACGTAGGTCATTAGTGTAGCAGGGGCAGAAGGAGGACCAATCACAGCCTGGGACACATCACACGCTCTAGCATTTAAAAATGGCCGCGGTGGAAAGGTAAATACCAGCAAATGTTACTTTTAAATTAGTAAATGATGTAGATGTTGACACATTTATGTTGTTTTCTAATGCTAGATAGGTTTAAGCGATGTTACAGTGCTATGTAGTATTATCTGCAACTATTGTTAACCTCTGGTTCAAATATAAATAACGAAGGTATTGAGGAATTGTTGGTTTCCTATATTCCCAGTGCTTGAAATTGTTAATAGCTGCAGATAATATGCATCATATGATGGCATATGCACTATATGATATTCAGTAGGATAGATATCAACCTAAAACTTTTAAATTTATTTTCATTTTATAAGCCACCGGCATCCTGTCATCGAGACCCTACACTAGTGTTGGTAGCCCATAAGTAAACTCTGGTAAATATTGGTAAATATTTGATATGCATCAAATTTATGTTATGGGTACCACTGTTGCCAGCATCTTTGACACCATATTTGTTGCCTTTAAAAGTAACATCTTCTGACATGATTACTCCTAAATCTCTTACATTGTTTTTCCTTTCAATAATGTGGTTTGACTGTTTTATATGTGGTCTCTGCTTTGATATAGTTGAAACTTCCAACTTAAACATCATATTAAACATCCAAATTAAACATCATATTATTTTCTGTAGCCCATTGAAAGACATGATTAACATCAGATTGGAGGTTTGCTGTGTCCCCTATGGTGTCTATTCTCGTGAAAATTCTAGTGTCATCAGCAAAGAATGATACTGCTATACTGTAATTTATATTCTTGTCTATGATATGAGGAAAAGTACCGAAGCAAGCACAGTACCCTGGGGGACTGAGCTTTGCATGGTGTATTGGCTTTTATCGATGCCCCTCCCAACACACACAAGGCCAAATTACCGACCCCACCCAGGATGTAACCCCACAAGAAGCTAACTCCTGAGTACCTACTCACTGCTAGGTGAACAGGGCATTAGATGAAAGAAAATTAACTCTTGCTTATTATAATTTTTAATGCATACTATAATAATGTTGCATCATCTTAATTCATTGTGTCAAGGACAGGCAGCTAGAGTCATACAAGTTAGGGTTATATTGAGGTCTCCCCCCCCACCAAGGTCAAATGACTAACCCCACTCAGGATGCAACCCTGCAAGAAGATGACTAACTCTTGAGTACCTACTTACTGCTAGGTGAACACGTGCATTAGGTGATAGGAAATGTGCCCAACTATTTCTGTCCCGCCCAGGATTTGAATCCCATATTCTTGAGTGTGAGTCGAGAACAAACCCCACTGTACTATCGGGACCCTTTAACCCTTGGGCAGCAGAAGCTGTAGAGGGTCCTGGGGTGGCTGTGTCTGGCACCTGGCAATGCCTCGTACGCAACATTGCTGACACTTCCTGTATTATCACCTAATGTTTCACCATTTTTCTCTCTATTTACAAGAGTATGTGTGTTGAAGAGCTTGATAAAATAATTCACCCATAATAATGTTTCAATTAATGATTAGTTTACCGAGTATACTCCATTGCAACCAGTACAGATTAGTGAAAAGAATGATTTTTTTTTTAATGGTGTTAAACGCGGACGATGACACATGGCCTAATTGGCACCACATAGGTGCGAGAATAGATTGAAATTGAAACAAAGGCGTAAGCCACCAACGTGTACCCTCGGTTGATAATCGCCATATGACGATAACCGCATTCATGTAGTAAGTAAAGGAGTTTACTAGTAACTAATGACAGCAGGATTTTTTCAAGGGTCAAGGGAAACTCCATTTCATCCACATAGACCAGTTATATCTTTATTTTCCTCGTACAGTACATGTAAAATTCGGGCAATAATTATATAAATCATCATATGATAACTGCATTACCCCATGGATCAACATATGACGATGACCACTGCCTAAGGGTTAAATACTGTAAAGGCTCTGTACCCTGTTTGCTATTTGGGATCAGAGACATCAGCTTGCAGGAGATAGGAGGGGTGATGATTACCCACCCCCCATGATGGTGGGAAATGTGGTAAAGATATTTTTAATACTGTGCTATAACAATAAATCTTTGCAGGCTTAGATCCTCAATAAAGAGGGTCAACAGCTGTGGTAGGAGAAGTAGAGCATCAACACCAGCTTCAAGCAATGGTCAAGTAAGTTTTCATGTGATAAATTATAATGTGCATATGATTATATAGTGTTAGCCGGCAGCCTATATTCCAATAATATTTGTTATACCGATTCCTGAAATGTATCATACTACAGTATATATGCAGCATTTTTATTACTGAACAATTATCAGTAGTTTTACTCATGAGCGCACTATATATTCTGGGGGAGCCCCTTCGGCTCCCTGGAGCTATCCGGGCTGATATAAATGTATTAAACCCTGGCATCAGTCAAGTGAATGGAGTTCTTAGGCCTACTGGGGGACCACGAGCCAGAACCTGGTCCCCTCAGAGAGGACGATGAGCAATGGCCTATAGAAAACCCCCATGTGGTTAGAAGCATTCTATGTCTGCCATTGACCGGGCCAGGCACCCAGAAAGGTAGGCACTCCCAAAACAAACCCTATCTGGTTAAAATATTGCTACTGAAAGCCAAACTGTTGGACAGAACTCCTCCGAATAAAAAATGAGCAAACAAACATGTCACAACCGTCACTGCGTCGCTATCTGCCCCCTCCCTGGGAGGGGGAAAGGGGAGCCCTAGACCCCAATGCTGGCTATCCACACCATCAGTTCTGTGGCTGATGTGAGACCTGGTGGTCGTGCGACTCTGGCTCCGAATCTTTTTCAGTGCTGTGCCTTGTGGTGTGGTCCTGTCCAAGTGGTGGTGTGCGAGCCAGTAGGTTCACTTGTACTCAGGCTGCATGCGCCTAGGGTTATCTTCCCTAGGTGCCCTGTAAATACTGTCCTTGGGGCTTGAGGTTATCTTCCACAAGTTGCTTGGGGGCTACCTCCTCCGAGGTCTTTTGCTGCTCAGAGATTGCCCGCCCTTGGGGTCAGCTGGGGTGTTTCATGTGCCACTGTTTATACTCTGGGTAGGCAGTAGTTTCATCACTGGTACTGTGACCAGCAAGGTACAAGTACAGGTACTTTATACTTACAGAGCAAGGTACTGTGTAGCTTGTTTTCACCATAATACAGTGGCAGGCTCTGTTCCGCCTAGGTCGTTGTGCTCTTGCGTGGTTTTTCTTTTATTTTTGGTTTTCTTGCCTGGTGGGGGGCCTGCATCTTGGTGTTGGTACCTATTATATATATTGGTGGTCCTCCACTAGGTCCCTGTGAGTGTACAGGTCCTGGGGGGTTCAGGTTTTAGCAGTTTGTTTGGTAGTTTGTTGTTCCGGTTAGTAATACCTTGCCTGGGCTTCCCTTAGCAGAGCATCTAGGGCCCCTAGAAAACCCCACTGGGGCTCAGTGGGCCAATGGATGCGTCTCCTGGGTCCCATTTCACTTCGTGCAAGTTTGAGGGTTGCTCTGTCTCCTTGTCTCAGGGTGACAATCACCTGTTCTGCCTTCATCATGCTACCTGTTAGGTCGATGACACCTTTGACCCTGAGTCCTGCGAGTGGTGTTGCTTGCATGTACTCCGTTTCACCCAGGCCACTGATCATGATATTTGGGTGCAGACGGCTTCGATGTTGCATGCATGTTTTAGGTTGTTGCAGTGCGCTAGGTTAATTGTTCACCCAGATGCCCCGAGGCTGCCCCATTTAACCTGTGATAAATGATTACTATATCATAGTGGAAGATATTATTACTTCGTGTCATTATCTTGACCACTGGTGTGTCAGTCTCGTAGTCTACTCTTTGGGTAACTCATCGTGGGGCTTTTGCAAGTACAAGGTGCAGTTGCAGGTATTCGTGAGAATCGTGTTATTCCAAATAGCATATGTGTAAAGAATATGTTTGTGTAAGCTGCAGTAATCAATGATCAACCTGCCTTCATCATATTCCTTGATAATGTTTTAATACACATTCTATAAAAGTGCTTTGAACTAATGCATTGTTCCTTTTCTGTCTGAGCAGGTAGCCCATTGTTTTTGTACTACAGCAATTTCAAGAATCCTTTTCTGTGATTTTTTCCACATACCTTTACTGTATTGTTACCTTGCATTGAATCAAAGTCCGTGTGGCCTGGTTTCTGACCAGGCCTCCTACAGTACAGTACAATGTAGTACAGTATTACAGTACAGTTGTACAGTACTATGTAGGTAATTTTAAAGTACTAATATATTCTGTACTGTATTTTCTCATGTCATATTTTTTCAACAGGATATTAATATTGATGAAGAACTTGCCAAGCTTCAACCTTCTGTGTGCCTTCTTGACTTCTACAGGCAGAAGATTGCTACATTTGGTGAAAGGCAACAAGAAATGTTACAGTTACTGGAAAAGTGAGTTTATTTTTTAAACCTAATTTAAAGGTTAAGAATGTAAAAATATTTTAGACCAAATAATATATTATATACAGTAGACCCAGTATACAGTTGACTTCAAGCTTGACTATTGTAATTTATGCAGACAAAACTTATGCAAGATAATACAGTAATGGAGACTCTAACGCGTACTGTAATGAACATGTATGGAATTGGTTTGAAAATTGATAAATATCTTTTGATTCTCAGTTATATAACCTAATGGAACAAAACAATAAAGCAATTGTTATGAATTTGACGACATACGCCAACTGCCACATTCAAAGTGTTTTAGGTGCAGTTACACTACACACAGAGATCACACTAACATGATGCATCAAATGAACAAATCCACAAGGGCCGTGACGAGGATTCGGACCTGCGTCCGGGAGCATCCCAGACACTGCCTTAATCGACTGAGCTACGACAGGGTTAAAAAGAGTTGAAACCAAAGTTCTACTGAACTTGCTGGATTCCGTAGCCTCTCCGAGGCACAAACCAGTATTTTACACAACTCCCCCCTGCACCCGAGCTATGTCAAGAGGCCATTCTCTCTCTTCGCCCTTACATCATTACACACATTTCGAATCCTCGTCACGGCCCTTGTGGATTTGTTCGTGCAGTTGCACTGTTTACCATGGGTAGTATGCTTTATTGTCAAATTGTTTATTCCTCTAAAGTATAGAGAATATCCATTTTCTATACCTTTGAGGCATAAGCAATTAGAAAATATAACTTATTAACCAGGGATAAAAAAGAAACAATGAAAGAAAGGAGGATTTGTTAGTGTTATCTAAGCTATGGGTTTCTGGTGATCCAACCAGGTATTAGCCTCTTGTTATAGTATTTGTTAAATGGCTGAACAGGACTCCAGTTACCTGGGCTGCCTCCGGCGGCAGCAATCAAATTGGCTGCCATCTGGTTGCAGGCGAGTGCTTTACCATAATAAAAATAGTTGGCACTATTTTCATCAGGGTTAAAATTTTCTCCAAGCAGTTGTTTGTTTTGGAGCATTTTGGCTTGCTGGTGGGTCTTTTGCTCAGCTTTCTGCTAATCTTTACTTCCCCAGACTTCCTTCCACATCTTTGAACTAGTCAGATCCTTATCCTGGTAGGTGTTCACAGAGTCTTGGCAAGTTCTTCCTTAGTTGCTTCCACTTTGCAGCATTAGGGGGTTCCCGAGTGGGCCACGTGTAAGAGGCATTTCATTACATTGAACATTGGATTTTTTCTCCAGTATAAAAACACATCAGTTTTATGTTGTTGAAGCCCAGATATTTTAAAGTAAAGAACCTTTGTTTTCTTGTATGTACAGGTAAATTATTAGAAATAAATATTGTAGGTCCAGATTTATAGGAATAAAAAGAGAATTGGTAAAAAAAAAAAATAGTATAGTTGGCAGTATGTTATGGACCATCAAGTGGGTCATGTATGATCCAAGATAGCACACATCACTGAAAGGAAGAACACATGGGCATTACCATCTACAGAGCCTTGAATCCATGGCACCTAATGTGACAAAATAAATGTAGTGTACATTTACCTGCTCTTTTTACCTGATTTTTAGGAAGAATATTGATTTTAACTGATAATACTGAGAAATTTATTTTACAGATACCAGCAAACAACAAAATCTACATTCCTTGAAGAGGAGCGAAGACAGCTAACAAGTGAACTTATTGAACTTCGTTCTGCTTTATCAGATGTTAATGTATTTATTCATGCTGAACGTCAACAAGTTGTTCGATTATATTCAGAAAATGAAAGATTAAAAGTAAGATTAAACAAATAATATTCTTAGGTTGTCATTTGTAAGGTTTTCTTAAGCAATATAAGACAACACTATTTCTGTGAATTCCTAAATCATGTAATGTATGAAATACCTTTCCTCCTTGTTCTTCCCTTTACCCATGTTTTCTCTTACATCATTTAGGCTTGAGAGAGTAAAGGGGTGCCTTGGGGGTAAGTTGTACACTTAACACTGCCTGACCCATAACGCATAATGCATCTGTATATGAATATACTGTGTGCGCGAGGACGCACGCTGCATCCAAAATTTGTTAAAATTCCATTTATTGTTTGATTATTAAGGAACTAACTTTAAAATGGGCGCCTTTCAATTGCGAACAATTTTATCCTAAAATGAACGACGGAACACGAAAATTGAGGTAAAAAGAAATTGAGGTAAAAAGACAGGAAAAAGTATAAATATTTGTGTGGTGGTGAGCATTCAAACTTAAAATATTTGTAAAATTCCATTTATTGTTCGATTTATTCGATTTTGTTTGATTTATTGTTGGAGTTATTCCATTTCATATTCAATAAAATTCCATTTATTGGGTAAGTTTTAAAATGTGTGCCTTTGAATTGCAAACAATTTGATACCAAAATGAACTTCGTAACATGAAAATTGAGGTGGGAAGACTGGAAAGAGTATAAACATTGGAGTGCGGCTGGATGCGGACTCATGGGTAACGCTCGGCCGATTTTGCCGAGTCTCCTCCCCCAAAATGAGTGGGAAAGGTGGGGCGAACTAGCTTAAGTAATAATTGTGATTACGAAGCAATAAGATGCTTATAGGTTAGGTAAGGTCGGTGTTTTCTATGAAGCTTTTCAAGGTAAACTAAAATATTCACAATAAATTAGTATGTCACATATGCACTTATTGAATAAGTCAATATTGACTTAAAGAAAGTGCGAGAACGGGTTGTGCACATACATAATCATATATTTTGCTTGTCTTCTACTGTATTACATCTACATTGTACTAACATTTAAACAAACTTTCAGTTGGATAATCTTGAAGCCGAAAAGAAAGTTGCTCTGTTACTGTCTCTGTGTGGCCTCTCAGAAGGGGAATTGAAAGTATTTCTGCGTGATCCCTGCAGGACCACCATCATCAAGCAGAAGCTCCCGCCACACCTTAAAAAAATTCACATAAAGTTAAAGGAGGATTTTCAAGAAACAGGTTTGCATATGAGCAATTATATAATGCTAGAGTATAAAAATTTAGTCTTGCCAAGAGTTTACATAATTACTTATGTGATACTGTCCGCCCTTTCAGAGCTACTTCCTCTTTACCTTCAAGTGGTTCAGGTGCAAGTTTGAACATTAATCCTTAAGTGAGCCGGATAATGGGGCTTTCCTGTAGATGGATACGTCAAATAAGACATCATGACATTTTCATCATATTTTTTCTTAACGTTGTAGATGGATTTGGATCGGCAATCTCTCCCTTCAATGCATTTCACTGGCCAACCATCCTTACAAGGAATGAGAACTTAGCTAAATCTTTTTACCTCAATTGCATGTGCAGCTTCCAATGTTGTTCCCTTGTCCTATTTCTTTTTAATTTAATTAGGCATCCTTTGTCCACTTTGTCTATTACCCTTCAGGATCTTGTATGTAGTAATCATATTCCCTCTTCTCTAAGGTTGTGATGGTGAGTTCCCTCAACCTGTTCTCATAGCTGAGGTCGCTCAATTCTGGTAATCTAGCTGCAAACCTCCTGAACTGTCTCAAGTTTAGTTTATGCTTCACATTGTGTGGGTTCCATGCTGGTGCTGCATACTTAAGTAATGGTTTCACATAGGCATTGTGTATGGACTTAAAAGCCTCCTTGTTTAGATTTGTATGTTTGCTAGCAACTCATATGCTGCTAATGTTATGTTACATGAGCTTCTGGTGTTAAATTTGAGATTATGTGTACTCCCAGGTCTTTTTCTCTTATTGTTTCTTATACAATACAATAATTGCCTTCACCCTTATGGTATAGTTAAATATCTCTTGTACCCATTTTCATTTCTTTACTTCGATTAAATTCCAGCAGCCATTTATCTGTCCACTCCTGAAGATTTCAAGGGGTCTGGGGCTCCCCTTTCTCCCTCCCGGGTAGAGGGAAGCTGCACAGACAGTGGTGTGGCAGCGGTTGTGACATCATGCTTGTTTTCTGATAGTGGTGTTCTGTTTCATAGTTCGGTTTTCAGTAACAATTTTTGCCCAGGTGGAGTTTGTTTTGAGATGCCTACCTTTCTGGGTGCCTAACCCAGTAGATGGCAGACAGAATGCTTCCAACCACATGGGAGTGCCTATAGGACATTGCTCCTCGTGAGCCCAATATAGCTCTGGGGAGCCTCCGGGACCACCTAGAAAATGGCATTTCATTACATTCAACAGTGTTTTTTTTTTTTTTTTTTAACAATTATTTTTTTCCAGGGGAGAGTGAAGCTACATTAGCCTTGAAAGCCTGTGTAAAGTCTCTTGAAACACAATTAGAAGAGTCAGATAAAACCTGGAGAAGAGAGAGAAATGCATTTATTCAAGACAGATCTCTCTTAGCTTCAGAAAGTAAAGCACAAGCAGCCAAGGATGAAGCACACATTAAGTTACTTACTGCCAGGTATGATCTAATTGGAAAACCTTGTATACATGTATGGTATACAGCAAGCTCTTGGTTTTCCAGTCCATCATCCAATAAGGTATCCAATAATAGCTATCTCGGTGCAGCTAGCTACAGAGATCCACTGAGGGCCCCCTTCTAAAAAGAGATGTTTCATCACATTCAATTCTTGTTTTTTTTTTTTAAATAGGTCAGACTTGATTTATTTAGAGCACTATATACAGTTTGCTTAATTAATGTCTTGATTTCTACATAAACTTTTCTTTCTTCCATAACTTTTTTCCTTTCTTTTGTAGACTGGAAGAAGCTGAACGCCTTCTGAGTGAAACAGTTGAGGATGCATTAAGAAAAAGTGCTGACGTGCAGACATTAGAAATGACTTGGTTGGCCGAGCGAGATCATCTGCTGTCTGTTTTGTCAACAGTCCAAGAAAATATGCCATTGGTCACTCAAATGCAGGTAAACTCTAGACTAGTTTGCTTGGAAATTTATTGGTAATACATATTGATGTTATTGTTAGATAATTTAATTGCTCTGAAATATGCTGTTATACACTGTTCAGTAGTGAACACGTACTGTAAATAGATTAACCCCCATACTGCGCAGCCGTCAGTGTTTGGTTGGCACAGTGATCGCTATGAGTGTCAGTCAGGGTCGTTGGTCCTTTCGCGGTTTGCCCCATTGACGGTAGGAAAAGCTCCTCCCCGTCAACGGGGGCTCCCCAGATAGCTCCGGGGAGCCTCCAGGTCTCACCCAGAAAATGGTGTTTCATTACATTCAACACTGTTTTTTTTTTCAAAGTGGTGGATGTTCGCCAGAGGCTTCCAATATCAAATGACATCCCTATAGAATTGGCAGAATATTCATGTATTATGGGGTGGAACAAATTCATTTCAAGGCATTTGGAGCCATACATCTATTATTGCAAGATGATTGGAGTATAGTATAGTATATGTTAAATTTGCATCATGATTCTTTTTCCTGGCATAAAAGAAGGAAAATAATAATTATAATTTAAAGGTGATTGATCAAGCAAGTAAGTAATATTTTGTGATGTGTATAATTTTTTCCTTCATAGACTATTGGGAGAACTGGAAGCTACACTGATCTTTCCAAGATGAAATCTACTTGTGAATTAAAGGATCTTCGACGTGAGATTGAATCAATAAAGGTAAGAGAAATCTAATGTTAAAAATCTGTTAATTGCTGTAACACATTATTTTCCTTAAAGGTCTTTATTCTCTTATTGAATTACTCTCTTTAGCAAAAAGTGTCACTTAACTGGACTGTTTCAGTGTTTATCCATTGTCTTGATATGTAACATATGTCTTTGATGTATACAGTACAATGTTTATCTTTCAAGCTTTATTTATTTTGTATTTTTTTATATTTTTCCCAATCGTTTGCAGTAAGCCTATTTGTAATATTTATTAAGAAATATGTGACATTTTGTGGCAGGTGATAACTGTATATTAGGAAACTCTTTGGAGCAGGGCAATGGGACCGAACCAGCAGCCTGTCAGCTCAGACACACCTTTTCCCATGGAAAATGATATTCTTAAAAGCTACACAACCTGCAGTCTGCCCAGACTCACTAAGAAAATTGAAGGCACCAAGCTGGTACCCAATCCATTAGGATTGGTTCCAGCTTCTTCTAGGCTCTATTTTATTATTTTGGTCCTGAGAGTTGTTTTCTTCATTTTCAGTGCCTCCTTTCTTTTCCAGCTATGGTTGTGATGGTCGAGTTCTGGAGGGGTTCTTTGGTGGTTGTTGCTTAGTTGCATTGGCCTTGGGTGAGTCATTTGTTTTGTCTGATTGCAGCCATATGCCATCACCTATGTGCTTCTAGTAATGTTTGTGGATTCAAAATCCAATGGTCTCACTTGTTCATAAGTTTGCTGCTTCATCTGTGATATTTTCGAATGTTTGATATTTGGACTGTGATTTTGGAGGTCCATCAGTGTGCTGGCAGCTTGTTCCTTGGTGAAAGTTCCTGGCCCACACCAGGAACCACACGTGTGTGTGTGTGTGTGTGTGTGTGTGTGTGGTTTTGGGGCAGTTTCCTCATTGGTAATTAACTCCTGATGATGCTGTTTTGTGGAAGTTGACCCTGGTTTTTCTTCTTGTCCTGGTGGTTTGACCCTCCAGGTGGTGTCCAGTGGCCTGAGATGAGGGGTACTTTGGTCCCCTCCTTCCTCTTTTGTGTTATTGACTTGACTGGCTTCTCCTTTCTGGCTCTGATTTGGTCTTTGCCGAGTGGGTTGAGTTGACATTTTGGTTTCCCTCTTTTCTCGGTGGGTCCCAATTCTGTTTCCGTTCCAGCTTGGGTCTCTTGAGACCCTGCAGTCCATTTTCACCTCAGGTTGTTCCCATTTTGTTTTTCTCTTGGCCTTGTAGGCAGCCCCTTGGTTTGTTTTTCTAATTCTGTGGGCCATGCATTGTCAATCCAGTTTTCTTTTTCCAGGACCTGGCTTGTTTTCATCATGGCATTCTCATGTTTGCTATTTGAGTTGCAGTTCTGTTTCTTGGCCATCCATTGATGCCTGGCTGATTTGGGCATCCTGCTGGTCTGCATGTCTGCATGTCTGCATGTCTGCATGTCTGCAAGCTGTGGATGTGGGTATTGGTTCTGGTGCAGCATGGCCTTCCCCGTTTATGTATCCATCTGGAGTGTTTATTGTAATTGCCTAAGTGTAGTTACAGGATGAGAGCTATGCTCATGATGGCCCGTCTTCCCAATACTCTGTCAAATGCTTTGAAACTACTGATGGTTTTGGCCACTATCACCTTCTCACTTGTTCAAACTGTCTACCACAGTGTTTGCAATAGAAAATTTTCTAATTTTTTGGGGCGCCTTTGTTTCCCTAGCTTGAATCTGTGTCCTCTTGGTTTTTGAAGTTGCATGATTTAGGAATTTCTATTTGTCAATTCCTGTTACTATTTTGTACATGGTAATCATATCATCTCTATTTTTTCTATTTTCTAGCTTTGGCATATTTAACGCCTCTAGCCTTTCCTCATATCTCTTGGTTTTCAGTTCCGGAAACCACTTTGTAGCATGCCATTGCACCTTTTCCAGTTTATTGATGTGCATCTTGAGATATGGGCACCATACAACTGTTGCATATTCCAATTTTGGTCTCACAAAAGTCATGAATAATTTATTTAGTATTTCACCATCCTGTGTGCATGTGCTCAGCCATCCTTGGTTTCTTGACAAATTGATGTGGTTGAGGGGTCCTTTCGTCATGCTCCTTGCAATGTCTTCTCTTGGTATGGCCCATTGTCATCTCTTTTGTTGCTTTTCCTCCTGGGGTTATGAAAATCTTTTGGGTATTTTGCCTGTTTCTTCCTTATTTTCCTTCCTTGACTGACCAGGGTTTTGGTTCTTCCCTCCTGGTATAGTTCTTATTCCTGAGGACTTGGCAAGTTTTCCTGCTCGTATTGTTTGGTCTGCACAGTACATTCTTCTTCTGTACAGCTAATTTCTGTTGATATATCTGTGGAGATCCCTGTCGGCTCCCTGAAACTATCCATACTGATATAATGCCATATTAGTTGGAGTCATCAGTTGCAGAGTTCTTATTGCCTACCAGGAACCAGAGCCAGAACCTGGTCCCCTCAGAGAGGTGCAGGGAGCAATGGCCTATGAGCACTTTACATATAAAGTATGTCATAATTGCCATTGACTGGGAAAGGACCCAGAAAGGTAGGCAAATCCAAATAGACCATATCTGGTTGAACATTGCGAGTTACTTCCTAAAAATAGCAAAAGAACTCCCCCAGAAAGAAAACAAACAAGCAACACTTCATCCAACTAGCTAACCCCCCCCCCCCAGCCCCCCAGAGAGACTGGATGAATGGATAGTGGGGAGAACTGGATGGATGGATGGATGATGGGGGAAACTTGATGGATGGTGGGGGGGAAATTAGATGTATGGATGGTGGGGGGGAACTGGATGGGTGGATGGTGGTGGGACCCTGTAGACAGACCATGCCACAAGGCACAGTAACTGAAAGCAAAACAGAGTTAGAGGCACATGACCTGCCAGTATCACATCAGCCAAGAACTGCCGGTTGGATCGCCAGTGCGAGGGTCTGGGGCTCTCCCTTCCCCTTCCTGGGGAGTAGGGGTTGTGCAGAGAGCAGCATGGCAATGTGATGACGTCATGCTCGTTTGCTAATTTTTGTTAGGGAGTTCTGTCCACTTGTTCCGCTTTTGGTAGCAATATTTTCACCAGAATAGGGGTTTGTTTTGGGGCAATATCTTTCTGGGTGCCAGACCTGGTCGGTGGCAGAATGGCATAGAATGCTCCCAACCACAAAGGGGTTTCTATAGGCCATTGCATCTCATGCCTCTCTGAAGGGGCCCAGTTCTGGCTCATGGTCCCCGGTAGGCAAGAACCCCATGCACTTTGATCGATGCCAGAAAGCTAATAGTTACATATCAACCTGGATAGTTCCGGGAGCCTTCGGGTCTCGCCCAGAAAATGGCGTTTTATTACATTCAGCGCTGGTTTTAAGTTAATATTTTTGGGTTTGTGGAGTGGATTAATTAAATTTACATTTCTTATGGAAAAATTCATTTTGGTTTATGAACCAAGGTAAAGTACATTTAAAGTATTCATAGGCCATTTCTCCCTGCACCTCTCTTAGGGGGGCCAGATTCTGGCTCTAGTCCCTGGTAGGAAACAAAGAACTCTGCGACTGATGACAATCGAGTAGTATGCCACTTGATCAGTAAGATTCAGGGAGCATCCGGGGCTCACTCAGAAACTGGCGTTTCATCACATTCAACGCTAGTTTTGCTACATATGCTACTAGTTAATTTTATCTCTTGAATTGTTGTGTATTAATAACTTCCAACTCTTTTTTAGCGTGAAGCAAGTGAAGCAGAGGAATTACGTACAATGTATGAATCTCAGTGTCTGCAGCTTGAGCAGAAGATGTGTAAACTTAGGGAACAGAAAGAAGCTGCTATGCAAATATATAAAGTAAGCTCTTTTGTGTTTTCTCAATTTTTGTTTTGCGTATCTGACTTTATATAATCATTTACTGTATTGCAAAATGCACTTAAAATTCTTCTGTGTATTATAGCATTCATATATTTCTTCTTAGCCAATCTCTAAAAAAAGGCAGTATTAAGGTATTTACAAATACAGTGGATTTAAAAAAAAAATGGCATCTGTTTACGAGAGCCCTGAGGAAGTTGATGTGATCCCTGTGTAACCGTGAGAGTTTTGAATGCTACGCTATACCTACGAGCACCCAGATCTAGTGCTTCAAGGTGCTCTGCACAGTGCAGAGGTTAATGTACATTACATCTCATATACATTATCCTTATTAGTTTTTGTATACACAATACGGATTGTAGTGAATTTTTTCCAAGTGAAATATTAAAACTTGTTTGGATAATATACTTAAATATACTGATAATTGTTTTGTTTATAGGAGCGGAATCAAAAACTACTCCAACAAATAGAAATGCTAAAGCAAGATAAAATTCGTTTAGATGAACGTCGACGAACGGATATAAAAGGTTTTCAGGCTGATATTCGGCTTTTGAAAAATGATGTGAAAACTGTTGTCCATCAGCTGTTTAAGGTAGTTTTCTCTAGTACTGTACTGTATTAGAATTGTTGTGACAAGTTAGATAACCATTTCGTACTAAATATGAATTCTGCATAAATTATATATTTGTGCACTGTGATATTTTTCTATGGACAGTTCAGTAAAATAAAAGATGACTTTAAATTCTTCTTGGCCAACTTTGTGACCTAACTTGCAACCCTCTGTTCTCAATTCCATTATATATATACTCATTCTCATACATTCTTTATCATCCATATATATAAAATTAATTAATTTTAATTTGTAAGGATCACTTTGTATACAATTTTCTTCCTCATTTTCTTACTAATCCAGTTATCTTTTAAGTTAGCCATTGTTACTACAAGACTGCTTGTTTTCAACAAGCTATTTCTTTCTTAAAAAGAAAGAAGACTAATCATCCACTAAGGTTTTTCAGCAGGGGATGAACAGTGGCTCCCTGAAGCTAGCCACACTGAGATAGCTCCACACACAAACCACATTAGCCCTAGGAATCTTTAATAGTCTACTAGAGACCTGAATCAAAACCTGCCTCCTCCCCCCCTCCTCACAGAGGCACAGGGAGCAGGGAAGTGTTAAAATCACCATCACCAAGGAAACATGCAGAAAGTAAACAGAGTAAAACAAGCAATTGCAAGGTTCACTAAGGTAAATGGAAACAAAGCAGCAAATGACTCGGTAAATGATTCACCTAGTAGTCAGTTCAAGCCCCCCCCCCCCCTAGTTAGATCTGACCACTACCAGGTGGCAGAACCACTGGGAGTTGCCAGTTTGAATGTCAGTACTTCTTGGTCTTTCACCTGATGCCCACCTGTGTGGGACAGTTCCTTGAGTACCCAGCCTTTCAGATCCAAACTAGTTATAGATAAGCATTAGCCATCCTTATGGCTGATCCTTAGCGAGTGGTGGCCGCTCGCTACCTAGTCAGTATTCCTGGCCCTAGTTGGGCATGTGTCGCATTGAGTCTGCGGTTGCAGCCAATTGTCTCAACTTTTGAGTTGAGGAGCGAGTGGCAACCTCCTCTCGGATAAGTTCCTCTTTTTTTTTTTTTTTATCTTTGGTTAAGTAGCTCTGTGAAGCTGATGGGGTTCCCCCGAGAAAACCAGCGTTGAATGTAATGAAATGCCATTTTCTGGGGGAGACTCAGAGGCTCCACGGCAATCCACCCTCCCTCTGGTCGGTGGTTTTGCAGTTTTTGACATCCAGCCTCTGAACTGAGGGATGGTGGATACCCGGGGGGGGGGGGGGGGGGTCTGGAGCTCCCCTTATCCCTCCCAGGAAGGGGGGAGCTGTGGAGACAGCAACGTGGTGACAGGTGTGACATCATGCTAATTTGTTTATTTTAGTTTGGCGAGTTTTGTTCAACAGTGCAGCTTTCAGTAGCAAGTTTTTTACAGATAGGGTTTGTTTTGAGGTGCCTACCTTTCTGGGTGCCTGACCCGGTCAATGGCAGACATAGAATTCTCCCAATCACACGAGGTTTCTATAGGCCATTGCTCCTCGTGCCTTATCTGAGGGAGTCAGGTTCTGGCTCATGGTCCCCGATAGGCAGAACTCCATGCACTTTGACTGATGCCAGAAAGCTAATGGTTACATATCAGCCTGGATAGTTCCGGGGAGCCTTCAGGTCGCTTTGACTGATGCCACGGTCTAATACATTCATATCAGCCCAGATAGCTCCAGGGAGCCTCCAGGTCTCACCCAGAAAATGGTGTTTCATTACATTCAAAACATTCATAGTCGTGCACCTCATAGATTGTCCCGATTTTCAGGATAATCATGTCTTGCTTTCCTAATGTCTCTAAAAGTCATTTGTCCCTTGATAGAATCCCTGGTAAATCCTGTATCTTTGATATCACTCTAGTACTGATATTTCAAATTAGTATCTAAGAATGCATTAAGGTTTCATTAAGTTAAAAGGCTTTATTCAACATATATTTAATTTTTCTGCAGATTACGATAACTTTGTCAGGAGCAGACAACCTACCTGTGGACATCAGTGCTCTGAGTGAAATGCAAGCTGTTGCAGCTCTGGTTAGGACTGTGCAAAATGCAGTTGCTGAAACCAAGAGAAAGATCCTGAAGCTGGAGAACGAAATGAATAATCCCTCAGATTAAACTTTTGCCTTGTGAAAACAATGTACTGTTCTGTGATAAAGCTGATTTAAGTACAGTATTAGGTTAAGTTTAATTTTACATGTGGTAAGTACAGTACCTGCTTTTTTTGTCAGCTAGCAATGCCTCAACGAGCTCTGGCAAGTATAGTTAAATTCACAATAATATTTCAGTATTTTAGTAATGAAATATTGATGCTTCAAAAGTCAAGAATACTGTGTACAAAAAATAAATAAAAATAAAAATAATTATATCTCATCGTTTTTAGTTCTTTGAGCTGGCATTATCAGTCATCGTCTCTCATTTTCATTATAAAGTAGAAAACTGCTATACACATACATGAAAATATTTGTTCAACCTTTTTAGTTAAACAATTATCCAGTTGAAACATTTGGTCTTTAACTCCAGATTGAAATTGAAATTTTAGGACTTCCAGCTGTATTTAAACTATTTTCTACCACATTTCTTGGAAAAACTCAATAGCTTGAAATAATCGTCCAAGATATTAATGAGAAAAAACTGTTTAGAACATCCTAACTCTTCACATACTTACACGTACACTCAGTTACTGCAGATACAAATAAATATGCACTTAAATTGTCTTTGTCTTATTGTATACAATTGCCTTAAATTGAACGGGCAACTTACGTGAATGCCTTTGCACATGCATTCATGTAAGATGCAAGTACTAGTCACATCTGTGCACACACGAGTATACAAAGCTTTCATTCATCCATATTAATGACACCCGCAGAATACACACTTGTGTCAGTGATATATGATTACACATACATGTTAGTGAAATATGACTTTACATTAATGTAAGTAATATGTGATGATAAATGTACTCATTATCTACCCAGGCTTACAGTTTTAGCATACAGTAGCATCATAATGTATTCTAATCCATGTAAAGGTGTTTTTATTATTTTTTTCCCAATGTTTAATTGATATTTTAATCCATACCCCTGGGCAGTGACACATCCAGAATCATAAGGTATACCAATTATTAATTTACCATCTTCAAGTTGTGAAGACCCATTGAAAACCTTTAAAACATATTTTGAGTGTATTTATTTTGAATTAGTCTACAAGAACAAAACATGTCACCTTCTTGCAATCAGAAGTTAAAATGTGAGAGATCAGTTTACTGTAGTGGCTCTTAAAAAGTTTATCTGAAAATAAAAATAAAAATAAGAAAATAATTGTGAAGGAAAAAAAGAAGCACTTAAAGAGAAAACACTCTAAATTGGAAAATTTACAGACAAGAAAACGTACTTATTAGATCTACCTTGAGGTTGGTTACCTTGAGGTGCTTCCGGGGCTTAGCGTCCTCCTGGTAAATAATTATATCTATCTATATCTAGTTAGATCTAGACGAGATATTAAATATATCTAACTAGATCTACTAGTTAGATATTAAAAATAAATTCTGATTAATGTTTTTGTGTGCATGTATATACATATGGAGTGATCAGGCGAAGTGTATGAGCTTCAAAGTCATCACTGTGATTATTAATTTTAGTCGGTTTATTACAATGTTATAAATTTGATCCTCAAATACAGATGGCTTCCAATTGATTGGTGCAATTTTAAGAAGCTCATTTCACAGCAAGAATGTGATTTGGTTAATTACTTTTTCAGCCCCATTTGAAAGAAATATATATTTTGCATTAAATGTTTTGCAAGAATGTTTTTAAGACTATTGTTATGAACAAGGATTTAATTAGATTGATTTTATATAATACTATTTTTTGTAAATAGTAAATTTTCAGCACACTGTTACAGCAACTTGTATATTTTCACCTATTTTACTTATCCTATTTGGTTGCATAATAACTTGTCTAATCAATGCCCCATCTTTAATAGCATTATGAGACTAGTATCTTTTTTGTGTAAAAAAGATACTAGAAAAAATCCAGAAACTTTGTAATGCCTAACAAAATAAGGGCAAATTCCCACAAATTCAGATCAGGTCCAGAATATGAACCAGATTTTGGAGGTGCTTGTATATTGGACTTTAAGTATAATTCTCGACTCTTAACATTATTATGATCATCATATATTCAAACACCAATTTCCATCACTACAATGCAGACATCCTGTTGCATTTTCACTTGTGACAACATACGATAACGTATCATGCAAGACATAAGCCTTATTCCAGATCACTAGCACCAGTACAAGTGATGGGTAATCAGACCAAGGCCAGTCATATATTCCTGTAATGATAACCAATTCTTCAAGCAGTAAAATACTGACAAGACAAAGCTCATTGTAACTTTTGATCTGGCAATGGCATTAGATGGAACAAAAATAAGTAATTATAGTCCTGTTATGATGATATCAGTTGCTGCTACTTCTCTTCAATATTATATTGATAAAGTAGTATTAAGTAGAAAGAAGTACATTTCAGTAGGATTGAAGTCTTGTGTGTAAAAAAATTGCTGGTACCATTCAGCAAATCCTTATGGCTGATGTACTGCTTACCATTAATTGAGATAGCAATATAATGCAAGTCAAATGGCAATAAAACCCACCATTAAATGTAATGAAAAGCCGCCTTCTGATAGAGCCCTGGTAGTTCTATATAGCTATCTCGCTGAGATTCCTCCCTATTAAAATTCTCATCAACCATGAAAGTTCTGTTTGGCCTACCAAACAGAACTCGGCATGTATCTTCAAAGCATACCTGATCAACCAGGCTGTACTCACCTAGTTGTGCTTGTGGAGGTTGAAATTCAGCTCTTTGGTCCCACCTCTCAACTGTCACTCAACCAGTGTACAGATTCCTGGGCCTATTAGATTCTATCATATCTACATTTGAAACTGTGTATGGAGTCTGACTCCACATCACTTCTTAATGAATTCCATTTGTTAACTACTCTAACATTAAAAGGATCTTTCTAATATCTCTATGGCTCATCTGGATACTCATGCTATTGGAGAGTACAACCCTCGGATATGCATATGCAACTGTCAAGATAACTCCACAACACTCACAGAGCAAGAATGGGTTAAAGGTGGATTAGAATTATTCCCAACATGGGCAATGTCCCTCTTACCAAACATACAAGAATGGGTTAATCCAACAGGCAGGGGACCCTGGAACCTCTTCAGACGATTCCGTCTCATTCACAGTCATTCCGTCTCTTCCTATCCGGCAGCTTTACTTTGTAAAATAACTCCCCCAGTCTTTCCTGGATGACATAAGGTCCCTCATACTTGACAGAGCTTCCCACACTAGGTTTTAAGACTAGCCTGATCCACAGGATCAAAAGTAAATAATATAGGATGGTGATGTTTGTCATACCTGGCCTTCATCTGGTACTAAACTTTACTCAAATGTTGTAGTGCCACTGCTTTAACTTCTTTCAGCCTCTGTCTGCAAAATCCCGGGTAGATGAGACTCGTTAGCCTGGGAAGGCAGCTCATCTAGGGGAAGGAAAACCCTGATTCTAAACCTCTGCTGCCTTGCATCCATACCCCTATTTTGGGAAAGGCTTCAGGAGTCAATCTCGAAGAAAAATCCAGAGTTGGAGCCCCTAAGGCAGTTCGTTGTCAATTTCGACCTCGCTCTGGCAGCTCCTGCGACGGTGCTGGAACAATGTGTATTGGCATTTGCCTTTCCATTGCATAATTTCAGCAATGTGGAGAGGGGGGACCTGCTGCATGGGTAACAGCTTCTGCTCCATATCGACCTACCCAGGCTTTGCGCCCTGGAGAGCAACCAGAGCGCAACTCCATAGTCTGCAGCGACTGAAGGATGCCTACTACTGCAAAATCCACACTCTCAGACAATTTCACATTCCCTTGTAACATTCGTAAAGGACCACAGATTTTATGGCCAAAGACCAGCTCAAAACATCAACAACCCAAAGAACTCTATACACATTCCCGAGCTGCAAATAAAACATAGTGCAAGTTCGCATCCCATGCTCGGTAGGAACTTTCACCAGCAATCTTGAGCATTTACCTGATTAACCCGAGGGCCACTAACACGAGGACAGGAAGGCGGTGGCTTGGTGGAGGTCCCCCCATTTGCCTTGATCCTCCTCTCCAGGTGGATTTGTTTAAGGGTCTGATGCCACCTCTATAGTACCCCTTCACTGCAGGTGATATGGGCTTGAAACCTTATGAGTTCTACCTTTGGTCCTATAGAAGTCCTCAAACAGCTCAATGGGCAAAATGGTGCTTTCACCCTGATGCCCCTGTTATCTAGCAGTAAATAGGTACCTGGGAGTTAGACAGCTGCTACGGGCTGATCCTGGGAATGTGTAACAAAAAGGAGGCCTGGTCGAGGACCGGGCCACGGGGACACTAAGCCTCGAAATCATCTCGAGATAACTTCAAGATAAACACAGCAGATCTTAAGTTACTACCATCGTCTGCACCATCTTGAGTAAACCAAATACAGAGAAAATTTTGATCATTCGAGCAACTACAGTCTTTGCTCTAATATTCCTGACAGCAAAATCTTCAAGAAACTGGTAGTCATACTCATAATAGTTATGATAGATAAATTTTACCCCTTTTAGTCCTTGGTAAGGGACCAATACAATCTAATACATTGTGGGTAAAGGGTTCCTCTGGCACTACAATGTGCCTTAAAGGTTAACAGGTATCTGATTGGATCTTCCTCAGTGTGACAGGTGACACATCGGTTGCAAAATTGTACCAAATTCCTCTTCACCAATGGCCAAAAGAAATGCCTGAAAATTTTCTTAAGGTGTAGGGAAATACCTTGATGTACCCCCCATGGGATCATCATGAGCAACTGACATTACCTTCTCTCTGTACACTTTGGGTACTACCAACTGGTGTACCACCTCCCTATCATTTGACAATGAAGCTCTCCATTTTTTCTCGTCAAAAGTTGTTCCTCGTTGTAGTATCCTGTGTATAAGTTGACACTTTCAGTCGTAATGCCTTGGCACTTTCCCTTGATAGTTCCCTTCACCCTTGGAGCTACATCATGACTTTTTTTTTTTTTTTTTTTAACTTGGGTCATCCCCTTGTAATTCACTGAAGGTGACTTCATGGTCTGGGTCTTATGCGTTAAAGGAAGATCGCACTTTCTTATAGTCAATATTGACTTATTAAATAAGTGCATATGTGACATACTAATTTATTGTGAATATTTTAGTTTACCTTGAAAAGCTTCATAGAAAACACCGACCTTACCTAACCACCTTAGTATGTTAAGATAAGCATCTTATTGCTTCGTAATTACAATTATTATATACCTATAATAGGTTAAGTAATAATTGTAATTACGAAGCAATAAGATGCTTACCTTAACATACTAAGAAGAATAGGTAAGGTCGGTGTTTTCTATGAAGCTTTTCAAGGTAAACTAAAATATTCACAATAAATTAGTATGTCACATATGCACGTATTTAATAAGTCAATATTGACTATACGAAAGTGCGAGAACGGGTACAGTAGTGGTCTCACCCTCCCTACTCTGATTAGGAGCTGCAGATGGGCTTTCCACTCTGACCGCTGGTTCGTCATCGACTTTCCATAAACTCCACAAAATCCATGTTGCCCTTAGAGCATTCATAGTGGCCTCCAGCTCATCAACCTTGGGAACAACAGGGTTGCCTTTAATACACCCATTGACCGAGTCACTGCACACGCAGAGTATATAACATTGTCGTCTACGGCCTTGAATTCTAGTAAATAAAATTAGACTTGCCAGTATTATACGGAGTTATCTCTTCCTAATTTGTCATCTGCTATATCATTCTCTAAAATAAGATCGACCTTGGGAACAGGTAAATAAGGGCTAACTCCCATTGTACAAAGACCTTGGTAACAATCTGTTTCAAAGTTTAAAGTATGGAGTGGCATTGGTTGAGTATGTCTTGTGATGTAATGTTGATTGAAGGGATTACAAGTGTCATATATGCATGCATCCTGCACTGCACCTCCAAATTAAAATTAAAGACTGGGTAGCAGCTGTGTCTCCGAGTATAGTCACCTCTTTCCAAGACTCATCTTTACATAGGAGCTTACCCTTGGATACAAAAGGTGTAAGGAGTTTTAACCACTTGGCCCTTAAGATCCCATTATCCACCACCTTGGAAGACTGTAACACCTTACACACTGGAAGCGTTTGGTCGTTTCTCGGGGTTCAACACCCAGCAGTGTGTAACGTTATGGGTTGCCTTTCTGCATTGGCTACAATATCTCTGGGTCTTGCATTTCTCCCTACATTTTTACCTGGTCACCCTTTGATGCCGCTACATAAGCTGCTTTGCAAGAATGAACCTTAGATGAAGCAGTTGACACAATATGCAAATTATTATTTGACATAAAAAAATATTATTTGGGTGATACTGTGGGAATAATTAAGGTGATATTCATATGGGGTAAAGTTATTTATTTATAAGTAATATAGTTAAATTAATTAATAATAAATTATACATCAGGCGATGAGTCACAATAACGTGGCTAAAGTATGTAACAATTGACTTGAGAATGGTCCAGGACGGACCGAAACGTCGTCGTCCCTTCACCTACTAGTGTGTGGTCTGGTCAACAATTATACACTGTAAATATATAAAGTATTATAAGTAAATTTACTGAACAAATGCGAATATAACTGATGATAGTTAATGACCACAGACAGGATGACATATAATTCTGTGATTTGTTAAGCAATCAACCACAGAAGGTGATTGTAGTGCTTTTAAAATGCTAATCCAACCTACATACATAAATACACGGGCTTACGTCTGTCCTACATATTCAGTGTTGGCGGTACTGAGTGCTGCGGGTGTGGGGGTCTGGCGTCGCCCCCCAACGCCAGGAGGCCCTGGCGCGGAGCGTGAATGTTGGTGTATTGTAGTTATAAGGCACAAAGCATGTCATTTGTACGGTACCAAGTATATCATTTTTTTATCCAATAAATAAGACAAGTAATCAGTTGATGCGTCACGTCATGTCAAACAATGGCGACCCACATCCCAAGTGCACAATCCGTCCTCGACTCAAGTCCATTACATCCAGCGGTCGACTCACATAGACGCATTCATAAATTTTAACCTAACCTATGCCTATATATGCATAATATACTAATATCGTATAATATTAATTTTTATTTGAGAAAATTCCCGTTTTGAATGAACAGCATGTACAAATTTAGGAATGCGTCTATGGGGTCGACCGTTGGATGTAATGGACTTAGAGTCGAGGACGGGTTGCGCGTGTAAACCGGTTTTCATTTATAAACAGTGGATTTGGCGGGTGCATGGATTCACTTTTTGAGTCCTTGTTTGGAGGACGGGCTGCACGCTGAATATATGATGATTGATTGATTGATGATGATTAAGCCACCCAAAAAGGTGTCACGAGCATGAATAGCCCGTAAGTGGTGGCCCTTTTGAGCCATTACCAGTATCAATAGATGATACTGGAGATCTGTGGAGGTGCGGCTGCACCCTGCGTGACGGGAGATGTCTCCCGTGTATATGATAATTGATTGATTGATGAAGATTAAGCCACCCAAAAGGCGGCACGGGCATGAATAGCCCATAAGTGGTGGCCCTTTTGAACCATTACCAGTATCATTAGCTGATACTGGAGATCTGTGGAGGTGCGACTGCACCATGCGTGACGGGAGATGTCTCCCGTGCCGTTATGATAATTCGCTGTCGACTAGTTATATTACCAGTCCCCCACCTCACCTGATCATCTTCCAGCAGGGTGGGGAGAAGTATTAGCTGTACACTTTAGAATTGTAATTAGGAATGTGATAACTTAGAGATAGGTTTCGTAGGATTAACAAACATCTCATTATCTGCACATAAGTTAATGAAAGTATGGAGCAAGTATATTATACTTACAGCAACCTGTCGTATTAGAATATAATGAATTAACGAGTGACTGATCTATAGATCGATTAATTAATGAGTGACTGATCTAATCTACAATTATTATTAAATTATTATAGTTCATATTATTATTAAATAATTATAGTTCCTATTATTATTAAATTATAGTTCCTATTATTATTAAATTATAGTTCCTATTGCAATTAATTTTGTATGGTTCCTATTATTAATAAGTTATTATAGTTCCTGTCTAATGAATATAAGAACTCATCGTTATTTATTTTCCCGAGAGAAGGAAAAGAAATTGGAAAGACCAAATAAAATAAATATATAATAAAAAGTGCGAATATTCGATTGAGAAGTGTGAAGGTTCCGACAGTAGACTGGGTCTACACCTGCGATCATGTACACTGCCCGCACAGGTGTACCCGCGTCCCATCTTCAGCTCTGGCATCGTTCTCCGTCACCGTTGTAAATGATATATTTAACGTATTTTTGCAGATTTTTAATGAAAAATAATACCCAAATTTTGATTATGTTTCCCTTAATAAATTGTTTTTCTAGATAGATAATTATAGGGAACATGTTTTAAAGAATCTGTTATATCCATGGCAATGGTTTTGAACAAGCAGCCATGCCGTACGTCCAGAGCCTGCTGGTACAGCTGCCATTAGTCGGAGGACACCAGGCCAGGCAGACGGACGTACAAGCTCACCGGAGAGCCCTCACGCACCCATCCACATGACCAATGAACGTGAAGATGGTCGCGTTCTCAAGAAAGGTCATAATACATGTATTGCAAGTATTAGCGATAATAAGTGTCATGGGTAGTGTTTAGCGATGAGTAATGACCTCGGGAAAGGCTGAACATTTTATAATCACAATATTGCATATGTATCAGTAGATGACTTTACTGGGCCCTCCAAGCGTTAACTCCCATGACAGATGGTGAAGATGCACAACAAGGACACGAAGACCAAAATAATGACTCCATGAGACCAGGCAGGACTTGCCAGCCGTGGCCTGTATGGCAGCCTAGTCCCAGTGATCAAATGTTTTCCAATAAGCAATGTGTGAACAGCATTTTGATCAATTATAGTGAGAAAATCAACTGGAGCTCTGAGGTGATTCAAACCAGCGATCAAAGAACTTCCAGCCGCTCACCACCGTACCACTACGACTTTTAAAAAGTTATACAACCTGGGATTCCACTGAATCCACAAAGTCTGGAGGGTTCTACTGAAGCCAGTTCAAGTTCTACGTATAACCCCGAAGCACTCGAGTGTAGGTAAAGTGTAGGCCTTCAGACAAGCTATGGATCCAATGAAATCCCAGGTTGTATAACTTTTTGTTAAAGTCTGTGGTGGTACAGTGGTAAGGTGAGCGACTGGGAGTTCTTTGATTGTTGGTTCGAGTCACCTCAGAGCTCTAGGTGATTTTCTCATTGATATATATCACGTTAGTGTGAGTTCTTTGTGTGTCAATTATAATAATATTAGACTACTAGTGATGCAGCACCCCATGATGTGTCTCGAGAGAGTAATTAAGACTGAAATATATTTTGACATATTTTAAAGTATGTGGTGTTCATCAGCCCATGCCGACCTCTTCCCTAGATACTCTATCGTAACTACCTTCCATTCCTCTCCTGCAGATGAAGGGAAAGATGGCTGAAATTAACGCTAAGATGAAGAACAAAGGCTACAATCCCTTCGGTTATGACGACTCCAAGAACGAGCGACGAAAGGTAGGGACTTCGACTACCCCGGGTATTGATCACGGTAAAGGTGGAGGCGTGATGGCCCTGCTGAAGGGGTTATGCTGCTCCTGCTTCAGCTCCGATCACCACCACCCGCTCCTCGCCGCCTCCAAATCTCCCGTTGTCACCCACAGGAAGATATCACGGTGAGCTGTTATCTGTTACCTTGTACATCACGGCGAGCACCAGCTCTCTAACCTTTATATCTTTATAAGGACACATATCTCTCTCTCTCTCTCTCTCTTTCTCTCTTTTCCGTCCCCTTCTTCGCCCATTCCCCCTTCGTCTCTCCTCTCCTCCCTTTGAAGGTTAGAGGTGATCCTGCAGTAGGTAGTTGTAAATGGTTCCTCATCCAGCAGGAGACCTTCCTCCAACAAGAGGGGGGGGGGGAGCCTCGTTTAACAATCCCCAACAGAGAATTTAACAAATCTTGATTATAATTAGATGTTTAGTTTTTTTTTTACAAAGTGGTTAAATTTTACATTTCACAACGTGAAAACATTTACCTCAATTGTGAAGCCTTGTCCTTACTTCTGTTCCTTCCTCTTTCCTCAGGGTGGCGTCAACAGAGTCTCTGGCCAAGGAGGGCCTGGAGCTGTCTGAATGTCCAAACACCAACCTTACCCCGCACGACAAACTGATGTACGCCCGCGTCTTAAGTCGTCTTAACGCCAACTCTCCCGCCACTCCCACCACCCACAATGGTGAGTCAAGTCTCTGGAAAGTGTTTGAGGTGAGGTATGCAACAAGTTTTTTTTCCGGGGGTAAGATATGTGAGCTTCAGTGAAAAGCTGAACCTCACGGCACCGAAGAAAAGGGGGAACAGAGGGATATGATAATTGTTATGGGATTTACTCCTTAACTTATTAATTCCCTGAATCAGTTAAGTCAACGCTGTCCCCGTGGCGTAGTGGTAAGACGCTCGCCTGGCGTTTCACGAACGCTTTGTCATGGGTTCGTATCTTTGCCGGGGAGGATTTACTGGGCGCAAATCCCTAACAAAGTCTCTGTTTAACCCAACAGTAAAATAGGTACCTGGTTGTTAACGATTTAGCGAGCTCGCTGAAGAGTTCCACATTTAGATTTATAGCGAAACAATTAAATTAATACAGCGAAAACACTGATTCGTGTCGGTACACGCTGTCCAATCCACAAACAGTAGTGCACATAGCCTAGTTTAATGATAATAAATTTGAGAGGAAGCGCTGAAGTTGTAGAAAAAAGAACCAGGGCTTATTTCTAGGTGTTGACAGTCTGTCTTCTATTGGTGTCGTCATTCTTGAGTCTAATCTTTCTTTTTTCTTCTACTACTTCTTTCTGTTTTGATAGTACTTATAGTAACAATGAGGATCATAGTAATGTACAACGAAATTAGAAAGTAGAAATCGGCACTATTGAGTAGGACAATCCGGAAAACTATTTTTTACATGTGTTGCTTTGACAAACTAACCTAACCTAACCTTCCTAGGCATAATACACGGTAGCATGGCGTCTCCCTCCCTGTAGCCCTCAGGAGCGTGAGGCGGGAAATATAATTTATGTAATTTAATCAGTGATTATTAACTAATGTGTTTGTTAGTTTTAACAAGTGCCGTAGCATTAACTAAAGCAACTTGGTAAATTATAACTAATAATAAGAGATTTGAGTCACACCGTTAATATATCGCAGGCTTGGACTCGTTAGGGGTCAAATGTTATGTATATTGTTACGTCATCAATGGGTGTGAGACCGACCACAAGTATAGTATCCAAGCTGCGCAACTTACTAGTGTTTAGTGAGCTAGTGTCATAACTGATATGTTTATCCTGCACAGCACCCCCATCCAGGGGGCAGCGGTGCATAGATTACAATCACCCACATATACCACCCGACGTTATTTGGCTAAAATTTCTGGTAGTAGATCATTTTGAATTAAATATTTACACACTTCACGAACATTTGTTAAAGAGGTGTCTCTAAACTCACGTATCTTTCCACACTCCATCACATAATGTTGGAGGATGTGCGAAGAGTTTTGTTGACACAGTTTCCAGCTAGTCAGGTCTATATCAGCAGGCAATGCAAATTTCCAAAGATAGATATAACCGAGTTTAAGCCTAGCATTAGTAACATCTAGGAGTCTGTTGATTTTACTGGATGATCCATAGGTGTGTGGCCCTTCTTGCATGACTTCTTATATGACGATAAGATGGAATTACTATTGTCGGTTTCACTTTACCTCAGATCTACAAGGTTTTGTTGAAGTTCTTGGTGCATTATTGTTCTCAGACTGCTTATAGGCAATCCAAGGTTATAATCAACTCCTTTGAAGGCAGATTCTTTGCCTAACTCATCAGCTCTATGAGAGCGGAAAGACAAGTTGATTTATGTCAATGGTGGTCAGATTTATCAAGGATTTTATCAAGATATACAAAACATCAAGCAGGCTTGATGGGGTTCTGGGAGTTCTTCTACTCCCCAAGCCCGGCCCGGAAGGCAAACATCGGATGTACACACAAAACCGGCAAATATTAGAAACGTTTAGGAGTCTCAACAAACAAAAACTTGGAGAATTGCATATGTCCTACGTGAGATCAATACTGGGTTTCGTGGTCCTAGTGTAGAACCCACCCAAAACACCACAATAAAAATCGACAAAGTTCAGAGATTTTCTGCTAGCTTTATGTCAGACTTGGAAGAGAAGGGAGAGCACTGGAGAAGAGAGGATACATAATATCACCACACAAGATACTCAGAATTTAATGAGTCAGGGCAAAACAAGGCACTCAGGTGAAAACTTCAGTAGAGATTCAGATAAGTCAGAGGGACGTAAGATTTTCTTCAGGTTAAGAGTTTGCAAATGGAATGAATTAGAGTAATATAGATTGTAAAGGTTAACTCCTTTATTAGTTATTAACGTAGGGATGATAAAGAACAATAGCGATTTGGTTCATACGCCAGATAGTCGATGGTCAGTGATGGGGCACAAGACCTTTAGCTTCATCCCGCAAGCACAAGTAGGTAGCATCAGTAAGATGCAATATAATTCTTGTGACAAAATAAAAGAAAAAACTGAAAAAATTGAGCCTACTTTTATGTCAATCATTTTCAGCAGCTGCCCTATATACAGGGCAGTGAGGTAAGTACATGTAGGTAGGTACAAACAGACATTCTCACTAGCACTCAAGGGAGCGAACACCGACAACAAGCAGAGAGAAAACGACATAATTGTGTGCATCTGTACACCCTGGAGCCCGGCCCCGCGTGCACAGGTGTGTGTGTGTGTGTCGCCTGCCAGGAGCCCGACAACGACATAACACGCTGACCTGAATACATGATATGGGAGACTCCCCCTCACAGCGCTCCTGTGTCACTCTATGCTGGTAGACGGAAGATCGTCTTGCTCGTATGCTTGCATTCTGCTTTATACATCAAACAAACCAAGCCACGCATCAATCGCCAACTAGCACCAAATTCTACACTGTGGAATTTCAGAGCCCGACGGAACACACAGCATACTGCCCCAGCCATCATGCAAACGGGAGAGATACAATGTTGTTTTAGATTCAGCTGCTGGGAACAAAAAGTTCCAGGCAGCACGGGCTATGGTGAGCCCGTAGTGGACTTACCTGGCACAGAAGCGGGGCTCTGATGCAAGAGTGACAATATTGTTGTTGTTTTAGATTTAGCTGCTCAGAACGAAATGTCCTTGTGTGCAAGGACATTTGACATATATGGACAAATGTCCATATATATATATATATATATATATATATATATATATATATATATATATATATATATATATATATATATATATATATATATAAATATTATATATATATATATATATGCAAACAAGCCTGAATGGTCCCCAGGACTATATACAACTGAAAACTCACCCCAGAAGTGACTCGAACCCATACTGCCAGGAGCAACGCAACTGGTATGTACAGGGACGCCTTAATCCGCTTGACCATCACGACCGGACATAAGGAAGTGATAGCCGAAGCTATTTGAACCACTTCCCCGCCGGCACTCGGATGGTAATCTTGGGCATAGCATTTTATCAAATCACCTCATTCTTTGGGGCAACACGTGAGGAACACAAATGCAAACAAGCCTGAATGGTCCCCAGGACTATATACAACTGAAAACTCACACCCCAGAAGTGACTCGAACCCATACTGCCAGGAGCAACGCAACTGGTATGTACAGGGGCGCCTTAATCCGCTTGACCATCACGACCGGACATAAGGAAGTGATAGCCGAAGCTATTTGAACCACTTCCCCGCCGGCACTCGGATGGTAATCTTGGGCATAGCATTTTATCAAATCACCTCATTCTTTGGGGCAACACGTGAGGAACACAAATGCAAACAAGCCTGAATGGTCCCCAGGACTATATACAACTGAAAACTCACACCCCAGAAGTGACTCGAACCCATACTGCCAGGAGCAACGCAACTGGTATGTACAGGGACGCCTTAATCCGCTTGACCATCACGACCGGACATAAGGAAGTGATAGCCGAAGCTATTTGAACCACTTCCGATTGCCGGCGGAGAAGTGGTTCAAATAGCTTGGGCTATCACTTCCTTATGTCCGGTCGTGATGGTCAAGCGGATTAAGGCGTCCCTGTACATACCAGTTGCGTTGCTCCTGGCAGTATGGGTTCGAGTCACTTTTGGGGTGTGAGTTTTCAGTTGTATATAGTCCTGGGGACCATTCAGGCTTGTTTGCATTTGTGTTCCTCACGTGTTGCCCCAAAGAATGAGGTGATTTGATAAAATGCTATGCCCAAGATTACCATCCGAGTGCCGGCGGGGAAGTGGTTTAAATAGCTTCGGCTATCACTTCCTTATGTCCGGTCGTGATGGTCAAGCGGATTAAGGCGTCCCTGTACATACCAGTTACGTTGCTCCTGGCAGTATGGGTTCGAGTCACTTTTGGGGTGTGAGTTTTCAGTTGTATATAGTCCTGGGGACCATTCAGGCTTGTTTGCATTTGTGTTCCTCACGTGTTGCCCCAAAGAATGAGGTGATTTGATAAAATGCTATGCCCAAGATTTCCATCCGAGTGCCGGCGGGGAAGTGGTTCAAATAGCTTCGGCTATCACTTCCTTATGTCCGGTCGTGATGGTCAAGCGGATTAAGGCGTCCCTGTACATACCAGTTGCGTTGCTCCTGGCAGTATGGGTTCGAGTCACTTCTGGGGTGTGAGTTTTCAGTTGTATATAGTCCTGGGGACCATTCAGGCTTGTTTGCATTTGTGTTCCTCACGTGTTGCCCCAAAGAATGAGGTGATTTGATAAAATGCTATGCCCAAGATTACCATCCGAGTGCCGGCGGGGAAGTGGTTCAAATAGCTTCGGCTATCACTTCCTTATGTCCGGTCGTGATGGTCAAGCGGATTAAGGCGTCCCTGTACATACCAGTTGCGTTGCTCCTGGCAGTATGGGTTCGAGTCACTTCTGGGGTGTGAGTTTTCAGTTGTATATAGTCCTGGGGACCATTCAGGCTTGTTTGCATTTGTGTTCCTCACGTGTTGCCCCAAAGAATGAGGTGATTTGATAAAATGCTATGCCCAAGATTACCATCCGAGTGCCGGCGGGGAAGTGGTTCAAATAGCTTCGGCTATCACTTCCTTATGTCCGGTCGTGATGGTCAAGCGGATTAAGGCGTCCCTGTACATACCAGTTGCGTTGCTCCTGGCAGTATGGGTTCGAGTCACTTCTGGGGTGTGAGTTTTCAGTTATATATATATATATATATATATATATATATATATATATATATATATATATATATATATATATATATATATATATATATATATATATATATATATATGCAGAATACCCACATGTGAAAAACAGAAAATGCTTAAAGCGTTTTCGGCTAATTCGCCTTCATCAAAGCAAAGTAGAATCAAACTTGGTTTGTTTGATTCTACTTTGCTCTGATGAAGGCGAATTAGCAGAAAACGCGTTAAGCATTTTCTGTTTTTCACATGTGGTTATTCTGCATACTTGGATCAGTGTTTTTGTGATCATTGTTGCATATATATATATATATATATATATATATATATATATATATATATATATATATATATAAAAAGGAAGGGTAGGAAAAAAATGAGGGACCCATAGCCTCGAAGAAGAAAACAAAGAGTACTCAGAGAAGACCGTGTGGATTCTCACTCAACACTTTAATCTTTTCTTCTCCTACCACTCCTATTTTTTTATTAAATTGTTTTATTTTGTATTGCATTGCTACATTTTACAGAGAACACACACACACACATATAACAATATAAAAATTGTTATAATATAATTGTTATAATATTAAAATCTGTTTTCGAAGACCTCGTCCAGCTCTTCGGAGGTCGGGTAATATATATAAATTTGTGAGTAGTATCACCTCTGGTGCAATGGTAGGGACCCAAAGCCTCGGAGAAGAAAATAGAGAGTATTCAGAAAAGACTTTGTCTATCCCCACTAAACGCTATTGTGATTTCTGTGTGTATCGAAGTGAGGACGAAGAGGTAGAACAGCTTGCTGACAGAGCCCGAGTGCACGGGGTAATTGTGTAAAACTCTGGTTTGTGTCTCGGAGAGGCTGCAGGATCCGTGTGAGGGCAGAAGAACTCCCAGTTGCAATTCTTTCAACCATGTCGTGGCATAGTCGACTAAAGCGCATCTGGGATCATCCTGGGCGTAAGTTCGAACCCTCATCACGACCCTTGTAGATTTGTTCATTTGATGCATCACGCTATTGTGATTCCTGTGTGCATATGAATATTTTATTTATAATGTGATCCAACCTGTGGGTGTGTAACAGGGGTGACGACGCTGGCCAAGACAACGACACAAACAGTGACCGCCCACCACACCGGCCTCCCGACCCACACGCTCGCACTCTCCAAAAGTGCTTCCAGCAGCTCCAACCAACTGTTCCCGTCGACGACTCTGCCGCCCAGTACCTCCTCCCAGTCCATATTGTCTGCAAGTCCAAACAGCCACCGTCGCTTTCCTGTTACACCTTCAGACAGCCCACGCCCAGAGCGCCCATCACACACCCAACGTCCCACTCAACTCTCTCTCTCCATCCCAGCCGCCCGTAGCAGGGGCAGCATTACGCCCACGCCCTCGGCTGGGTCACCAGCCAGCACTCCAACGACTCCAAGGAGCCGGTCAGGTAGCTGGGGTGTAGTACGGGCGGGCTTCACCAGCTTGATGAAGGCAATGACTTCTCACCACCGCACTGACTCATCCACAACCGTCGCACATCCGGGTAATGCTCATTACTCTTGTCCTTTACTTTCGCTTCTCTCTTGTTTAACTTGTATAATACATGTCTGGTACTGATTTACCACTATACTTTATTGCAGACTGTCAGTGCCAGTGTGTCTTTGTGCGACTTAAATGGGTTGGCATTTCAACTCTCCCACCCACGAAGAGCCTTGGTGTATTTTTTCTTTTTGTCAATTTGTGGCACAATGATTGTTTAACTTTACGGCTTGTTCATCGTAACCTCTCAGAGAGCTCACTATTGTATAATTGAGGTGCTACCGTGTCTGAAAATGATTAAATATTGATGAACCGCCAGGTATGTGTATATTTCTTAAGGAATGATTATGGAATGGCAAGAGCACTGTACATGTGAAGGTACATACCTACACCGCAGGTGTGTGTCCTGTGTGGTCACACCTGCGGTGTTGGTGCGCATCAAATGAGTATCCACGTAAAGTGGCTTAATTTAACCTTTCTTGATATTTATTACCTATATCTTTAACATTTACCGGTCACCCCCAGGTTCCTCCAGCATTCCTCTATTACACCCATGTTCCCCAACTCTCACCCACCACCCCATGTTCCCCCCAACACCTACCTACTACAGCTATGTTCCCCCAACTCCCACTTATTACACCCATGTTCCCCCATCACCCACCTACTACGTTAGATTAGCATTTGAAAAGCACTACAGTCATCTTTTGTGGTTGATTGTTCAATAAATCACAGAACTATATGTTTAACAGAATCCGGGTCCATGGAAGACAGATAGACATTATCTTTTATAGATAAAGATGAGAACTTAGTTCATGTTTACATTATCTCACTACACACATAATTCCTTCCGAAATGCATCTTATTCGCCTAGGAAAGGAAAGACACGCTAGATAAAACGTCATCTTCGTGACAGTGCATGTTCCCCCAGACGAGGATGAGGACGTGTGTGGAGGGGACAAGGAGGTGCCTCAAGCAGCGTGCATCACACCAGTGGTGGGAGGCGTCAGCAATCCGGCCCGGGAGTGTTACGGTTCCCTCACTCTCAAGATTCACAGTCATCAGGGGCGCTGGTCAGTCGCTTTCTATCCCTTTCCTCACCCTTGATGGGCTAGGGACGTGTATCGGGGTTGTGTATGGGTTGGGGGTGTGTATGGGGTGGGGGTCTGGAGTGTGTATGGGTCGGGGGGTGTATGGGGTGGGGGTGTCCACACTGTGAAGGGGTCATAACGCCGGACTTTAAAACTTGTTCAATGTCAACCAAACTTTTTTGACTAGTTGTGTACGAAAAGGGCTGCAACTGTTCCAAGTTTTAGTATCGCAGCCTAAATAGAATGGGAGAAAAACCAATTTCAACGTATTTTACACATTTTCAATAATTCAGTACAACCACAAGTATCAAATGAAATCATTTATATGACACTCATCACTTAGGAATAAAGTATCTTAGAGCGATTGTAGAGACATAAACTCTACATATAAAGTGCAAGTTTCATGTAAATTGAATAAAAAATGAAAGAGTACTTTTATGTTACTTGACAATAAACGAAGTCAAAGATTCTGCCACCTGTGGCTGAGGTTGACATCAACCAATTTCCTCCAAATTTGGCACCCTCAAAGATAAGCTTACGTTCTGTAAGGTGTACAAGTTTCATACAAATCGCCCGATAAAAAAATATGAGAAAAAAATTGGAAAGAACAAAAAAAATCTAACATTTTTTTAACTAAATTTTTGGGGGATAAAATTAATTATTAAAATACTTTATTATATGCTATTGTGATAGCTTAGTCATGTACATGATTTCAGTTGACACTTGTGTTTGATGTTAATTTTTTAACATTTTGGAAATTTTTTAACACGTAATTAAATATTTTTTTCTTTCTTCCTATTTATGCTACGATGCTCAGACTTGGACCAGTTGAAGCCAAATTCATATACAACTAGTCAAAAAAGTTTGATTGAAATCGAACCAGTTTTCATTTATTGCATATTTTGCGTTTATATTCCCCCCCCCCCTTAAGGCTCTAGTCACGACTCCGGGCCCGGGCTTGCTTTTCACACTAATATTTGTACACTTATGATGTATATACTATTATGATATATAAAAGAACCTGTTGTCACCCCAGTTTTGATATCCGTCACCTCCGGTGCCACAGGTAGCGGTAAACACAAGCTGTACCTCCACCTGTCACTCCTGTAATTTATCTTAACATCTTCCTCTTGTTCACTCATGACCCTACCTAACGCCGCCCACACTTAAGGGTGCGAGTACGCGTGTGCCAGCTGGCCGGACTACCGTGGGTGGGCGGGTCCGGGGAGCTGAAGCTGGAGGTGAGTGTGGAGCCCGGGAGCCGCACCCACTGGCTCGATGTTCCCCATTCCCACGGTCCCAACGTCATCATTAAGGTAAGTTGTTGCTCACTCATCATCAGTGAGGATGTCATACCGCCGCCTCCCCAACCCACTATACTGGGTCGGGGGACTAGACGTACTCGTCACCCCGAAATCCTTCCTTAGCGCAGTATTTAGTGAGACGCATTACATAATAATGATAATACTTTATTGATAATATATACAATGCCCTTCCAGGTCTTTATTTTAAGCACCACTTTGTCCTAGTTATTGACTCCATTTTGTGACCAACCCTTTTTGTCATTTACATCAATGACATAAATGAAAACATTACAAAGTACATCATCAAATTTTCAAACGACACAAAGATATATGGTAAAGTGGGAACTATTAATGGTATTGGAGCCCTACAAAGACCTCTACATGCACTCCACAAATGGTCAGAAGACTGGCAAATGCTTTTTAATACTGACAAATGCAAGACAATGTTATGTCCCACAAGGCATGTGGGGCATAACAAACCACGCCACCACTACCAAATTAATAACATTCCATTACAGCAGATTGATGAAGAAAGAGACCTTAGGGTCAGGGTCCTCCACTCATTGAGAGTTGTACAGCAGGTAGGAACAGCAATCAGAAAAGCCAACTTAACCCTTAGAACAATGAAGAGTACCTTTGACATTAAAGAAAGGAAGGTAGTGGTTCAACTGGTAAGAAGTTCTTGGAGTACAAGAACTTCTGGAGAACAAGAACTGGAGTATAGTACATTATAACCCAGAAATAAAACTTTATTATCATATTATTTAACAATAATTCATAATTCAGTATAATCACTTAAGTATTAACGTGTCAATATATAACGAATTGGTGTGATCCGGGTTCGATTCCCGGGCGGGACAGGCGGGACTCCATTAGTTGGCGGGATGCCAACTAATGGAGACAGTCAGCACAAAGGAGGACTGAAAAGTGCTCCAAGATGGTCTGGATGCAGGCCGTCCTTCTTTGCGTTCCCAACGTCACTAAACGATTGTACTAAAGTGCCCGAACCTAACCGACTCGATGACCCGCGAACAGAAAACGGACATCTTCTTGAGGTTATCTTGAGATGGTTTCGGGGCTTAGCGTCCCCGCGGCCCGGTCCTCGACCATCACGTCAATTTCGCGAGCCGCTACCATTTTTGTACATAAATTATTGGCCTTTGGTAAAGCATACGCCAAAATGCTATGTGCTATTAGGAGAACGGGTCTGACAAATGCATTGGCTGTTTGGTTTTTAGCTCCGGAATGCAAAGCAATGATAATGGAGGCATGAGGATGGAGACTACAGGAACAATGGAAAGGCGGAATCTTCCAGTGTCAGAAAAGAAGGATCTGCGATTACATATCGCAGATCGTCCTTTTACTTGATCCAAGCCCACCACCGAAGGTACAAACATATTTACATCATCATCTTTCACCATTTGGGTTATCGCTCACGTCATTACGTTATTGTCCACACCTCTTGCGTCTCTGTCGATGCTATAGCTTGCGTCACTGTCGATGTCGCAAGCTATATCTCATTATACGCCACCACTAACTTTCTCGTCCACGTTCACCACCGTCAACTCATGCTTCATCGACCATGTTCGTCGCCAGTATCATCCATGTTACCACTTGCGTCAACACCTGCGTCTGAGTCATTTCTCGACACATACTGCGAATAACCACCAGATTCCTTTGATGCCGTGAACACGGTGCGGCATGATTGACTGCCGTGACGATGAGTGCACAGGTGCGCGTCCTCACCTGCGTCAACACTGCATGCCGCCGCCCACTGCGCTTGCTCACTAGTCTCTTTAACTGCCCCGTGTTCCCAACCTGTCTCGAATTGTATAATTAATTACCGCATAACGATTTAAGTTTCTATAATAGTGAACTTATTAACGCTTATAAGGGGATGAATAATTTGCAGACACCGTGTATGAATGATCACAAACTGTAATTCATAATTTATGTAATTTATAATGGATCTTAACTCAAACCAGATTTATTTATGTTCTTGCTAGGGAAATTACTGAAGGAATAGACGGGTGGTGAAGTTCCCCCGCCTCCTCCCATGTTGACACAGCGCCTCCCTCCCTCCCTCCCAGTGTCAACACACCTTAGATAACCCTGCTAATGTTACTTCAACAAATCTGAGCCACATTACACGCCAATAACTATTCATGAATTTGTTAAAACTTGCATAAAGTATATGTGGACAGGCTATCTCCCTGACAACGGGAATCATTATACCTTCATTGTAGACCCTCTTTCTTAATTAACTATACAATTATTATAGAATAAATATCCACTACATAAAAAGTATTAAAACTAAATCTTTTCTAGCAATACATTTTTGCATTCCTTTCGTAAATCAGAGAAGAGCAACGATGTTTTAGAATGCATTATTTTATCGTTTAACGTATATATATGTGGTATTTCTTGGGAGTGTGTAGTGGAGGGCGTTAGTAACCTGACTTTCCTGCAGCAAGATGCGCTGGTGAAGACACCCAGGGAGAGCAAGACCAAGAAGAAAAGTGTAGTGAAGGTGTCAGTGTGGGTCCGTGGCCGCCTGTGGCGATATGCAGCCATCGGCCACGCCCTCACGCCCCTCACTCAGCCCGCGGAGGCGGTCACCCTTCCACTCCATCACCACACACGGGTACGTGTCCCACCGTGTCCGGGTACGTGTCCCACCATGCCCGGGTATGTGTCCCACCATGCCCAGGTATGTGTGTCCCACCATGCCCGGGTACGTGTCCCATCATGCCCGGGTACGTGTCCCATCATGCCCGGGTACGTGTCCCACCATGCCCGGGTACGTGTCCCACCATGCCCGGGTACGTGTCCCACCATGCCCGGGTACGGGTGTGGTGGGACATTAAGATTAAGCCACCCATGAGGTGGCACGGGCATGAATAGCCCGTAAGCTGCTCAGCCGATTGATTGATTGATGAAGATTAAGCCACCCAAAAGGTGGCACGGGCATGAATAGCCCGTAAGTGGTGGCCCTTTTGAGCCATTACCAGTATCAAGAGCTGATACTGGAGATCTGTGGAGGCGCGATTGCACCCTGCGTGACGGGAGATGTCTCCCGGACCAAGTGGTGACCAGATGGTGGTTGCTCAGCCCTCCTGCCGGAGCTTATATACAGGGTGATGACGTCAGACAGGTGAGGTGGCAGGGTCTCGAACAGGGCACCGACAGAGTAATGATTGTTAACGAGTGATGATTGGGAGCCGGCGAGCCGCAGGTGGGCGGCTCTTGTGGAAGGTAGGGAGGGGGGGGGGGAAGGGGAGGAGAGACTGGACAATTTTAGAACGTATTCCTGGCGACTCTTGATGTTGAAGAGAGCATGCTGATATTGTAGACAAAAGGAAGGGGCAGGATCCACTGCTATGCAGGGGATAACCGTAACAATAGTCACTATATTTTTGTTTAAATATAATTTCTCTATAGATGACTGATGACTTGGGTGTAGTGGAGGTTAGTCTGCGGTGTGATTACGCGGACAACGAGGCTGTTGGACCTGAGCAGGGTGAGGTCGTTCTCACCCTCGAAGTCCTCAGATCAAGGATCCTGCGGCTGCACCACCCCAGTGTGCTCTCGAAAGCTGCCCCCTCCAGGAAGAAAGGTAAAGCTCTGCTCCTTCGTCACCTCTCATTCTTCCACTTTTGTTTATCAAGGAATTGTAAACACAGTCACTGTATCATGATCAACTGTAAATATATCGCTCTTGAAATAGAACATTCTCTGTAACTAGCTGACATTATAATTATAAGGTGTGACGGATAGATGAAATTGTTAATGTATTAATCTCCGTTGAGTTCTGATGAAGACCTTTTGTGCCCTCTGTAATCCTTTTTTGCGCTACCGCTCACAGAAGTATGGGGTGCACAATAAGCTAGCCGCCTCCCGGCGGTAACAATCAAAAAGTCACGAAGCAACAATTTTTGTGTATCATGAAATGTTTTCTGTGACGCCACGACAGATCACGTGGAGGTTGTGTGTCGTGTGGGACTATGGGTGAAGGGAGAGAGGATAGAGAAAGAATCGTCGACGCCCGTCCAGCTGCCGGTGACACAAGACCCGGTGTTTCGGTGCCGCTCAGTCTTTGTCTTACACCGGGACAGCCTGCAGCACGCCGCCATCATCCTCAAGGTAATCTTATCATTCCGTGAAATGGAACCCAAATACCTTTTCAAATATTTACCTAAAACCTTCTTTTTTACTCTATTGCTAGATTAATACTGTTCGTTTATTAGCACAGCACTGTATTACCTCAACCTTGTTTACGACCTCACCCCTCTCAGTACACACATACTTCTGTCAGCTTAAACCTTTGAGAAAGCTTACCAACAGCTCCTACAACTGAATTCACCATAGCTGCAGCTCCTGTTTTAGATTCACTACAACCATGAAAAGCGTTGTTCTCTTAATTGTCAACCTTCTTTCTTCATTAGGATTACCATCCTTACCATAAGTTTGTCCCGCAGGTGCTGTACACGTCCAAGTGGGGTGTTGAAGACACTGTGGGCAGGGTGCAGCTGGGTCCGCTGCTGTACCTGGGCACCTCTCCCTGCGACACCAGCCAGACACCAGACTACAACACCTCCATCACCCTCTCTCACTGGGGCCAGGCGCTCAAGAGGCCCGGTCCCACTACCATATGGCACCACCTTCAGCTCTGATGCTGCTCGCTTCTCTACCCCTCGCTGCAAGCTCACACAGATTCTGTGGTACCTTCTTGTTGTCTTCGTGCTAATTTTAGAAATAATATGTAGATACTTATAATACCTATATAGCTCTATACAAATATTAATACATTTATATGAACAAATATTGATGCTTAGCTTTACTCAAGAGTATAATAGTTATTTATTTGTTTTAAACTAATAAGCATTAACAATGCATATTAAAGCTACTCTGAAGTTTATGCAGAGTATCGAGGATGTCGTGGACAATTGTCTTCAAGATGTGTAGTGTGGTAGATAACGATGTTGGGCTGAGGATGTCAGCTGTTGGAGCACAGACTCGCGTTGTTTCAGACGTAACCTCTGGTTGAGATGGTCTGGGTGTGGCTACACCTATATAATATTTTATAATATATTATATATAATATATAATATAATATAATATTATATTTTATAATATCTTATAAAAGAAACTTGCCATAAAATGTTTATTATTTTCCTAAAATTTAAATTTAATTTTTATTATAAAAATAATATTAATAGCTTTACATAATTGTTCTTATTAAATGTTTCCGAAATGCTATGTGCAAAATATATAAAACTTCCCCGTTTTTCATCCCTATGTATCGTACCTCCATAAGATGACAATTATATAACGAGTGTCGCCTTGTGATGAGGGTAATCAGGTACGACGCCTTCACACTGATGTGGGCTGCTTCGGCCCTTCACTCTCCTGCCTCTATCGTAGGAATCTCAAGCTCAGTTTCTATCACTGGCCAAAGTCCCACGATTCTACTTATTACTTGATAATATTCTCTGTTTAGGACAAAGTTCATTTCCCTGTTTACCAGTAGACCATTATTGGAACCGTAATATGCTTTCAGGCCTCACAAATATTTAGATAACTATCCAGGTGGTCTGAGAGGGAGGTTGATGTCTCGATCTAATGACTTTACACTGAGAACGGGTTCCGATTCTCAGCCCGTCCTCCAAACAAAGACCCCAAAGTCCATTCCATGCACCCGAAAACCCCCCTGTTTATGAATGAAAAACGGTTTACACACGACTCAGCCGATTTCGTTCGAACACTTCCGGAACAAGTGCTTCACTGACGACTTTTGTTCGAACCACAACGCTATAAATGCTTCACTCACGTACTTGTCCCATCTCCCGTAAAGGTATTCCTTATTCCGACTTTTACCCAGTTATTCATGCCTCCTTCCTTGCCCGCTGGCAGAGTTGTTGGTCTTCTGTTACTGGTAACAAACTGCGTACTCTTAAGAGTAGTGTGTCCCAGTGGCCTTCCTCCTTCCACCGTAACCGGCGGCGGGAAACTGCTCAGGCTAGGTTATGTATTGGCCATACCCGTTTAGCTCACGGTCACTTAATGGAGCGCCGCCCTGCTCCTTATTGTCCAAATTGCATTGTTCCTCTTACGGTCGTGCATATCTTTGTTGAATGTCCTGACTTCCAGGACGAGCGTGTGTCTTGTTTTCCGACCGTCCCCCGCGGTCGCTTGTCCCTCGATAGAATTCTTGGCGACTCAGATACTTTTGATATCGTTCGCCTTATGCGTTTTTGTTCTCGTATTGGCATCCTTGGTGATATTTAGCGCCCTCTGATTATCCCGCACATTTGATGGTGCTACATAGCCTTCCCGGTTTGGTGCCTTCTATTGATAATTACTTACTTCACCCACATACTACAAATACAAATAATCGCCAACAGAACCTAAACACCAACCTAACCTAACCTATAACCTATATATGCACAATATGCTAATATATTATAATAATTTATATTTGAGAAAATTCCCGTTTTAAATGAACAGCATGAAAAAATTTAGGAATGCGTCTATGGGGTCGACCGCCCCATAGACGTAGATTTTTTTTTAATTAAGAATTTCCTCAGAAGTCTAAAAAAACAATGGTCATTTAACTTCATTTAACTAAGAGTTAATGTGTTTAAATAATTGTAATATTTTGTTACTCGTTATCCACTTGCATTAAAGAATGTACGTATGGAGATCTATCAGTGATATAACATTAGTCTTGCTATAACGCGTAAGCTGAGGAGTGACTTGCTGGAGTGAGCAAAATGCAGGCAAAAATACACGTTTAACACTGCAGGGCTGTAACAGGTTGCTGCCGCTCTCCACTAATCCTCCAGAATGGGAATCAATCCTAACTACTCGCCGGTGCGGGACAATGACAAAAAGCCAACGCAGCGAAGAGCTTCAAGTTCAAGTTTGCTTCGACTAGCTTAATTTGCGCAATTAATGAATTATTTCCTTCTGTTAGCGCTTGTCGTGAGCGTGTCATCACCTAAGCATCGAGTGATGAGAATATCAAGCCGAACATTACTAAGTGAGGAAAGTTTCTATTGAATTTTCCCCTGGTTCCCTCGTTGGATTTGACGCGTGCGCGGCAGCCTTTCCTTGCAACCAGAGTTCCCATTTATTAAACAATAACGTTGCTGCATCAGTTCTTGCTTACATATAATCTATCGCATGCTTAAAACCTTCCGGTGCATTTGGCATTCCCAAAGAATAGACGATCTTTGAAATTTCCATAATGAAGAAATAGAGGTTAGTAAGAGTACTTGATGTGAGCGGGGGTGGGCTTCGTGCGTCTGGCAGGGAGACGGAGGAGGACCAGAGGTGGTGTGGCGCCAGGCAGCGCTCACTGTGTCTCTGGGTTGTGGCTCTCGCCCTATCACTACTCCTCACTCATCTTTCCGACAGTGACTTTGGTATTTCCCTTCTGCTCTGCATGCCTGACTATTTCTAGTATAGATAGTATCACTCTTGGAAAGAATGCTGGCTGATGCAAATAGACCTGGATTAGTCTTGTTTTTCTTTTTTGTAAAGCGTAGATATTGTAGGCTTAAGCCTATTATCGCATGGAAAATATAGCCACTTGCAAAGCAATAATATTTAAGTCCGTATGGAATACTTATGGTGAATACTGCTACATGAGATATATCCCTCACCACCGACGCAACTCTTCTGTACATGAGAAGTTTTGAACGCATGGTAACGTAGGATTTAAAGCACGCTCTTTATGCCTTTAAATAAATCCACGCTGGCAGCAGCCGGAGCACGGACTGTTGAATGCTCAAGCATGAAATGACAGGCAGTTTAGTATGTAGCTAAAATAACTATAGATAAATGAGAGTGCAAATAATATCCAAAGAAATACGGCATCTTTTACATATTTAGACAATTATTAATTCGAGTACTGTGCATAGAGCTACGCTGTGTTTGTTCAGAGAGTAAGTGAAGTACTCAATTACGATTAAATAGTTTTACACTTCTGATAAAACGATGTGTAATATTTTATAACATTTTGAAAAATGAGTATTTGATATAATTAGTTAATCAGTTAAAGTAAATAGCGGCAGTAGTGAACAATAGCCTACACACACTGTAGTTTGTGAAGAACCACAGCCACAGAAAAGACAAAAAAGGTCATTCAGAAAATATATTGCCTAATTAAGGCCTTTACTGTACATACATTTCTTGAATTACTATGTTAGATGGCTTCCATATAAAGTAGGAAACAATTTAGTAGCTACTTCCACATTCGTCGCTAGGGTATTTGGGTAGTTTGGAAGTAGGAAAACTGGCGACGAATTTTGTAATTTGTGGCAAGGCTCCCTAGTGATGATCTTCCATGCTTATAGGGAGGCGGTCGAACGGTGATTATAGTGTGTGGAGAGGCAGCCTAGGCATGGTCTCTGGAGAGGCAGCCTAGAAGTGGTCTCTGGAGAGGCAGCCTAGGCATGGTCTCTCTGGAGAGGCAGCCTAGGCATGGTCTCTCTGGAGAGGCAGCCTAGGCATGGTCTCTCTGGAGAGGCAGCCTAGGTATGGTCTCTGGAGACGCAGCCTAGGTATGGTCTCTGGAGACGCAGCCTAGGTATGGTCTCTGGAGACGCAGTCTAGACGTGGTCTCTCTGGGGAGGCAGCCTAGGCATGGTCTCTGGAGAGGCAGCCTAGGCATGGTCTCTGGAGAGGCAGCCTAGGCATGGTCTCTGGAGAGGCAGCCTAGGCGTGGTCTCTGGAGAGGCAGCCTAGACGTGGTCTCTGGAGAGGCTGCCTAGACGTGGTCTCTGGAGAGGCTGCCTAGACGTGGTCTCTGGAGAGGCAGCCTAGGCATGGTCTCTGGAGAGGCAGCGTAGACGTGGTCTCTCTGGAGAGGCAACCTAGCCTTGGTCTCTGTGCCTCGCAGCTCAAGAAGAAATTTAGCCATGAGAATATTTACTCAAAGATTTTTTGACACCTATACAAGCATTTCAAAGAAGCATTCGATATGTGTAAATGATACAACCTGTCGTCCAAAATTTTTAGTACTTATAGCTATGGATGGAATTACAAAATATAGACGGTTGTACTCATTACAAGTCCTCGTTTTGTACTAATCACTTTAAAAGGGCCCGAGAAAGAAGGCAGCAATCAAGCTTAACTTTTCTTATGTACTAAATTATGTCTAAAATTACGTATGCTAGGCCTGTGATTGTCTAATTAAGACTGAGACAAGTTAGGTTTATGATTACTCATTTTCCACTTCTGTTATGTCACAGTACTCCAAACGTATGTTGTTGTTTAAGATTCGCTACCTGGAACAAAAAGTTCCAAGTAGCACGGGCTATGGTGAGCCCGTAGTAGACTATCCCCCCCAAACGTATAAAATGTGAACCATTTGATGCAACAGTACTGCTTACATTCCATACATATTAGTTATAAGTTCTGTTATGTTTGGAAGCCGGGTTGTGGTATAGATGTGCACAAGAGCTCTCACCTTTATGTCAGATGTGTTATGCAAATAAAAGACAATAAATATATATGATAAAACACATTCTGCATGTCACTACCAATCCGGTATTTGATCTTGGATCAATATATATTGCTAAATATTACTAATATAATCAATAAGCTGATATAACGTGTGTGAGTGCCAATAAATATTATGTTTTTTTTTTAGATTACCAGATAAATGTTCAGATCTTTCACTGGACTATCTCGTTAGTTATTTGATTAGTGTATTTAATGGGTCAATAACTATACTGGCGATAACTTGTCTTGTAATTCATTTTAGTAAATATATGGACAATTATAAAGAGATCGGCAATAGTACTTTATATATTTCGCTGTATCTTCCTTATCTCGTAACTTTTCATATAAATTGTTTCTGCGAAGGACACCTGGACTTATCTTGAACTTGAATCTTCAAATAAGAGTTTTACCAAATACAGTGATATATATATATATATATATATATATATATATATATATATATATATATATATATATATATATATATATATATATATATATATATATATATATATAATATATATATATACATATATATAATATGTATATATATATATATATGTCGTACCTAGTAGCCAGAACTCACTTCTCAGCCTACTATGCAAGGCCCAATTTGCCTAATAAGCCAAGTTTTCATGAATTAATTGTTTT